CAGTTATTCAACAGTGATTGATACTGAAGCGACAAGTAAGTAGTGAATCGGTCCAAATCTCCTTTTCAGATTTTCATCTCTGTTGAAATATAACAGATGCATGAGCTTTCTCATTTATAGCTGATCATTGCAAGGCTCAACCAGCGACGATGAATCACGATATCTCGATTCGCTTTCTCTTCTCTGCCTCAAAACATCCACTGATGTGCTTGCTGTCTATCTCTCACCACATCCTATTCCGCAAATCACATACCTCGCTTTGAGTTGATTAGAAGGTGGTAATGTCGAGCAAGATTTCTCTCTGGATTCACTCAAAGAATCGCTCTAGGGCTGCCTGCTTGTAAACGAAGAGGTGTCAGACATGCTGGCACAGTTAGATCTGGAGAAAACAAATAACAAATAACGTGCTCAAAGAAACGACCACAATGGGTTGACGTGATTTGTTAGGAGCAGGAACACTATCAGTTGTACCTACGCGTAACTGGGTGGGCTCGTGCGTTGGTGTCTCCCATGTGAATTCTCTGCTGTCTCCAAAAAAGCTTGCGCCAAAGAATGACATTCTTCGCAACAAGCAATTACATTATGAGGAAACAGACTAAAGAGGCGTATTCAAGGACTATAGCCATGTCCAGTGGAGATTTTTAAGAGTACGGAGACCAGGTATGTGAGTCTTGAAGCTAGTTGATTACTTCTTGATCTGTATTTCTGGCGTTGCCGCTAATCGCTTTTGACAACTAATTTTTGTAACCATAGAACCTCATGAAAAGAGTGCTGCGACTGTTTAATCTCGCGGATGGATGCTTTTCCTCCTGTCTCCTTTGGTGTTTGAGCTGTCATCACTGTTCAACTTGCCATCATCAACTTTGTCAATTCGACATTGTCCAGCTCACATATTCTACTTTGGATAGGAGCAAGGACGCCACTAGCTGTTCCTTATACGGCACTCTTTCAAAGTTAAGTGCATCCGCAATGGGAAATTTCAGATATGGGTTGCGAATGTTTATGGAAGTTACTCGTGTTGTTCGTCTTAAAGTCATGGGGACCCACCCAAGATTAGTATCGGTTGAAGACATGTTTCAACGGTATTGCCTACCTCAGAGTGGTTATCTACAACTCCGACGCCTTCCATACCGCCCTGGTATTCTAGCTGTTGTGCGTTTTGCAACTGAAATGGAGACTAGACTGACGCGTGCCATACTGGCTCCAATAACAACGACATCTCTTATAGCCTTCTACAGTAATGCATGTTCGAAACGTCTGCCTGAGAAAGCACGTTGTGATTCAAGGGCAGTCGTCCATACGATGTAAATAGTAATGAAGATCGAAAGTTTAACCTCACATTCACGTGTTTCAGTTCCGGTTGTGTTGTAAACTCTGCCAAACGCTTGACTTCCCCATTCACGAGCGACCTGCAACAAGACTCACTTTCGAGCTTCCCCACCTTGCGATCGCTTACTGGCCAATAAGAGCCATGCCACCATCTACCGAAGATGCTGCTCCGGAGATATCCAGTCCTCCAGCCTGGGTGTATTTCCCTCCTCCCAGACGACACATTCGAATCGTAAGTTGTGACCTCATTGCATCTTTTGCTTGCGGACGAGACGGAATTTGCAATCTTGATTTTCAAGCTGTTGTGGATTCAGTTCTGTGCTCTTCTTTGCATTTCGTGGGGTTAGGAACGTGCAAACGTCGTCATCACAAAGATCGTGGGAATCACGTTTTCCGGATTTTGAAGCTTTCTCGACAACGACTGGATTGACGCTTCTCTGACCAATTTAGATCTGTATCGGTGCAGGATGCGCAGGTATACTTATGGCCTACAAGACGCCAAGGACCTTGAAGGATGTCTCGCTGGTAAAACACACGTCCTTCGCACAAACCATGTTCCTGTGTCTATAACTCGTTTCTCAATCTTCTCCGTGCAAAGAAAATATATGAGAAGAACTCGGATTTGGGAGGAACCTGGCTAGAAAATCGTACGAGCTATGCCTACACTGATGACGATACAGACAGGCAGACTACAGCTCAACACTTTGATCATAGGTTACCCTGGATGCTCATGTGACGTGCCCGCTCATTATTACAGCTGGTCGTTTGAACTGAATCCACAGTGGTCTGCGTTCTATGCCGGATCAGAAGAAATATGGTATAGCTCACAACAACAAAAAAAATTCGTGGATCACAATTGCACTGGCAGGCTCATACAAATCAAACGTATCACAGGAAATATCAGAATGCAGTTGCAGACAAGTACAACTGCAAACAATACATGACATTCAATACTCGTATTACCGAAGCCGTGTTTGATCAAGACGCCGGTGTCTGGAATATCCAGGGCCAGAATGGGAATGGCGAGACGATTCAAGATCAGTCTGAAGTGCTCGTATCTTGTATGGGAGCATTGAATTCTTGGAAGTGGCCAGATATCAAAGGTCTTGAGGATTTCAAGGGAGTCAAGATGCATACTGCAAACTGTGAGCAAACTTGAATTTGTTCTCAATTCGCTTCGCATCAGTTTTCGTTTTCGTTTTTTTTTTTGGTTGTCTCGCTCATCTCTATTCCCGTCATTTTTAGGGGACCAAAAGTATGACTTCACTGGAAAGACTGTCGGTTGTATTGGGTAATCATTCTCGTAATATTACAACGTTTTTTTTTGGCTTTCTAAACAAAATCGCTGTCTGATTCTCTTCTCTTCTTCGTTGACTTTTATAGAACTGGAGCAAGGTAGCGTACTTTGCTGCGTGTGTGTGTGCATTGCCAGTGACGATATTATCTAAACATTTTTAACGTAGTGCCATTCAAACGATTCCAGAACTACAAAAAGTCGTAAAACAGATCGATGTTTTCCAGAGATCTGCTGTTTGGGTACCATCATTTGCTGCGGAACGAATTCAATACTCTGAAGAACAAAAGAAGAAATGGGCTGAGAATCCAGATGTATTGAGGTAACGCAAAAGTGATTTGTCGATCCCAGTGCCAAAAACCCTTACTCGAAAAACGTCTTATCTCATACTTAGGGAGTACTACAACGCATTCGTAGAATCCAGTGAAGACCGCTTCAAGGTCTTCATCATGAACTCACCATACAGTCAAGCATGGGAGAAGGCCACATTAGAGCGATACGAGAAACTAATCCCAGATCCTGAATTCCGCAAGAAGGTCACACCGACGTACGATATTGGGTGTAGGAGAATTACACCTCACGAGACCTACTTGCAGTCGTTGCAAGAAAAGAATGTCAATCTGATTGTTGAAAAGGTTGACTATATCGCGGAGACTGGAGTTGTAACTAAAGATGGTGTGTTGCATCCGATGGACGTTTTGGTTACGGCTACTGGGTTTGATACGAGCTTCGTGCCACGCACCAAGATTGTTGGTGGATTGAATGGGGTCTCTCTTCAGAAAGCTTGGGTAAGTTGTGTGAGGTTTTGTCCAATCATTGGACAGGGCTCTTTTGTTGTCGGTCCAAGACACCTCTCAATGCCGCACAATTTAGGCTGATATATCTGAAGCCTACCTTGGGACAACTGTAGCTCAATTCCCCAACTACTTTGTAAGTGTCGCGTCTCTAGCATGGAGTGTTTTTTTCGCATTCATTTACACCAACAATGCTCTTCCCTTTTCCCTTAGATGTTCTTGGGTCCCAACACTCCAATTGGACAAGCTTCCTTATTGCCATATATGGAAGCTCAAGGAGACGTAAGTACTCGACAACAAAATGCATTCTTGCATGGGCACCAATTCCATTCCCTTCCACACACACACTAGTACATCATGACATGCATCGAAAAGATGCAGCAAGACAACATCAAGTACCTGTCCCCCAACGCCCAAGTCCAACGTGAATTCAACGACTGGACTCAAGAATACCTGAAGAAAACCGTTTGGGCATCGTCGTGTAGTTCCTGGTATAAGGACTCGAAGGGACGTAATATGGCTATTTGGCCGGGCAGTGCGGGTCATTTCATGTCGTTTATCAAACAAGTTCGATGGGAGGTGAGGAATTTTTCGTGTTTAGGAGTACTTTAACATATCTTGACGCGCTCTGTTTGTCATGATAGGACTATGATATCGTGTATTTGAAGCGCAACCGATTTGAGGATTTGCTTGGATGTGGGCTAACGCGATGAAAGCGTTGTGTTCGTGCTTTGCTGCTGCGACGAGCCTTAAATTGTAATTCTGTCAACAAGATACGAGATCTAAATATTAAACCACAAATATCCTGTGACGACTAACGTGTGATTGTTTTTTTGGTTGTACTATCCTACATTCACATTTACACAAAAACATCAAAACCAACGGTCGCTATAACAAACCCACAATATGTCGACCAGGAAGCCCACAGGTACGTACCAACACAACCTACAAAACACAATACTAACATTTTCACTACTCATTTCCTTATTGCCATCACCACCATCAACATCGTCGTCACACATACTAAAACTTATTCCGTTTTCCTATCCAGACACTATAAAACGGTACCCGCAACAACTAGACTATAGTCGGATTCACCCTGCTTTCGTGTCCCAGCCCATAATACACCACAACAATTCACACCACCATCAACATCATCACCAGCAACACCATGTCAGGTGGATGAATCCTATTATCGACTCGTCGAGGACACACCCAGGGAGCTGGAGTCCATTGAGGGTTGTACCGCCTGTGGGGCTACGAAATCGGTTGTAAGGAAATGTTGAGGATATTGCAGTTCCCTTCTGCTGTGATCGGTGCAGGTTTTCTTTTCAATCAACCAGCCCCATTGTAATATAAAGAGCGTCTGTTTTGCATTTACACACTAGCTGTAATCTCACATAACTTTGTATCTTCTTTTGGCAACCATCATAAATCAAACTTGCACAAAAACAACTCTCAACATGCAAATATTTCAGCACGAGATGTAGTCATACCAATATATTTATAATAGGAGGTATTATTTTTACGCAAGATGGATATGTATATGTAAACAGCCATTTCTCCTTCCTTCCCATCCACAACTACATGAGGAGACAATCCTTCTCCTTATCCCCTTTCACAGTACCATGTTTACTATTTCCAGTACCAGAAGTAGAGGGCATAGGCATAGCTGCAGCAGCACTATTAGCTGCCTCCATCAATTGTTTAGCTTTAGCACCTCCAGCAGTACCACTTCTCTTCAAATTAGGTATACTGGTAGACTTTTCATTTTGTGGTAGTGATCCTCGTCTTGGTTTGGTATTCAATGACTCCTGAGACTTGGCCCGTGAAGTTAGTGAAGGTGGTGGAGGTATTTTTTCTGATTGATGTTGTGGTGGTTTGATGATGGTCTTGTTGCCATTGTTGTTTTTGTTTCCATCATTTACATAATCGACTTTTAATGAGGTTGCACTCTTTGATTTGCTTCTAGTCAATGAGAGTAGTGGTGGTATAGACGGCCTTGTTGCTGCTTCTGTTGGCAATGGTGGTACTGGCGGAGCTTTACCAGATGATGCATTTACAATTACCGATTCAAATGCTTCTGGCAATTGTCCACGTTGTTTACTTGATGGTGTTATGGGCATGGGTGGAGGTACTCCTCCATTTGTTGAAGCAGCAGCCAACAACATGGCCATTTCAAGTCCAGCACGTACAGTACCCAATTCTTTGGGCAAGTTTGTAGCACTGTCTGGTGTAAGCTGCAACTCGGCATCATTCTTCAAAAGACCAGAATTGATTTTGAACGTACTACCCTTCGATGGAATTGGGGGTACTGATCCTGTCATTACAGCAACACCTTCTTTACGAACAGTTCCTGATCGAGCTGCTGGTGATGCAGTAAATATAGGTGGTGCACTATTATTTAATGAAGGTGACAAAGGCCCATTCAATGAATTGGTTGACCCCATTCGTGAATGTTTTCCGTCAGTCGAGGATGGACCAACGTCAGGGCTCATTGGCGATAATTTGCCTGGAGATCCCGATGATGATGATGGTGATGGCGGTACTATAGGTTTCACAGCGCCTATTATATGTTTTTGTGTAATCAATGTAATAGGTTTCGTAGCCTCGCTACTACCTGGTGCAATGGTTGATTCGTTCCTTGGTGTTGTATTTATAGAGGGGGTTTGCGGAGTGGAAGATTGCACTGATGTTGCTCGTGTAGATGGAATAGTTGGCACTGGTGGCATCAACTCTACAGTATTCCCTCCGTCATCGGTTGAAGCGGTTGAATCATCGTCTTTATGGATAGCCAATGATGATCGGTGTCGCGGTTTATGATCATTACTATGAAGAGATCGAGCCATCTGATCTATAGCCAATCGTTCAGGTGATACCACTGCTGGGCTAATGCTACCATTATTGCCATTCAATACAGGTGCTGTCATTGATGGTGGTGCAATCACGCTAGACAATCGTTTACTTGCACCCGGCATATGCAAATCAGAGGACGAATTACGGTCTACGGGACTAGCTTGATAAGATTTCACAATATCAGGCGAAGAATCGTTTTGTGATGTAGGAGTGGTTGGCACACTAGACGTCCGTACAGTAGCTGATAGTTGTCGTGCTGCTGACAATGGCACAAGATTACTACTCGTCCTCTTGTCAACGACTGGTGAGAATTCTGATTGAGATCCTTTGGGAGGTTGTGGGTGGTGGAATATTTCAACGTGGACTGGATTCATGGACCCTTGTCGAGATATGGCTGGCGAAGCAGTTTGCGAATTGACTACAGACGAGGGATTCGAGCCTATTCCTCTCTCACCCTAAGACGATAGAGGGCAGAATTCTTTTGTCAGACTTGATAGTTAAATCGCAAGTGCAGGAACATCAATAGAAACCTTGACATTCTTCCTGATCCAATCATGTTGCAATAATTCTGTAGCATCCGCTCGTTTTGTGGTATCCTTTTGAAAACATCTCGTCAAAAATGCTCTCATGTCCTAAAAAAAGTATACGCAAAAGTTAAGAAACTAGATCTTTGCTGCGAGTGTAGTCAAGGTAGAATACGAGCTACATACATTTGATATTCCTTCTGGAAGAGGTGGGCCATCATCTAGCGATTGCGCAAAACAAGAATTAAAGATAATCTACAAACAGCAGAGTTGCTCACATCGTGCACTCTTTCTCTACACACAGATTCGTACCTTCCACAATCCTAAACAAGGTCGTCATTGGATTCAAATCCCAATATGGTGGTCTGCCAGTCAGCATCTCAATAATCGTACAGCCCATCGACCATATATCTGATTTAGTAGAAGCTCCATTCAATTCAATCACTTCAGGAGCCATCCAATTTGGTGTTCCAACTTCATGAGAGAAAGAATGAGATGAGACTTTAAGTTAGCCAAAAAAAGAGGATGACCTCGCCTTAGGCAAGAAAGAGGATCACCTCGCCAAATGCTGCCAAACTTACCAACAGCTTTCGTATCCTTATCTAATACGTTCAGTTGCTTGGACACTCCAAAATCAGATAATTTGGTTTCTCCATTTTTCGTTGTAAGGATGTTTGCGCACTATGTATATCATGTCAAGTCTTTCAGTTTCAGTTCCGCAAAGAAAAACGTCCGAGAAGTACTGTACATACCTTCAAGTCACAATGCACAACTCCCTTTCCATGAAGATATTCCAATCCTTCCAACATCTTGAGCACGTAATTCACACACAACTTTTCAGGCATCTTTCCAAACTGTTTGAGAATGCTTGATAATGATCCTGCTTCCACAAATCTGTCATGTTAAGAGCCATTAGGTTTGTTCAGTTCTTGGTACAAAAGAAGGGCAGAGCTAGAAGCAACATACTCTAGCACGATGTTCAGAGTGTTGATATCACACAAGAAACCTTCATAATGAACGATATTTGGATGTGATAAAGATTTCAGAAGCTCTACTTCCTTCTACAAAAACGAACAAACCGAAATGTCAACAAACGAAGACTCATGCCTTACAATGCTTTCAACGAATACCATGAGATCAGTAACACCATCTTGATCTTGATCCATTAGTGGAATTCTCTTGACTGCCACCACTTGGCCTAGAAACCAAAGAATTTATCGGCTGATCGCAAAAAATTACATATGAAATCCGATAATGAACTTGCCAGTCTCCATATTGAGAGCTCTAAGTGGATGTAAACATATAGTCAGGTCGCTGATTCAAACAAACAAAGGCAAGAGATCCTCTCCAGAACTCACTTGTACACAGCACCGAATTGTCCACGTCCTATACAACTTCCCAATTGCTAACAAAAGTACGTCAGCCGATTTATTTCGCTCCATCGAAACACACCAACACAACATTCATCACATACATATTGAATAATCGTTTCACCATCATTCAACGTCAACACCTCATTCACGGCAGGAGCAGTTGAGGGCGACATAATACCACTACCATTCTTCCCAGTTGATCCATGTGGTGTTGGATTCTTTGAATTTCTACCTGATCCGTTCCCATTAGGAGCAACTAACAAGGACTCCCTCATTGGAAGAATAGTCGACGGTGGTGTAATATTCGGTGGAAGCCCTATTATAGTACTTGGACTGGACTTGCTAGATGACGTGCTGCCAGTCGATGCGTTCGTATTATATTGTTGTTGCTGCTGTCCTCCCTGCTGTGACGATATCTTGCGTATATGTTTAGGCGTACTACTACTCATATTCCCATTCATAGTCGTTGGTGGTGATTGTCGTGGTGAAGCGGTTGCATTTACATTGCCAGCGTTAAACATGGATCGTATTTGCGGTGGAGAGTTTGGTGGATGCGACGGTGCAGGTGGTTCAATAATCACATCTTCGTCACGGGTTTGAGGGAGCGGTTGACGGACTGTATATCCAGCTGCTACTCGTGCTAGACATAGGATTGTGACGTGAACTCGATGAATGTCCTTTCCTTCGAATAGGTCTATAGTTTGGAAGAGGTCTGTGGATTTGAGACCGAATCCTTTGGCTGCTTCCAGAAAATTTGATATGTTTTCCATCTAACAAGTGTGTGATTTAGTAGTGCGGAGGATTACGACATCGTCACATATTCTGCTACACCAGCACATTCATACCTGAAGAAAGGGCAAAGGCCGTTTACTAATCCTCGGAATAGTACCAGGCCTCAACTTGTTGATCAATCGACATAATATAACACCATCTTTCAGAGCAGTATACAAGTCTTCAGACGGTAATTTCTCATCAAGAGTCATCTCTATAAACTCGGCTACTGACAGCTGATTTAATTGTGTCTGTGGTTACAAGCAGGATTAAAAAGTACAATGAGTTGATAACCAAATGCATGTCATGAATAACAGAGACATCTTCACTCCGTCAAACCCCAAATAAACATGATCTCTCACATACCGCAGACTCTTTAAACAGCGACACCAAACCAGCAGTGCTAGTACCACTAGGTCGCCTCTCAGCGACTGCTTTATTCTCCATTGTGTTCTATTCGGGGCCTGGAATATGATGACTCGAGTTCTCTCTAAATCCAATCTAATGTTCCCTATTCTCGTCTAAATCCTGGGCTTGAAGTTTGATGATGCCCGAATGATGCTTGAATGGTGATGATGGCTAAAACCAAGACGTAATGAGGTTTAGGAAGACACGGAGATCGAGGATTTTGATAGATATAATAGATCCTTGAGCTCTACAGCTTAGATCCTCCTTGTTCGTATATGTTTGAGCCAGTTCACCACATAGCTACCAGAAAAGCAAGTTTTAGCTTTACGGTGGATCAAGCCCATTGGAATGCACAATTGAGCTAGGTATCAAAATAAAAATATTAAATCGAGACTCACGATTCACTTAGTGGTTGCTCGCTCCTTCACTTCCTTGTCCGCATTCAAAATTCGGAAAGCGCAACCTCCACCAGCTTGAACCAGAAGGGTCGAACAGAACTTTGCAGCTTGGAAATTCAAACTGCACGAGTTTAAGCGGACTGATCATTTTCTCGCTTCTCGCATACAGACAACGTTTTAAATTCGTTTTACCAGAGCGTTTTAATAGAGAAAGGCTGCAAACTTCTATCAACAATCATATGATGAGCCCCTCCTAACATATCTTCCACCCATTCAAGTCAATTTTCACAAAATATAGAAGCTTTCGTTATTTGTTTTGTTGTTATATGGTAGAGGGTGCGAGTAAAAAACGAAAGAGAGACAAATCCACATTTGCATCGACTAAAAGGAATATAGAGTATTTTTTCTGATTTTTTGTGTTATTTTTCCTTGTTGACTTTTATAGTTGAAATTGTTTGGGGGCTGTCATATGGCGTCACTAAAAGTTTATTTTGCCTCTTCAGCGTCATCTGCTTTTGTCTCGGCATCCTTGTCACCTTCTAACAATACGGATAAAGAGGGATATGTGTTAATGATAGCGATGGATGTGTCTTAGTAATGGTGACGCGTCCGTCCATCTGTAGCGTATTACACTACGAGATTTTTTTTTGGTTTCCACAACGCGTCTTCATCTGCATTTCCACACTCATGATCATCATCTTCATCATGCATGTATATTACGCACCATCTTGGAGATCTGATGTCCAAAGTGTCAGGTTGTCCCTGAGCAGCTGCATGATCAACGTTGAATCCTTGTATGATTCTTCGCTGAGAGTGTCGAGTTCAGCAATGGCATCATCAAACGCCTGCTTGGCCAAATGGCAAGCCCGATCAGGTGAATTCAAGATCTCATAGTAGAAGACCGAGAAGTTGAGTGCCAGACCCAGACGGATGGGGTGAGTGGGTGCCAACTCAGTCTGTGCAATATCGGTTGCGGCTTTGTAGGCATCGTGAGCATGAGAAGCAGCTTCCTTTCGTTTATCACCAATAGCAAATTCAGCAAGGTAACGGTGGTAGTCTCCCTTCCTGTTGTGATTTTGATGATGCATGTGAGTGTTTGCATTGCGGCTGTTTAGCATATGAATCTCAAGCAATGAGAGACTTTGACGGATTGAAAGGTTAAACACCCATGATCATGCACATCGTACAAGTGTATACACCACAGTCCTAGTCAGGTCTTTTTCGCTGCATGATCTGGCATGCACAATCGTCTGAACAATCACATTCAACAACACATAACACATCAAACCCATCATACAGATCAACCCATCAAAATCCACACTCACATCTTGTAATAAAAGACCTTAGATTCACCAGCCTCAGCAGCGGGAATCAGATGGTCATCCAAAACATTCAAAATGTCTTGGCAAACATCCGTGAGTTCCTTTTCAATCTTTTGGCGATAATCCTTGATCTTCTTCACTTGGCCATCATTTCCTTTTGTTTCTTCCTTTTGTTCAATCGATGATACAATTCTCCAGGATGCACGACGAGCTCCAATGACATTCTTGTATGCAACGGATAACAGGTTGCGTTCTTCTACAGTTAATTCAAGACCGAGCTAATGAGGGGAATGATGATGGGGTGTGAGTTGATGTGTCAATTGTCAAGATAAGATCTTGTGATGTTGTTGCGCAATGCATGTCCATATGTTGGGCATGTGAAATATTTAGACTATGTGAGATTCGATTGTTTACCTTGGCGACTTCCTATTATGCGCAAAAATGGGAACAACGGGAAAGATACGAGTCAATCATCCGACGTGCTGTCGTTGCATGCATGCTAACTCTCAAGTCGATACCTTCATGTATGCCACCATTTCTAAATAAAAATCGAGATACCCAATCAGAATATATTCATTCAACACGATTCAATCCATTCGTCACCACGCAAAACAAGAACTCACCGTCATATCGTTCGGCTTGTTCGGCCAATTTGGCCATGTAGACTTGGTCTTCTCGACCAGCAGCTAATAAAATGATGAATAGCAATTAATACCAGATATAATGATCATCATATTGCCCCGTTCATTTGGCAGTGATTGCATCTCTCGCATTTCCCTCTTTTTCGTTGACACACAAGCGAAGACTCCGTGTACCGCACTTCCAACACCACCCCAACGAATCGACGAAATGCCTGTCTTAATTAGCGATTTAATAGTTTTATAACAGGCCTCCCATCGAGCATCCACTCCTCTCGCATTTGCCTCCCGTTTTCACACAACAAAAAATGAATTTTGATGATGATGGGTTGGCAAAAGGAGGCACAAGCATATGAAAGGATACATGGTAATCAATAATGTATCATTTGGATATGATTTGCTTCGTCGTCTGTAATCATTTGCTTATAGGTACTCTTGCGTTATCACAGTGACCCGGGTGGGTGAAAAATTGGTCTCCGTTTTATGTTAAATGTTGCGAGCATAACAACTGGCGTCCTTTCGTATAGAAACTGGCATAGGCGACTGCCTCATGACAATCTAAATAAGCACTATTAATGACGGGCCCTCTCAAGCTTACCTTTGTCGGCCATTTCAGATATTTTGCTTTAACTACTGTTATAATGGGTTGTTGAAAGTTTCAAGTCGCAAAGTGGCGTTGCGTGTGGTTTAATCAAGGAACGTGAAAGCAACCAATGTTTGTCAACGCTGATAAGATCAACCCGTACTAGTTCCTCCTCACAACGTACATAAAACACGCGTTAAAATCATGCTCTAATGCAAATATATTGTACACATATCATTGTTGACCAAGTTGAGAAAGGAAGGATTTCCCACTCAACAATTCAGTAGATCCATACATCACTCGCCTCTTCACTCCTCCATATCCAATGCCACGTGATGCCCATTCAACCAAATTCTGATACTCGAGATAATTTCCTCCTCCAACCACAAACACTATTGCTTCACTGAATCCCATCATTCGACTTTGTAACCCCTTGTTTCCACCACGTGAGCTACCGGTATTGGTATTGCGAGGTGACTTGGGATCTAGGTATAGATAGTCGTCGGTATCCGACGGTGATCCTTCCATAAGTGATTCAACAGTCCGAGTCACAAAGATGTCTTTGCGAATCGGTAGGAGATTCTTCACTCCTGATATAAGTGTATCGAAACTTCCTGTTCCTGCTAACTCTTTCGTAAACTAAAGTGAGGTAAATGCATTGTGGGACTTAGTACCAGTAGGATTTACCTCACAAGTGACCGTCATCATGTAACAACAGAGCGAAAAAATTGCATATAAATCTGAAGGACGACTTTAAACTTGAAATGTCAAAAACTTGACATGTCATCGCACATACCCGATTCCCAATAGATGTAAAGTTGGCGATCAAATCATTCGTCACTGATTGTCCAACTCCTGAATTACTACTAGCTACTGCTGCGGCAGCAGTCATCTTTTGCACTGACTTGATCCTAAACAGAAAAAAAAAGATCAAAAGTTGTACGCATGCCATCAACACTCCATCGAAACAAACACACCACAAAAACTCACTTCTTGATATAATTCAAAGCAACCAAATCAGCACCAGCCTCAGTCAACGCAACCTCATATTCACTCAAATCAGACCCCGATACATCTTCAACACTAAGATACCAAACAAGAAAGAATCGTAACTTGTCAGTCACGTCCTTCTTGACATCTTTAATCAATTCCAGGATTTGGGCTTTAGTCTGTCGTGTTATTGTCTCTTCCATTTCAAAAAATGTATCAAGAGATCGCTCTTGAATGGATTTCAATAGTGCGGTTGCGAGATTCATGTGCATGTCAATGATTCGTTTGCGCTCTGTCAGTTCTGGGAGTGCGGATATGGCATCTTTTAATCCTTTGGCACCGAATGCACTATAGTCGAGATAATTGAGAAGTGATTTAGAGTGCGTTACTATGGACCAAAAAAACTCTGTCTATCCACGATAATAGATGCTCACTTGGGATCTAACTCTTCTAATGATGAGACACCCCCTGATTTGGTGATTTCATCTACGTCCTTTTTATATCGATTGATTTCACCATCGACATCCTCTGCAATACAATGGCAAAACAAGATGTCAACAAGTGTCCAAGAAAAGACGTCTTTAAACGAATGTTTACCTGCGACTTTCGGAAACGGTGTGCCAGCATTTTTCTTCCAGAAAAAGTCTATTGGGTCTATATCAAACACTTTTTTGACTTTGCGTCCATTCTCATCCATCTAACGGAAGTAGAGTTTTAAATTGGGCAAAAGAGAAACACGGAACAACGAAGTATTCGAACTCACAACAGCCACGACTCTATTCAGCTTCATCTCCAAGATATCATGCACCAATGTCGAATACGTCCACGTATGTTGTAGCATGGTTGTCAAATCCATATTCCGATCAAGTAATATCAATACTATAAAAGGTAGAAACGAAAAAAAGATAGGTCAGGGCCACATTATGCCTTGCAAGCTGTGCCAACAAACTCGGATCTTTACCTGGTCTGATAGCACCAGCTTCACCACTAAACAAGCTATTCCGACTATTATTCACAGAATCTCTAAACTTTTCATCTAATTTAGCAGCAATCATTCCAGCAGCGTTTCCACTCGGTGCACGAATCACTGGCATGACACCTAAAGTGACGAATACGGAAAAGAGGGACGATGCTATTCGATCTGATAGTGTTTCTATGAGCGAGTCTGGAGATGTTGGGCTGTGGAGTTTGGCATATGTGTCTGGGAGGTTGAGGGTGAATAGATCTGGGCTCAGACATATATAGTTGAGATATTGGTCATACACCTAAGAGAGTGAAAACATGATCAGCAAATATATCCAGGGCTCTGAACAGATTTATTTTGGCTAATTCTGACATGCATGGACAAGCAGGCTGCCCAGCGTTTCTGCGTGAACGCAAAACTGGCCCAAGTACAGCTGATGCTATGAATATCTCTACGACACACTCATGTGTGCTTTCCACGCTAAAACCAAGGCTTACCTGAGCAATCTGATTAGCCAAGCCACCAGAGACAACAGCACTAGCAAGCTGTTCCAACAAGAATCTGGGCACGACAGTAGCAAAGTTGATGTAGTAGGAATCATACAACTTTTTCGATATATCCTCAGTCAGTTTCTTGATTGATTCGACTGTAGGCTGTATAAAGTAGACCGCAGCCACATCAGGTATTGGATCTCGAGAAGAGTTGAGTGACCTATGTGTATATGATACATGTCAGGTCTTGATACGTGTTTGAGTCAAGGGACACAAAACAAGCCACAGTTCCAACAGCTCCAACAATCAAATCAACAGTCGATAGCACTTGCATGTGAACAGTGACTCCATATTCACGTAGTTCATTGACTTTGAGAAGAGGAGAGATGATTTCTTGACAGGGAGTATCGTATATGAGGACCTTCCATACTAGGTCGCTTGCCAGTAAGAGTGATTTCTCAGTTGGAAGAGGTGCATTCAGATTCAACATGGTCAAGATGGCATCTGGACAGTTTGAACCGTGTCGAATGTTAGTTTAAAGAGTTTGCGAGGACAAGCGACTAACAACATTACAAGGACGAGACCATACGATCAAGATCGTATTTGTGCATACCTTTCTGCGCCTTCCGCAGTGACTTATTTCCTGACATTTTGGTATGTTTTGTTGGTGAAAGTGAACGTTTCTAAAAGATTGGTTTTGGACGAGTATCGAAGAGACCTTACCAGTAAGGAAAGAAGTACGTGTATTATTGAATTTCAGCATTTCAGCAGTTTGGTCACTTGAAATCGCGTCAAAAGCTTCGGCGTCTTCGTGCACGTACCATAAAGCCTCGATTCTTGCTCGTTTTTGCCTCTCGATCGATGGACGTGCATTTCGCGTCAATCGCGTCTCCTCATATGTCAATCTACATTTTGAGCGTACAGAGCGCTAGTTTTATCCTCGAAGGCTATAAGACTGCCTTACAAACCGAACCTCTTCATCTTCAAACCCCCCCAAAAAATCGGCTCTTTCTGTGCATTCGCCAACGAAAGGACAAATCATGACGGTAAGTATATGCATCAGCGTCATATTATAATTGCTATGCACTTTTGCTCATTGCTAGCCCCTCTCTTTCTTATAGAGCGTTCCCATAAACCCAAAACCATTCCTGACTGGGCTCACTGGCAAACCCATCCTCGTCAAATTGAAATGGGGCCAGGAATATAAAGGCTATCTCATGTCTGTAGACGGCTATATGAACATTCAGGTATCATCTGGGTTGCTACGCTCGTCGTATTTGTCGACATCAATTATTGGAGCTCAAGAAAATGTGAATTGTTATATAGACTGTGGCTTACAGCTAACGCCATTCTTTGCTCTTTACAGCTTGCAAACACTGAAGAATTCGTGGATGGAGCTTCAACTGGCGTGTTGGGCGAAGTCCTCATAAGGTAAAAGCAAATGCTTCAACTATTGTCTGCTGCAGCAAGCTTACGTATACTCAACGACTGTAGGTGCAATAATGTCCTGTATATTAAACAGATAGATGAAGAAGGAATGGATACTGGTCGAGGTTGATCATGATGCTGATATCGAGGCTCGTTTTGCATTCTTTTGGGCTTGCCTTCATAAGCAGAATCTGGTGGTTAGCATTGTTGCCCGTAAACGCTGTGTATGTATAGTTCGTATAGAAAATAACAAATATTCAAAAACAACACAAGACTCTGGAGTAAAGCGCCTGCTCAGAAAGATTTATCACAACGTGCAATAGCTCAAATTGTAGCCTTTCAGATTGTCCAAGATTTCCATTTATTTAATATATAAATCCTGTGTCCCAAAATGACATTGGAGAGCCCAGGAGCGAATCGATAGAGATCATTTGTGTTATGTAAAAAGCACGCCAAGTTCCAAAAAATAAATTATCCCAACCAGCACCAAAGCAAAAAGCAAAATTTCATATACCATGCACAGCAGGATTCGGCTTCCGAATGAGCCACTCATCCTTCTCCATTCCACAGACGATCTTGCGCAATGTTGCCATAATGTCCATATGTGCTTCTAATCAATGTCAAAGTTGGGAGATATGTAAAATCAGATTCCATTTGTAATGAATGATAGTAATGGTAATATAACCTACTCGAAGCAGTATCCTGCACATTTTTGTGTCTCAGCATCTCTTTCTCGCCGCGAGCCTTGAAATCGTATGAGCTCACGTCTATGTAGATACAAAAGAGGCAAGTTAGATCTTGTATTGCTGCATATATATATCAAAACGAATCATCAACATCTCCTCCAGCTCATAATTGCTGCCAACAAGTCAAATCACAACAACTAACTTGGAAGTGTAATCTCGTTGATGAGGACAGCTCCTCGTGCCGGCGACACAGTTGGAGTGTTTCGTGGAGAATTATTCCTTGTTACTGGTGTAGATTGCATCGACGCTCCAAGATTCGAGGCAAACATCTAAGGTGTAGCGTTGTGTCAGATCACGAACAGTTGTTGTGGCAAGATTTGAACATTGACGAATGTATGAGCATAGGACAAAGAGATATGCATTAAAATGAATTCAATTTACCTCGTGAGTCACCTCTACTGAGACAGTAGTTTGACTGGGTCTGTGGCGAGACATACTTGACAAAGTTTTTGGGCGTGATTTTCGCCAGCCAGGCGCAATATTCAACGAACGACGCTTGTCCTTCCAGGAACGCATTCTGATGCGTACCAGTACATTTACAGACGTATTCGAAAATCGAACGGCACAACCTTTTCGTATCTAGTAGTATATTAAAGCGTACCTGCCAACCTGGGCATTACTCTTTGAGTACAACCTCTAAAAAGCAAATTAAAAATAAAAATTACGACGGGGCTGGAGCTGATGCCTGCTGTTTGGCGAGGATCTATATCAAGCAAGATTGTGATCAGCAAAGACATCTAACCCGAGTCCATACTCCAACCATCTTCATACCTCTTCTTCCAACCCCTTGACAGCCTTGTGTTGCGCTTCCAAATCCTTGTTGAGTCGATCACGTTCAGCAATTAGCTAGGAAGGAAATCAGAAACGGTCAGGAATGCCAACAAAAAAACTATGTTTGATGCAGACGAACAAGTTACCCTTTGTTCCCATTGTCTGAATCGGTTCTCTTCCATACGAACTTGCTCTGTAAATCGTTTACGAAGAGCTTCTTCTTCCTCCTTCATCTTGGCTTCAAACATCTTCTTTGCTCTAATGTTTGAAGGGGGTTGAGTAACTCAGGGTCAAAAAACAATCACATAAGACTTCATGTAATTACCTGACAGCAGGATCATCATCTGTACGGCCCATAGCTGCCAATTTCACAGATCTGTAGGCTTCATAGTGGTTTTCTTGAGTGGTCATGATCAAGTCGTGCATGTGGGTTCTACGAATAAAAAAAAGGATATTGAATAATGGTTGTAGGTCATGGGACTTTTCCTGCAATCACACATACCGAATCAGCAGATTGCGAAGCTTCTTGAAATCACAGTGTGCTTCATTCTCCACTAAAAACAACAAAAACGACATTCAGTTCCATTTGATGCTTCAGATCAATTCGCTTCTATTGATACCTTCAGCAACTCCCCATGGATATGCTCGACCTCGAGTTTTGGTGCCATCAGCCAATGCAACTTCATTTTCACTTCCAATAACAGAGAATGGCATCATTGACTAGGGACAGACACAAGGTAGCATGAGTTGACGATGTTGATAAAGGTGGACCGTCGATCTGCTGATTTTTTCTTCCCATGTGAACTCACCAAAGGACTTGATCCGACTTTGGAAAGGGCTTCATCGTCACTTGTAACGGGTGGTGAGTATACTTGAATGTTGTGGGCACTGATGGCATCACGTATCTATGAAAACGTAGTCCGTTAGCACCCAAAAAAATACGACGTCGATTCGTGAAATTGACAATCATACTCGGTCCTTGAATCCAAGCATATCGGCGGGAGTCATAGTATCTGCTTTGGCAATGATCGGAATCAAATTGACTCTCGTGCCCAATTGCTTCATGACTTGAATATCAAGTGGTTTGAGCCTATGAGGTATGCAAGGTTCAGATGTAAAGCTAACGAAAAAAGTAGGTTCGATCAAATCTTACGTGTGACCACCAGGCTGAATGAAATACAAGCACACATTGACCCGTAAATCATCAGTTCCTTTGCGACCTCCTCGTTCTTCTTGTAACATGTAGCCTTGATGTTGTTCGTCCAGGAATTCGACGATAGGGACCCACGAGTCTGCATTATTAATGTAATCTCCGAATCCAGGTGTATCAATGACTGTCAATCTAACTGTAAAACCCTTTTCTTCCACCTCTATTGTAGGAGGATGTTAGACATTCCGACATGTGCCCACACAAGTTCGTTTTGTAGTTCCGACAGAATGCAGATACTTGCCGCATCGAACGACATCAATAGAGACGGTGCGTTCCAATTGCTTGGTGATTCTCCGTTCCTGGTTTTTGTATTCTCGTACCAATGTGGTAAAGAGAGTGTTGATAAATGTTGATTTCCCCAATCCCGATTCACCTTCAGTAAATGTTAAGTAAGCGGATGCATCCGATACGACCAGAGCAAGACGATCTGGCAAATCATTCAGATGCAGTGTATACGTCTCTGGACATCTTCCACTAACATACCTACGACCATCATAGTAAAGTTCACACCCTTCCTCGAAACAATCTTGTGTCGTTGATTTGGCAGATTGCTGATACCAATCGAGTTGGGCAGCGGAGCTGCTGTTGCTGCTACCGGGGCCATCTTCTTTGCTGATGTAGGAGACGCCGTCTTGTTGCTTCAAATCTGGTAAAAGTAGGTGCGATTGGGAATTTTGTGATTCTGTGAAGCGGATGATGAGTGTGGTTTTTGGATGTGGATAAAGAGCGTGTTGAAATGCTTCGTTTCTACTGTTGATGCACGTAAATATTGAACGTGGCAATCCTTACCGAGTGTACTGCTTCAAATCGCCAAAACGAGCTCAACATTTGCACCGATTTGTAGGTAGTTCCTGCACCATTACAACTGGCCACTTTATCTATCGGAATACGCGTTTTCTGGGACGTTTTAAAGCTAGTTAGACCTGTACTCTCATGGCATCGGATACAATTCCAACTCCTCAAGACAGTGGACCTACTCCAGCACAGAAACCGTCGCTCAATTCAAAACGACGTCTGGACAATGGTGATCCAGAACATTGGCTGTCTTCCTTGTCTCTATGGCTGGACGATCACGTTCATCTCGTGCGGTTTACGCAAACAGCCTGTTTGGTTGTTTCTGGAATCGTCCTATTACGAGCTCTCAGCGTACCTCAAAAGGTAATGGCTTTCGTTGAGCGGTGCTGAGAAAGTAGCACCTTCGCTGATAATCATTCGTATCCCAACTCTTCTCTTGAAGTTGAGTGTGATTCAACGCGCTCAAGATATTCCTTCAAACGTGATGGAGCGGCGGTTACCATTACGAGGAAGGCTATATGTATCTGTGGATGAAAAGCCGACTCTTACGTTCGTACACGTACCGATACTGAGACGAATAGTGTTTGGAAGGAATCGATTATCAGGTTGCTGCCTGTTTTTGCCTCTTTTCGGGTGTCGATCCTCCTCAGTACTCTTTCATAATCCTGTGTCGTCAAGTGTCTCATCATTTTCACTGTTTTCGATCCAGGAATTCCGGTAAATTTCAAACTCTGGCCTCTAAAAGCACTAGCTTCGGAATCGTATGATTGGCTTCACTCTACATTTGAATCCAGAACAGTCAGCACGATACCGATACAACTCCAAAACGATACTGTGATTGGAACCATCCAGACAGTACGCTGCTGATGTCAAGTAACAACAAAAGAAGCCCATCACTCACATTGACTTTTGAAATGTTTGGTAGGGACTGGTATTAAAGGTTGATGCTTCCAAAGGACTACTAAAGAGAGGACTTGCCGCTATTGATAATGATATGGTGGATAAAGCCAACTCGTGGCAGCTCAAACAGTATCATGCCATGTCGAAAGTAGAAAAGATTGCTCAAAGGAAGCGACTAGGGATATGGAAGGACCAAGTTCCAGCGGGCTTTTGGAGAAGGCTTGTAATGTATATGAGAAGTTGGAGACGATAATTGTGATGTCTGTCCTGTTGTCTTCAATACAAGCTGGTTCAATTTGCTTGTCATCAACATTGGGCTGTCACACTTTTTGAGGTGATTTGCACGAATTGCAGCTTTTGGGGGATTTTTCAAACCAACAACGAGCATTCTCAAGCATCAACCAAACATCACATGCGACATAGTGTTTAATGCTACAGAAAATGTTTATTTTTGACCATGACTTACCTCAAACAGAGGCCAGCAGCACCATTCTTCACCACCATGACTACTTTCAACCAATGAATTACTTCATTACAAACTTATCGTATTTATGTACTTACTGACCTCGGGTATGGCTGGTCACCACACAATGGTCAACGAGAACCTTTGAGTCTGTGCGAGGACAGAGTCCTACGTCAATTACGCGTTACAAAAATGACCATGACTGCACTGAATTGCTCAAACCAAGCGGTTTATAGAACCATTCCTCGGAATGGTGGCCCCACAGCATGGGCGGCCCCTGCTGTTTTAATATCTGTGCAAACCCAAGACGTAGTTGTGTTTTCGCCATCAGACATGAGAAGCACGAACATATTAGCCGACCCGAAGACTGCTGAAATGCCATCTTTGCGGCAGGAGACGTACCTCTGTCCCGACATGCAATAGAAGGAGGTTGTCCTTCGAGCGTGCATCTATGCCTCCTGCCAAGATAACCAGAGTGCCTTTTATAGATTGTTCTTAAATGAAAGAAGCCGTGTTTTACGTTAAATTATAGGTCTTGGTTGACGTTTAGCAGGAATAAAGGGGTCAAAGACACATATACTACCAGCATGGAGCACCCAATTGAGTTTTAGCTGGTATGGCAGTAGACTCCAGTAAAAGGCCTTCAGCGAGAGGAGGATCTCGTTCGAAATAGCTTGATGATGAGGAATCAATTAGAGTGAATCGATTCGTGTGGTTCCACTACGATCGAAGCCCAATATGAAGTGACTTTGCATTCACAAATGGTCACGAATGGGACGTTCTACAACTGTCCAGCTGGTTTTAAATGAGATCCAATTACGTATTCCAAGCACGAAGGCATGAACATCTAAATGTTTCAGTGCTTGATACCTCCGCTTATTTTCACTGCAGCTCTTCATCTCCATGAACACGTCGTCAGTCCTCACATTATTTCATCGAGCACGTTCCATTTTCAAATTTCACTTATACTAGGACAGATCAATATTATAAAGGGGCAATGTCTTTAGCATCGGAGACAATCCATGCTCAATCGCAATCTGGAAACTTGGCTGGCGTAAAAGCTTTGGTCGAGCAAAACATGAGCAATGTGTCTTCAAAAGATGAGGTACGTACAGCTTCAATTATTACTGGTTTTAAATTTTGATTCATCTTTCTAACCTTTAATCGTTACAATAGGATGAACGAAGTAAGCCAACCCTTCCTCTTCACTTGATCAACATCAACCTCTGACTCACATTTTGTTTCAAACAAGCTCCTCTTCATTGGGCTGCAAGTGGAGGCCACTTACCTATAATCAACTATCTTCTTGACAATGGAGCTGCACCTAATGCAGTTGACGACTCGAACTGGACGCCGTTGATGATTGCTTGTTCGTCTGGACGAGTCGATGTTGCTGAACGACTGATTCGGGCTGGTGCAAATGTCAATGCACAGAACGATACCAAGAATTCCTGTTTGCATTATGCTGCTTCCAAGAATCAGCCAGAGGTATGTGTTTTGATTTGAAGCTGAGGGAGATCTCGTTGTGTATGCGTTGGGAAAAGGAGCATTTCCCCATGCCGAGGATGGAACAAGAAACATAGAAATATGCCAGTGATTCTTCGGAAATGAGAAAGGACCATGGGGTGGATGAGGATGAAGCATGGAGAAAATGGGGGTACAACATCGAATATTTCTTGCTCAAGTACTTTTTTGCGTGTTAGATCGTCAGCCTATTAATATCATCTGGTGCTAACGTGGACATTCGAGACAAATGTATGTGAATCGCCTCCACATTCATCCAGCGACTTTCTCACAGACACACTTTTCTTAGACGATCAAACACCACTCTTTCGAGCATCATCTCTCGGCTGCACGCCAATCGCAAAAGCACTAGTAGAAGCTAAATGCAAAATCAACATTAAAGATGTTTCTGGAAACACTCCACTTCACATGGCCATTGAGGGAACTCATGGCGAGTTGGCAGTTTGGCTGTTATCTCAGGGAGCAAATCCGGATAGTAAAAACAAGGAAGATGTGTTGCCGCTCGATATGACCACTGACAAGAATGTGCAAAAATATGTAGCAAACGCTATGAAGGCGTGACAAGAATTCTATATGTATAGCGAATTTGTAACGTGCAGTGGTATGTGTGTAAATTAATAACCCTCATCAATCAATACAAACGTCTTTGCAATACTTGTGTTTTTAGTGTTTTTATGAAGGTGGGTGGTTGACTTGCAAAACAAGTTCATTCAGTTGTGCCTTGTAAAGCTCCTACAAATTCAACGACATCGGGTTGGCTTTCTTTGCTAGTCGAATGGGAGAATACTACTGACCTTCATGTCTTTGATATCTTGATTGAGCTCTTCAACACGTTCCGTTTGTTCGCCAAGGAGCTCAAGAGCTTGGTTATACCTGAAAGAAGATTTAGGCGTGAGCTTAAAAGACTCGAATACACTTCTATATAATACGACATCTTTACCTTTGTGTTACTTCATCACGCTCCCTTTCAATCTCTTCTAATCGATTCTGCCGTAGTTTCCTACAAGAAAACAATCGTTAATATCGATGCATAAGTCCCCAACTACTGGAACTCGCATAATCTTACAGATTCTCATTCTCGTTCGTAAGCTTGACCATCTCTTCAGCTAATTCATCTAAGGAACGACGATACCATGCCAGTCAGCAACAAAAAAATACGTTATCCATGCATAATTGCCCACCTCTAAGTTTCTGAGCCATCGCCAACTGGTTCTGCAAAGACGCCATCTGTCCTTCATACTGCCGTATAGTCACAGTCAACCGATCAACTACAGCAGCTGGCGGTGCACTACTATTACTAGTCCCATTCCATCCATCACCTTCATTTATCGAAGATGTTGACGTTCTAGGAACCGGCAAGACAGGTGACATTCCAGAATTGGAAGATGTATACGTCGTATTCATCTGATCTTGTTGTTGGGAGGAGGTATTAATGCTGGTGGTGGATGGAGTAGTACTACGACGATTCGTGACAATCCGTTGTCGTTCGGCCTCTTTGGTTTGACGGATCTTGTCTGCCACTTTTTGTCTCTCGTCCCAAATCTTCTGGTGTTCTTCAATTTCTTGTGCTAGAGTTTTCTGGAATGGCAGAAGAAATGGTCAGGCATGAGGCCAAGAAAAACGGAATAGAATAAGTCCACAAAGTACCTTGAACGTCTCTTTCAACTCCTCCACTTCACGAGTATGCGATGTCTTAATAGACTCCAACTTGGCCAAAACATCCAAATGTAATCTATCACTCGTCTCTGCTCGAGATCGTTCAGTCTCAATAGCTACTCGCAATCTGGAATTATCAGCCCTTTCTTGAGAGACTTGTGTTTCCAACATGGCAATACGAGATTTCTGTAGGCAAGCGATGCCAGTTAGCAAAGCAGAGGCTATTACAATAGAGGCATCGTGTATCTCTTTTTTTCAGCTCACCAATTCCATCAAACGATCAGACGACATTCGTTCATTCTCAACAGCAATTTGACGCTCTGATTCAGCTTCATGAAGCCTCATTGTCAGATTCTTTTCGACAGCTTCCCAACTACGTAAGGTTGCTTGATGTTGAGTCTGCAAAGCTTCGATTTGACGAAGGAGTGGCCTTGTACTATCATCTGTTGCTGTGGTCAAGTCTTCATGACGAGCTTCAGCCGATTGAAGACGCGCTTGTAATAGCTATGCAATTTGTTTCAATGTTAGCTTTGAGAATTAAATGGAACATCGGACCTTTTTTGGTGGCGTTAAGACAAGAACAAAACTTACAGCGACTTCTTTCCTAAAGTTGTCTTCCCTCCATCCAGCTTCTTCTTCAGCACGGGACAACGTTGCACGAATCTCGAAAATCTATGAAAGCATGGAGTGGGGCGTAAGGCAATAATCAAATCTTCTTCGCAGACATTACGAGTTATACGGCCTTGTTTCGCTTGAAAGAATACACATACCTCCTTCTTGTATGCTGCTTCGGCACGATCAGCTTCTGAGCGCAACAAGTCCAATTGTCGATTTAGATCCTCGTTTTGTTTCAACTAATTGGATGAAATGGCAGATCAGTTTGCTTGTGTTTTGTGATTTGGGCAGAAATGCGTTCTGATGCAGCCTTTTTTGGTCGATTCTCCATCATTTACCCCCTTTTCCAGCGCTTCAGATTGGACAGTCAAACTTTGTTCTGCTTGCATCTTTCTCGACTCTGCTAATTCTTGCCATGCTCGATCGAGGGCAGACTGGTTGGAGCAAAGGATCATTAGCTTTGAGCAAAAAAGAACTCCCTAAGCAAGTCAACATACCTGCAATGTGGCATATGCATCTTTCGATATACCCAATTCGCCTTCCAATCGAACCAAACCTTTAGCTTGTTGCTCATTCACTTCTGCTGCAGCTCGAAGTGCCTCTAATCCGAGTGATGAAGGGTATTAAGCGGAAGCGCAAAAGCAGGAGATAGCAGTTTCGTACAAACCTTGAAGCTTCTTTTCCGAATCACTCAATCTAGCAATCTTCTCCTTCATATCCGACACATCTGTGGTAGAAGACTCGAATTTACGAGTCATTTCAACCTGCACCTTCTCCATATCTGAGATCTTAGATTTTTGCTGCTTGATTAAATTAGAGTATTTGAGTTCTGTCTTGGAAAGACGTTCGCCTAAACAGTGACGGTAGTTTAAAAACCAATGATTGAAGTTCCTTCTTTTGGTTTTTTTTCACTTTACCTTCCAACAGCAACCCTTTGATTTCCTCCTCCTTTTCATGAAGTAGCCTTGTTGTCTGCTCTAACGTAGCTTGCATCGAGTTCTGTGACATGGATGACTGTTGCCGTAGTGCATCACGTTCCTAACATTTCAAGAAGAAAGGAGTTTCAGCTTGAGTGCAATAAAACACTGTCGATACGGCACTAGCATACCTTGGTAGTAGTATCTAAAGCCCGTTCCAACTGCGAAATCCGTATCTCCGAATCCTCTCGTTCACCCTCTAACGCAGCTACCTGCTGGTCCTTCCACACCTCCAACTCTTCCACTTGAGCTTTCAGTGTATTATTATTTTCCAACAGTCGGGCGTGATCTTGCATGGACTGTAACAACTGTTTCTCACGCTGAGCAATCACATCTTTTAAATATTTGGTTTCACTTGACGGTGACGTTGGTGGTTGATCAGAGCTTTTGTTGGATATTGATGTCGTGCTACCAAGCACTGGTGATCGTAATAATAGGGGATTTTTAGGTGGCGATTGTGGTGGTATTATAGGAGATGGAGGTGGTTTGGCTGATTGTGGTATTATTGGTGGTGACGGAGTTTGCTGGATGTCTGTCTTTTGGATAAGCACTGGGATTTCAGGCTGCTCTATAGGTGGTTGCACTATTGGCTTTTCATCGTTTTCTATGGGGTCCTCTACCGTCGACACTTTTCTCTGCACTTCGTCGTTTTCTACAGCCACTTCATTCTTCAAAGACGACGGTGCTCGAGCGAACGACGCGCGAGGAGTATCTGAATTGTCAAGCGACAGCAGAGAATCCGTAACGACATTATTCTCTAAAGCAACCAATGGCATCGAGTCGACGGCTGGTTTTGAATCCGATAATGCTTGGTCGTCCTGTGTTATTTCATTCGAATGTGGGATTGCCTGGTCGTCATTAGGCGGGATCTCCTTTTCATCAACTTTTATCTTGGTCGTATATGCAATTGATTCTTCATCAACAGAATATACATGATCCTTTTCATGCACTTTCACTGGCTCCTGTACAAGATCATCATCTTTACTCTGTGCATTCTCTTTCTCCTGTTTTCTCTCCATACTACTCAATAGAGGTACTGATACGGGCTCTATTGGTGCTGCTGGTGCTGATTCTATATTACTGGCAGTCGCCACACTCGATATGGACGATGGCCTAGGTGGTGAAGGAGGTATGGATACCTGCACGGGCTCTATTAATGATGATTCTTTAAAACTGGGCACTATTGTACTCGATTGAGGCACTGCCTTAGTTGGCGAAGGTGGTATATGATCAAACACGCTGTCGAATAATTGTTCGGGAGGTCGTTTCGGTTCAGGCGTTGCTACCCTTTTTATTGCGACAGGGTTTGGAGACCGTTGAGACATATCTATTGCATAAAAATCGTAAGCAAAAAAGCCGCACAAGAGAACTTCAAAATTCACGTGTACTTGACGAATTCACAGGCTCTGGAGTAGCAGATCGTTGCGAAGACGGCATAGCACTACTACAAGGTTCAACTGGCCGTTCAGTCTGCTTAGCAACGACCTTCTTCAACCGCTCAGAAACACCTGTACTATCAGACGACGCGAGATTCCGTTGCTGCAGCACTTGAGGCTGTTTGTCTGGTTGAGGCACTGACATGAAATCCATTCCAAATACATCTCCTAGTACCAATGGTGCCTTATTTGGTGACGATGACCGCCCAGAACTAGCTGGAGGTGTACTCGATTGTGTTGCTTGTTTGGTATTCGTCGACGACGTTGATGCTGCAGGTGTTGACAATCCAAACCCTAGCATGTTTTGGAAAAAGTCCTCGCTAGAAGTGGCGATTGGCTGTGAAGCTCCACGTGAATTCGACGCTGCTTCTCCTAAAAACGAGAGAGTTTAAGTGTTTTGATTCCCAACTGTTGCAAGATTTTACAACAAGGAATAGCAGAAGGGAGGCTGTAGAGATCAAAAGACGTGCAAATACATTGCAAAGACAGATTGCATACATACCATTATTTGAACCAATGTCGAGGACTTTGTCAATTCGTGATTCCACTGTTTTCAACGCCGACCCAACAAGATCGTTCAATTTGCCATCTAGTGAGCCTATGGAGTCCCAAAAGGACATGTTCTAGACAGTAGACTAGAGTTCGGGAGTATGATGATGCTTAAGACGTCGTCATTTTGTCGCAAAACTGGTTTCTTGAGCTTGACCGAAATCTTGCGACGGAAAGTAAACCGAGACGCGTTTTCTTCATAGGGCTCTCGTACGGTTTATTCTTTTAATTATTTGTCTACTACTGCTACACGTTATTTTGAATTTGGAGGTTGGGTTGGTGAAAATGAAGTTGATTCATGCCGACACAGCAACAGGTCGCGAGTTGCGGCTAGCAAGCGAATAATTGATTCATATCAATATAACGGCCTATTTTAAGGCGCGTTAGTACGCAAATCAAACAAAGGAGAAACGACTTATACTTACCACTCGAGAGCTGAGGAGTTTGGCTATACTTAGCCGCCAGTATGCCACGCACAGAACCGAGCAGCTGAGCAAACGATTGATTCCTGTTCTGTGTGAGAGCCGCGATGAAGGCATAACTAGGGAGTCACAATGTCAGCCTTACAATAAACATCTTCGTCAAATTGGCAAATTCGGACAACGGCAAAGATGAACTTGTTATTTACCTCATCGCACCAGTAGCCCCTACTCCAGCAACGCTAGTATCGGCCGAAGTTTGCGAGTCTTTGCATCCTGCAAACATGATCACATCCGCATAGGACCCATTCAGAGCTTGCTGTTGTGCCAGCTTTTGTTCAGAGTTGGTACCCAATCCGTTGACAGCAGTCATGACGCCGTTCACGGCATTGATCATGCTACCAATATCACCGAGAAGGAAGCCTTGAGCTGCTTGTACTCCAACCTAGAACAAAGGTCAGGAAGTGTTCGAACTCTATAGATTGTCTTAAGTGGTGACGAACCTTGCCCAGTTGATTCAAAGGATTATGCTTCTTTAGAGTACCGTCTGGGAGATACGTAAACGGTAGATTCAAAGCAGTACCACTAAATTGTGTTTAAAATTGTTGAGAATATTGGTCAGAGCTGTTGAGAGAGCCAGCATTGTATGATTGATTGGAGCCTACCTATGACACGAGTCGAATATTGCAGTCAATCGAACACCAGGAGGCAAATGTTTGACCTAGAAGGCGAGACTTTAGTAGGCAGCCACGGAACAAAATAAACCTTCTATACCAACAATCTTACCATGAGAGCGTGCAAATCGTTATCTAAAATCTCTCCAGCTTGAGCATGATCAAGAGGCAAGATCGTATCAGCACTTGCTTGATCACCGGTGGGGTCAACAGCGGTACCCCCATGACCAGAATAGTGAAAGAATAACGAGTCTCCAGGAGCTGCACCTCCAACGAGCCATTTGCAAGCGTTTATTATATTTGCCCTCGTTGGTTTATAGTTTGGATCCGCTTGATCATCGGTAAGGAAGAGCATACTTCCCGGTTCGTTCTTGAAGCCATAATTCATAATGATGAATTTGGACATGTTTCGAACATCGTTTATACAGCCCGAGAGCTGTGAACGCTGTCCAAAGTAATTACAGCCTGATAAAAGTATGAAATGAATGATCATCACTACCCAAAGATGGCAATGACAATTGAACATACCTACGAGAAGCGCCTTCTTCTTTCCAGTAAGATTGGATAATCGATAAGATTGTAAAACTCCAGCAGGCGCAGCCCAGCCTTGCTGCACAGAGGTTTGTCCCGGAGGCGGGAGATATTGATTCTGGGGACTGGGCTGTCCATATTGCTCAACCACGAATCCAGGAGGCGGGCCTTGTGGCTGCGGCGTCTATATTACAACATAGATAAGCACCAGACCACAAAATTACAATGTAAAAGCAAGGAAGCAGCGCAAAAGCAAGGAAGGAGCATGTACCGATGGTTGATAGTACCCAGCTGGTGGGGGCACGGCATTATATGGCGGTGGTGGGGCAGGATAGATGGATTGTTGAGGGGGTTGTTGAGGTTGTTGATATGGGGCTTGAGTGGGAGGGACAGAGGGAGCCGCATATCCTCCATATCCAACAGGAGGAGGAGGATTGGCTGGAGGAGCATATCCCCCATATCCTGCTGGTGGCGGTGGGTTTTGCGGTTGAGAATACATTGGTTGCTGACCATATTGATATTGAGTGTTAGGCTAAGAATGACAGAGGGGATGAAGAGAGGTTAGTTCCAAATCTTTGAGTAGCTCTGACAGATTCGTTTAATAGATTCGTATTATTTTGACTAGAGGAGTGTTGCAAATCAACGTTTGCTTGTAAGTTTGATAGATGTGATGCGATTGTTCATTGGACTAGTTCTGATAGATTCGGAAGCAACAAAACTGTTCCAAATATAGCATGCACGAGTGGTTGTTTGCAGTTTGCATGGTAGCAAACAAGACGAAACGACGATGTTGATGTTGATGCAATGCAAGACCGAACATACCGGAGGGAAGTAGGGCTGCTGCTGTTGAACTACATAGCCCTGAGGAGGTGGAATCTGAGGTTGCTGAGCTCGATACTTGGAAGGTAGAACTGTTTTATTAGTTTCCATCTTGTGGAGGCTAACGCACTTGAGTCTGCTTACCTGTTGACCCGGATACATAATGGATTCCTATTGGAAAAATGCAGGTAGAAGGTGATGCTCTAGGTCTCTTCTTGTTCAAACAAGTGTCTCGTTGCTGCTGTGGCTGGCTCGAAATCTCAACCCGCAAGCCAAGGCTGACTTGACCAACCTGCTTTACGCCTGGGCTCTACGTGAATAGACACGATATTTCAACTATTGGATATTTTTCACACGTCATGACCGTCTCCCTTTTCTCGCCAATCGATCTGTCAACTTCTCTAATAATCGTTTCCAGCCGCCTCAATTTCGATTTAAGACATATCCAAGACTAAACACCCATCGATCTACCAGTTGTATAGCACCTCGGAACTGATATCTTGATTCACTAATATGCCAGATGTCATTTGAAATGGCTCCCTCGCCAAGATTTCTCATTTACAAATTACGAGGAAAACAGAATCTATTAATAGTCATATTGATCGCACTCGTCCTTGGAGCATACTTCTTCCTTCCACCTGGCAATGCCCCTTCCTTAACTTCCCTACCATCTGGGAGGTCGTCTTCGTCGCAACAATTGACAACCAAACCAAGTTTCAAGGAATGGGAGCAGAAACAAGATCCCATCATCACTAGTGAACAGGAATTCCTAGGTTATATTCAAAATGATAACCAGGATCTGGACTCTTCGGAATGCAAACACTTTTATGCTGGAGAGTGGCAGGGCCCGGATATGCCAGACGATGTCTGCTTTTATCCACATCATAGATGCAGAGACCTGTCTCGTTTCCCTGTCCAAGTATGGCCTGGAACGTGGGGACGTGGTGATGGTCCTGATGGTTGTGCCGTACCTTTTGTCTGGGCTAACGAGAGCAGGTTTGCTGATGTCTTGATGACTACCATACCTGTACGTTTGACCTATCACGTCTACATTCTCTACGTGCATTCTCTCACACGCTAATCGCATTAGGGAGGATATACAGAACCACAGCCGAGAAGGTGTCAGCGCACCAGCATCTTTGCTGTAGAAAGTGCCGCAAACTATCCGAGCATAAACGATGCCAAGAAAACTCACGACATCATATCAACATACGAGATCTTTCACGCTGATAATCCTGTACCATACACATACCCATTCATCAATTTCAGCAGGACGCCACTGCCTACTGACGAAAAGAATGTCGAGAAAGTTGGCGCTCTTGTCGCCTCGTTTGTTTCCAATTGCGCGTATGCACTTTGATTGGAAATCGCTGATGGCATTGGTACTGACATGATCCATTTGTAGGCCTCACAATGATAGGAATAAACGAATGGAGGAACTAGGAAATTTAGGTATGCCCAGTCTACAAGTATAACTCTATTTGGCATAAGCCTGTTCTGTTATTAACCTGCGCCAACTACTAGTCTCCGTCCATCAATTTGGGTCATGCATGAATAATGCAAAGCCAATACAGAATGCTCATCGTTGGGATGACAAGATGGTCGAACTGAGAAGGCACAAGTATGCAATAAGTCCCAGGAATGCTTTTTTGCTATTTCTCTAACTCTCATACCTTCACAGGTTCACAATCGCATACGAGAACTCTCGTGCCATAGACTATGGTGCGCTTGCTACAGATTGTTTTATGTTTGATCACATTTCTAACATCTTGACTTTCCTAGTGACGGAAAAGCTCTTTCAACCATTGGAAGCTGGCTCTGTGCCACTAGGTAAGACGAAAAAAAAACCTTTCACGGATCTGGAGCTATTGCTACTTGATTTTTAACACCATTTCCCCTCTCCATAGTTTTTGGTGCCCCGAACTCACGAGACTTTGTTCCCAAAGGCCATTTCCCATCCGCTATATTCATTGAAGACTTCCCCACAACCGCAGATCTCGCAGACTATCTAAAATATCTAGACAAGAACGACACCGCCTACGAAGAATATCTAGATTGGAAGACACGGCCGCTTCCAAGACGTTTTACAAATTTACAGGAACCGTATAAACCGAATTGTGTTTGTAGATTGGCCATGCTGCTTGCAGGCAAGTGGAGGAACCCCAATTTAGAGCAGGGCACAGGATGGACGGTTGATACGCCGAGTAAAATTGATGTTGGTGGTAGTAATGGTCAGTCTATTCGTAAGAATAGTGAACGGCCAATCCGGAAGAAGAAAAATCCACCATTGATTATTAAGCCTGCTCAGTAGTATGAATGTAATAAGCTATTGTATATGATCATTGTAACTTATAACATAGATATACAGTACAATATTTACTATACAATTGCTCAGTAGCATGAATGCACTAAGTCATTACATATGATCATTGTAAATTATAACATTGGTAGCGGTACAAGATTTAATAGACAACACCGGTTTAGGTGTGATGAGCAGAGAACAGCATGTACGCTTCAGTTCCTCTATACCAAACGTAACGGATGATCACGTTTAGTCTTTCCATCCGATATCCGGTCTTTGGTCTTTGGAGTAGGATCTAAAATCTCTGCAACAACCCTTACAATCAAGCTTTACGCGAGTTTCCTTGCAATCGCTCAGAGACGTTGCCGCCATCTAGAGTCACAAACATTAATCGCGAATATTGGCAACTGGATTTTCGTCTTCTTGAGGTGTTGCAAGCCAAATTTTAGCTATTGGATCAAACTGCGCCAATCGCATACGGGTACAGTAGACTGTGTTATGAGACTCGACTTAGCACATTTTGGCTAATAGAATTTTGAATAGTCTAGGTCTCTTGGTGTCGATTTCCGTAGCTCGCCTGTAAAAGGAGCAGCATCAAACAGCTTAAATCCCTGAAGGGGTTTGCTCTCGTTTTGGGTCTTTTCTTGGATTTTCTAAATGGACGCGAATCAAGAAGACGCTCAGGCCCTGGATGTTGTAATACGAATATCTGTGGCTTCTACCAACTCGTTACAACGTACATCACCATCAAATACCCAGTCTGAAGAAAGCCCTAAATCTGTTGGAAGCGCATTAGCATCACAACAACCCATTTCTGAAAATCATGGTGAAGAAAAGGATGCATCAACTGTAATAGCAGGCCACAATGGAACGAAATCTATGACACAGTTACCACCACCATCACAACCGCAACGAAGTGAATCTCGTGAGATACTGTCAGAGTTCACGCAACTAGGAATACATAATCGGTTTCCCAAATACATTCCTGGACAATCTGGACCATACATGTCACATGTCAACTCTGCTTGCACGTCGCCATTAACAAGTGCAACGAATATTTCAGCAGATCACGAACATGCCTTGCCAGATTTAAGTCTGGGTCCTGCTGCCATGTCGAAACGACCTATTGTTGGTAGTAATTCAAGTGTACGCAGTGTTTCACAAAATGGGATTTCAGCTTCTGCTGGTGCTATTGGGGCTTCCACGGGTGATATGCAGGTACAAGACATTGTGGATGATGAGCATCGTAATTATACAAGTCTGGATTCTACAAGCAAATCCCATACACCGTTAATGAGTGGCTCTTTACATCCCATGGACACGATTACAGAAGCAACATCAATCGAAAACATTCACAATATTGGCAAACCCGAACATTCAGCTTCACCGTTAGGAATACCACCTGTATCACCAGTCATCCGCCCAATATCACGAAACAAATCAAACAGCTCCACCCATCTATTTGAAAAAGGTGCAGAAACAACCATGGTTGCCTCAACACCACAACAAGCAACGTCAGACGAACAATTACATACGACATCGCTAGCAAGCAGGACACGAGATGATACACTGACTCGCAAACGAAACTTTCTCCATCGATTGTTTCATCGGGAGAGTGTTACATCACAGGATGGCGTTGAGACTACGCCGACTCATAGTAGTCCTGGTATCAGTAGCGCTGAACCACTAGATGGCACATCGACGCCAGATGACGAAGCTCCAAGTACTGGTGGAGGTGGACCACGAGACTCGCATGAATTCCGACGTGGCAGGTCAAGTGTGAATGGAATTGCATTATCAGATACACACCGTCCCAAATCAATCGTATCCAAAATATTCGGATTATACTACCACGCTTCGTCACCCGATGACGATATCAATGCAGTCGACGGTGGACACGAGCGTACCCAGTCAATGGGATCGCAGGAAAACCTCTCAACGACCAAAGACAAGGAAAATCCATGTCGTGACGGAACCACATCGCCAGACATACCCGGGTCACCCAAACACACTGGCTCAAGCTTCATATCGTCGTACGCATCAACAACGGAACATTCAGAATCTGCGGGACACGCCCTCGCATTCAGTTTCTTTCGTCGCCATCACCCATCTATCACTGCATCCGGCGCAACAGACCATCACGGCAACCACATGCACGATGACACAACAAAGGAATGTACTGAGCACCACACAAACAACCTCCTACGCGAAATCCTCATACATCGACGCTCCAAACACCACTCCGCTACTCCAGTCGGGACAACACCAACATCCCACAACGCAGTGGCTCCAAACAATAGCGCTACAAACCTAGCATTTTCATCTTCACCACACCCAATAACACCTGTAACAGACTCGTCAAGTGCAAGTGCGTCACCATCGGTAGACGATGGATCTCCAATGACCATGTCGTCGACGCCTAAATCGCGATTCTCGATGCACCGAACGGCTAGTGAGCAGAGCATGACTGAGAAATACGGAAGAGTGGATGAGGTGCTCGGACGTGGTGCTAACGCTGTGGTGAAATTGGCGCATAAGGTGTCGGAGCCTGTGCTGGGATGCTCGCATGAGAAGCTTTATGCTGTCAAGGTATAGTTCGTCTCAACAGTAGGTTTGTCTGCTGCTTCTCGTTGGATTTTTCTTAGCATTTCGCTTCAAATTGCATAGGAGTTTCGTAAGCAAAGGAAGTGCGAGTCGTATAAGGAATACATCAAGAAACTAGTCGCTGAATTCTGTATATCGAGCTCCATGCACAACGAGAACGTTGTGGAAACGGTTGATCTCATTCAAGACGAGGTATATCTTGCCCTTTTCGAGGACTTTTTTTGCACATTCAATGAGTCTGAACACATCTTCCAACACCAAATCACAATAGCGAGACAGGTGGTGCGAAGTAATGGAATACCTCGGAGGTGGCGATCTGTTCTCCTACATAGCAAAAGGCCTCCTTAAAGATGTAGACGCCATCAACTGCTACTTTAAACAAGTAGTGCAAGGTGTAGCATACATCCACTCAATGGGTGTAGCACATCGTGATTTGAAACCAGAGAACCTGTTGCTGGATATTAGTTATGGTACTTTGAAAATCACTGATTTCGGTACGTTTTGGAATTTCATGCATACATCATCTTTTGACTTTTTTAACCAATTTTTAAACAATAGGGGTGTCTGAAGTATACAGGACAGCATTCGAAAAGGCGCCACGAAAAGCCAAAGGACTGTGTGGTTCTGAGCCGTACATTGCACCAGAAGAGTGGGAGGAAGGTGCTGAATACGATCCATGTAAGGTGGATGTTTGGGCTATAGGTAAGACACAAAATTGCTTTGGAAGTTTTCTCTATAGTCCGCACGATCAATGAGTTACTGATATCTAACGTCCATCTTCACAACCACATAGGAATCATATACTACACAATGATATACAACTCAGTCCCCTGGCGCGCCTCTAAGCAAGGCGATACACACTACCAATGCTACCTCTCACGACGCCATCCAGGACCACCTGCACATGGATTTATACCGTTTGATCGCCAACCACCTGGAACCCGAGACATGCTGTATCGACTGCTGGATCCATCCGCAGATCAGCGTATCAGCATCACGGAGATTATGAACGATCCGTGGTTTATGAAGATTGAGAGTTGTAAGCTTGCTACGAAGGATACGCATGTTGTGGGGCATCATCATGAGAGTCCTGCTCCAAAGTAAAAGTGGATTTGAATATAGAAGGAAGGCTATTTTGTCTATAATGCTTGTTTTACACTATGGAATATCGAAGCGTACGCTGTCGCATACATTACATTTTAATAGACGTACATTTGAAAGAACGCATGAAGCTTGCTGAAGGCCGTTTTGGCTTCATATGAGAAAAGATGTTTAATTCAAGTGGAGTTCTAGGAATACTTACAAAGGCGAAAAAAAGACGAAAAGCTGAAGTTTTATTCTACAGTTATACCACCACACATTCAAGTCTTGACATTTGGGTAAATAACATCATAATGGCCCGGCCGATACATGAGGACAACCTCTGGCTGATTCGGTATATCCACAGGATCCATAGGCGAGAACTCGTGATAGTTGATATCCCCACCACTCGTTTCCGCCAAATCTAGATTCGCAACTTTTATATTCACACCCAATGCACTCGACATTGCCACGATGTGGATATTATCTGATTCGACTGCCACTAAGTAAAACACAAGAGAATCAAACAGTCAGTGAAATGAATCCGTCTGGTATCTCGGGGGGATTTTCGGCTTACTTGGCTCGACCTGATTCGAGATGAATATATCAATTGACGGATACGAGTCTAGTATGAATGCCTCATACATGTCTCGATCTCGTTTCAGGATTGCGGCTGTGACAAGACGCAGATAGCATACGATTGCTTCTCCGTCGTACTTTTCGGTGAAGAGGTCGAGCAGGTTCTTGTCCTTTTGGGGTTTGAAGGTGTTTATAAACATGTCGTAAAAGTCTTCGATTGCGTATAGGTCGTATCTGGATGATAAGTAGTTGATTAGTAGCAGGAAGGGGATGCAGAAAAGGACAAATAGCTTGCGTATGTATGCTCTTCATGGCAATTATGTTTCCTCTCGACAAGAATACGTACCCCTGTGAGAGCAACAACTCCTTGGTTGACATGGCACGCGTCAGTATAGTATCAGCCCATAGCGTATTGGCCTGTTCCCATACGAGTTCAGCCAATCGGAAACCAAATCCTCTGTAAAAGCAGTTACCATCCTTCTTGATGGCTCTCATCCCTCGACATTCTTTGATAACTGACTATGAAAAAATATGGTATTGAGTAAACTGTCAGAACACAAAAAAGAACAGTTCAATGCTCGTATTCGATTCAGTCCAGTATACCTGTATTTTTCGCTGAAATATGGCAGATCCACCAGCATATTCGTGTTGGAGGGTCGTAAAGTCCATGATTTCCGAGACGAGAGGTTTACTTAATTCATCAGCTTTGGCAATCTTTTCAAAGTCCAAGATTTCTTGATCACTTGGCCTTGCCAGCTCTTGCTCCTGAGTTGCCATGACGGATGTTTCGTTGATTTTGTGGAATGTCGAGTGGTTTTTGATCAACGGCAGCTGAGGTGATTTGAGATTGAACGCTGCTACAGGAAGATTTCACTAGACAAATCACTATATTCATCAATCTTATTTACAAATTTCTTGTTTCTTATCAACTTTATTCTCCAGTCACCTCTGGTCGGTCAGGGCGGGCGAAAGATGTTGAATTGGAAAACTGTGGCGACGACGCGACGACGAATGACGAATGAAGGCATGAACTTGGACAATGATTCAATACGTGTTGTAATCGCTTTTAAGCTTTTAAGCTCGAGATCGCGAAAGTAACGTCTTTAAACGCTCTTATTCGTCTTGTAGAAGGCGCAAAAAAATTCATCCATTGATGTATCAGATGCCATAAGCTTCGATCTTAAGACATCAACTGCTTTCATGCTTTCAACTTTCAACCTGTCAACTTGACGTACAAGTCCCAAAACACGTTCTTAAAATTGCATGAAATAAAATTGGATTGAATATGAAAAAAATGAGATCAAGCAAATAAGCAACAGTTTCAACTAAATATAACACCCAACACTCCTTCTCCTTCCTCCCATCCTCTTTTGCCCAAAACGACACCCCCTTTCCTTCCTCAAAGTAAACATCGGTCTGCCAAAAAACGTGTCGGGTCGTCTTTATTAAAGTTCCACCCACTATTGTCTCCCTATCTTCTTCAATTGCTTTCCTTTTTCAAGCCATCGGGTTTGCAAGTCCTACGAAAGCTCCAAAGAACTGTGGTGACGGAAGAGCAGGTACAACGTTAATTGTTGGCGATGGGGCAAATGATGGGGCTGCAGATGGTAGAGTTGGTGATGCTCCTCCTGGTACGTCCTAGAAGCGGGGATGATGTGATGAATTACCTGATGTACAAGCAATAGTTGCTGCAACATTCAATAACTCCCAAAACGGTATTGATTATATAATCCGGGATTCGGGTTTTCTTTGGCTTACCGGACTGTTAGCAGCTGGCGAAGCTATAACTGGAGATGGTGCGGCAGGGGATGCTATGATTGTCGAAGTAAGTGGGGACGAAATAGCACTACTCGTTGTCGACGACGTGGTTGACGTGGTGCTTGAAGTAGTTGTTGTCGTGGTTGTTGACGTTGTACTTGACGAGCTAAACGTAGACGATACTGTCGAGCTCGATGGCATGGTAGACATCTATCATTCAACGATTATAAGCGGTGTTATATTCTTGGCCGCTTCAAAAGGCATCCAAAATCTAGGTGGGTTGTTCAACTCACTGTGCTGGCGACTGGAGAAGATGTAATGGACATGCTTTCGGTGGCTGACGCAACAGACTAAAAAGAAGATTCAATCGCCAAGATAAAATCACGATTTTCGAAGCGCCCGTATCTCTGCAATTGGACATACCAAAGTAGCTTCAGCAACTTCCGTTGATGTCCTTGGAGATGGTAGTCTAGTAGATCGCTCCTGGATAAGTTTGATGTGTTGTTGAGTGAGTGAAGACCCAGCGACACTATCATCTCAGTCATTCGTCTCAAACTATATACATACAGGGCTAGTTGTTGGTTCTCTTGTTGACTTGGTGGGCGATGCGGTAGGCGAGGCAACAATGGGAACTACAACGGGAACGCTCTTTGAAAGCAAAAAGCGTCAGTTGAAAATCCACACAAAAAAGGCAGAGATGAAATCTGTCATACCGCACTAGCTACAGCAGAGGGTGCTACTGATGGATTCTATAAGGCAGTTTCCACGATTTAGCACTACTTGACTAATGTAACGTGATTCAAAACGTCAAGCACTTACAGGACTAGAGACATCTGCAGAAGGAATCACAATCATTGCTGGCGATGGAGGCAGACTGAACGTAGGTGCAGGAGATAATGGCAGTGCAGATACATCTGGAGAAGCAGCGACTTCAGCAGAAGGAACCTTAAAACCAAGAAAATAACACAATATAAGGTTAGATCAATTCACTGTGTGCGGTCCTTCAAAGACCAGCAGATGCGGATTTTACCAAAGTTGGTGATGCTTCGGCGATTTCAGGAGACGCAGCTACTACTGGTGAAGGCAAAGCTGGCCCAGATGGAGTAACTGATTGTAATACCGGTGATGCAACAGGAGAACCGCTGCTTTTGACTGATTTAGTGGGACTAGGCTGCTTGCCACTCCTAACAGGTGATTGTACTGGCGATGCCTTTGGTGCTATATATGTGTGGTTGGGTTTGGAAAAAAATGTTGGTGGTTAGTGACGATTTGCGAAGCTTAAGGTCGATGACGCATCAAACAACCACGTAAAGAGAGGGGGACTTACAGTAGCCCGGTGGTAGACTTGGGATCAAACTGCCCGAAGGCGTTGGCGTTTCGATGGCTGCAAGGTTGATGAATCTTGGAGCAGACTCTACGAATTGTATGGTGCTAAACAGAACCGCTAAAGCGGCACCATAAAGCGTGGATACTCTCATTGACACGCTATATGTACCGAATTCTACGGTAAAGACACTCTCTAACTGCTGATAAACAAACAAACCACTTGGCGACAATTAGTGGAGTTGTGTTCTGAAACTCAAGGGGCGACACTCATTCAAAAAACCAAAGTCTTTTGGAGGTAGTTCCAGACCCCAAATCGATGATGCATTCAAATAAAATAGTGTATTCACGTAACCCAACAGCGATCGTTAAGTTCCACCCTCCTAAAACCTCAATTTGCTCAAATCTTCAGTTGGACAGATTGCAAGGACACGACAATCAAAGCAATGTTAACCGCGAATGATGCAGCTTATAACGCATTCAAATCATTCAAACTTAGACCGATAATGAGTGTCCATAGCTCCGCCAAGCATTATCGAAAACATAATCAAGCAACACCCACGCGTCCCAATACACCAGTTTTAAGAGCTCATAAAGTTATTGAGACAACACATTTCAAACAAAAGATACAAAGGCATCACAAATACAAACGTTTGTCCATCAGCCTTTATATATTAAATCACTTGGCCTTCTTCTTGTCCTCCTTTTCTGCTGTTACTGCGTCAGCTGCATCAAGGACAGCATGATGAGCCTTCTTTGCAGCCTTCTGTTTCCTTGCTTCTGAAACTACATCCATAAACTCTCTCTGTTCCTCTCGCAGATTTGATGCTCCAGAATCATTCAATTCTCCCGTCCATTCATACATTCCCCATCCAAATGCTAGCATGAGAGCTCCATGAACTGTATATAAAGTGTAGGATTAGACCAAGAAGTCAGACTAAACAACGATTGTTCGTTTGGTAGATCCAGTGAGTGCTTTCTTACCTATACAAGTTGACAATGCATTTCCACTTGATGACTGCTCAAGCGTCATTCCTGGATTCTTAGGACCTACAGGAACAAATCCTTAATTAATCACGCTCATGTCGATTTTCGTAACCGTCATTTGCCGCAGTACCAGGTGCAGCTGACTCGTTAAAGAAGGCGACGACTCCAATAACAACCATGCCAAAATGGTATGCGAATGCTCCATACGAATAGCATCGCTTAGCATCTGCAGATGACTTCCACCATAGCACAAGAGATGGTATAGCTCCAAATGTTGTTATGGACAAGCCAACCTAATAGTAACTCGTGGAAAGTGAGCTGCGCACGCTGATTTGATGCTAATGGCAGCAGAGTGCCGAATATAAGTAAGTAAACTATCAGATGTTCGAGTGTTGGCAAAACCCAGGGCAAAACCCAGGGCAAAATAGTTTTGTGAAATGTTTGATGTCGTGTGTTTACCATTTGAGCAGCCAGAGTTGGAAAGCCTAAACGAACGAAATTATTAGAAAATACATATTAATTTCATGGACAGGAACAGAACTCGTTGCCAAACAATAGCGAGAAGAAAACATAAACCTGGCCTTTGGACAATACATACCACCATCGTTCAGCGAAGGAAACAGGAGAGGTTTGCCGAAATATTTCTCGCTGATAGTGGGCAGCAAGGTAAAGATACCGCCAGCCAATTCGATGAGCCCATTAATCAGTAGCAAAACCATTTTGTTGTTTTTATGTTTTTGTTGTGGTTGTAACTGAAATTTCTCGCATTCCATTGGATAGTCTGTGCACGGTTATCTAGCAAACTAATATGGGTACATCGAATACATACACCACAATTCCCGTGGACGGTGAAGAACTTGCATTGCATCAAGTTTCAATGCGATGAAGGCACGAAATCCGGCACTAGCGTCACTGCATGAGGAGAATCAGAGACTCAAGGACGACGTAGCTGCATTGGAACTACAGGATCTGAATTTGCAGGGCGGCTTGGGATTAACAGTGCGAGGAAGCGATTGGAGAAGTTGGAGAGACGGTTAGCCAGTGCAGGTGGTGGTGAAGGTTCAGGGGACGAGTCGAAACAGGATATGTAAGTGAGCGTGTTTCCTAAATTTGGACAGTTGTGTCTTAAATCCTGACTCTTTTAGCCAATTTGTGACATTTCTTGAAACAAATATCATCAGCTGTAATATGGACATTTACCAGTAAATCTGTACGATTTTAAACAAATTGGTGCATCTGTTATCTGGATTCACTCTTTCGATGTTGTAGTGACCTGTGTCCAAGAAAATTGTTGGAAGACGAGGAATAATGTGGCAATGACGATAAACACACTCAGTGGAGGACACCTCAAGATATCAATGATCGAAAGCCGCAATGTGAACTAGAGCGCTCAAAGTCAACGGAACCAACACGGCATAATCCATCAAACATTGCAAGCTTCTTTTTGCTTGTTGAAGTCAACATGTATTTTTGCATAAAAATTCCTTCTCAGAGCACATTCATTTTACGTTTTGCACAACTTTTTCATCTTATTTAAAATGTAATAAGCGTCGACCTTCCCTTCCTCCTCCTCATCATCTCATATGAACATGCTTACAGAACCCTCCCATCCTTCGTCCTCATTGATCACCAAAGTCCAAATACAAAGCAAATCTCAAACCTAGTTTTGATATCTCTACTCATGTCTCGCCATACTGCGTTGTTGCATCTGTAACTCCAAAGCCCGTTGTCGCTCAGCATAAGCCGCCGCAGCAGCTTCAGCACTATTATTACTATTGTTATTACTAGTTCTGCGGTTCGGTGAGACGCTGGTATTATATTCTGGCGGTGGTGTAAAGCTTGGTGGTTGAGATTGCGTCAACATATTATTACCATTACTACCAAATCCAGGTATTCCAGGGTGCTGCATGGTAAAGCCAGGTGGGGGAGTTCCTCCTTGTTGTTGATATTGATTCATGCTGTTACCATTGCCATTGTTATTGAGTTGCATCAATCCTGCATCTACTTTGCCACCATGGTTGGTTACTGCTGCGAATACGGATGCTAGGTTTGGATTTGGTTGTTGGGGTGGACGTTGTTGTTGCTGCATTTGTTGCTGAGGTGGTTGACTTGCTCGATTGTTCGAAGTAGGTCGTTGTTGGATTTGTTGATATATGGGTCGTATTTGCTGTTGCTGTTGTTGGTTTTGTTGCATAGCAAACACAGGGTTTATAGGTTGCGGAGGCGTATTATTAAACATTGGCACATTAGCCATGTTTGGCATACCACCTTGCTGTTGTTGTTGAGCATTATTACTCCTCATCAAATTACTCAACAATTGCACCATATTTTGATTCATATTACTGGCAGCCCCAACATTCATTCCAGCATTCGTTGTCGGCATTTGTTGCTGTTGTTGCATAGGTTGGATACCCTGTTGTTGCATAGGTCGTTGCTGAATACCGCTGAGGATGGCTAATATAGGATTGGATGGTGCTACACCTGGAATTTGCATCGGTGGATTATTTGTACCAGAAGCTTGTTGTTGATGTTGGAACATCATAGCTAATGGGTTGACGGGACCTCCACCAGCAGCAGATGAATATGTTGGTTGAATCAAGTTTATAGGTAGCGGTGGGAGAGTAACCATTGGCATATTCGCATCACCTGCCGGCATTGGTGTAACAGATCGTCCAGATTCACCTCCTCGTCTAGATGATCTACGTGTCGAGTCTCCACCACTTCCAACAAGCAACAAACTACCCAAGATGAGATTTTGCTTGGCAGGGCCAGGCGGTAATTGGCATCCATTTATATGAGTGACAAATTTAGGCAGCCTATCACCTTCCTTGAGACAGCATATATACATATCCTTGATTGAGGATGTCTTGTCCTTGACCACAGCATATCGAGCCTTTGTATAAAAGTAGTCAAAGAATTCTTGACAATTCTTTTCATCATCGGGTGTTGCCGCATATGTAAATGATATCACTACAACCTGTTTATTGGGTGTTTGATGCTGTTCAAACATGTACTTTTCAGCACGATCTGTTGCGATACGACCTTCGATGACTAGAGTTTCTGGCAGGATGGATTCCCATTCAGATTTTGCTATAGTGTGACCAGATACTTGTTTTGCGTTACAGCTGAATTTGGCTACAGCTTGCATGGATATAAGACCATCCCATATCTTTTCGGGTAGTGGTGGCGGTGAACCTGGTGGCGTATACGACCTATTCAACTCGACTGGAATTTGGTCTTGTCCACCATCTAGCGGTGGTGTCTTCTCAAGACTTGCTCTGCCACTATATCGTTGATTGTTCTCTTCTTGAAGAGCAGATGCATAGAATTCATTCTCCATTGGATCCAAATCTCCTACTGACGAAGGGGTTGCCGACCTGGCACCACCAACTTCTTCCGTGAGTGATGTCTTTACCCGTTTAGGAGATACATCTGCAGATTCAGGAGCTGATCGTTTATTACTCGTACTAAAAGTTCGAATTGGTGCGCGACGAGTTGGAGTCGAGCTATTACTATTACCACCACTGCGGCTTACTTCAGGTACTTCACCGTCACCCAGAAGGGCAGCAGACGAAGACCCGCTAATCGTAGATGCTGACATCATGACGGAGTCGTTATCCATAGTAGCCGACATCGTGGGAGCACCTTCAGTGGGTGTAAATTGGCTATAATCTATTTCAATCTCTCCCTTGTGTGTCTTTTTCATTATCGGCACGAGATCCGATGGTGTGAGGAGTAGATTCTTCATGGATTGCTTTTGGAGCGTTTCTGCCATGTTTACTATATCTTCTTTGGCAAGATCTTCGGGAGCAGCATGTACTATGGCTGGAGCATCCATTTCTCCAGTAACGATGATTTTACGTAGACGAGTATTGGTGGTGTCCTTGAAGTTGAATACAAGAGATCGTACTTTGGACTTGTATCTATAAGTGAGCGAGAAGAAAAGATTGTGAGAAAACACATAAATGCGAAGATTCCGATGTATTGTTTTGCACCGGAACACATCGCAGAAAAAACCCGCCAAACGCACTGTTGGCGAACGCATCGGACTTACTTGTCGCCAACTTCAATCTTATTCTTAGTTCCTTGAGTACCACAAGTATTAAATATCTCAGTCTCCAAAGTCTTTGCAAATCCAGCATGATCTTGCAAATCAATAGCAATCTTGACATCACCAAACACTCCATCTTTGGCTTCCTTGAAGATGGCTTCAACCAATTCACCGAATAATTTTCGAGTCTTTCGTCGATACGTGACAGTCTCAGACGAATGCTTTGTTTTACCATCTGCCGTTGTTGGTGCGTTTGATGTTGTTGCTGGTGGTGAATGTTTCTTTGATGTTGACGAGGATGAAGGTTTCTTGGATTTGGTACCAGTGGTGAAATCTTTTGGTCTGGATGATGATGATTTTCTACTACTATTAGCACCCTTGACTGAGCTTGCGTTATTGCTGGCTTGTTGGGCGTGGTCCTTTGAGCAATACAAGTTATTTTGTCTAGCTGGTCGTTTACAGCCGGCTACAGCACACTTGGGCTAGAAATGATGATAAAAAGTTAAAAATCAAAAATGATATCACAACGAAAAAGGCTACAAAGAGATGTGAATGATCGCCACTTACAGGTTTGGGAGCTGACTTGTATGTAGGAGTAGGTTTAGGCTCCTTACTATGATCCACCTCATCGTCATCCTCCTCCTCATCATCATCCCCATCAGATCCATCATCATCAGATTCCTCCTTTGTAGCCTTCTTGACCTTGGTAGACGATTTGTCTTTTACATGCCCACTCCCAGTTTTCTTTCGATGTTTTGGAGCATCGACACTCCCATTCGATTCCTGATAATCATCCGAGTCCGGATCCACAGGCACGTCATCATCATCACTGAAATCCCCTTGTTGTTCATGAGGCATTACCTGTCCAAAGCCACGTTCACGACATGGTGGACAAGCCCATTTGATCTTGCCGAATGTTGATGCCATTTTCTTTGAAAGGCCTATACAATTTCCATGGTACCTATTTAGTGGAAGGATTGAGATCGTTAGATGGGTTGGTGTGTGATGTTTGTGTTTTCACATATGTTTTTCATTGTTTTGCCCCCACACACACTATATCTCCAGAGAAAACACACATGTAACGGCATTCCATTCATCACAATCATCATGTTGTGATGTGTCAATCTCATGTCTGATGTTTTTCAAAAGTTGAACGTCATTCGACACAACACCCAAATTCATGAAACAGGTGCAAATCGTTACACCATTGATAGTGCAGTTCAAGATTTTGCAACGTTCTGTTTGAAATCAGGGTCTGAGCGAATGCGCCAAAGCAGTTGAATCGAGAGACAAGGAGAGCAGCAAATGTGGAATGCCTATGTAAACTCCAAACGAGATTTGGGACAAGTGGCGAATGTTGTGTGTGTAATCTCTTTACAAGTAAAGGCTACAGTAGTGTGTGTGTGTGGGGCATACGTTTTTACATCACAAAATGGATGCAAAAACACAAAGAGAGACTTGTATAAAATGTTTTTTGTATCCGGTATCCAACAACAATAGTTTATAAGCTAGAATAAGATCAAGTCTGGTTGCTACACCTACCACTCTTTGCAATAGTCACATTCAATCATGAATCCGAACTCATCAGGTCGTCGACACAAGCAGTATAGAGGTAGACCATCCTCGTTGTGAGTAGGTCGTTCGTCAGGTTGAGGACTGGGTCTTGTCATGGTAGGTGATGCGGGTTGTTGTTCCGAAGAGACAGTTGTCTAAAGTAGGGAGAGTGTAGAATGTTTGAGTTAGCATACATTATTTGTGTCATAAAACTTGACAACAAAAAGAGGAGAAAGCAGAGCACAAGATAGCGACTCAAACAAGCTTTTGAATAGATATGATTGTTCCATGGATGATCAACGTACCATGACTATGTAGATATGACTTGTCCCGTCTTGGGTTTTGTCCGTCACAATGCCCCTTCCGCAGCAAATCGAGACGAAAAGTGTGATGGAATGTGACGTCTGATACGAGGCTGGTTGGTGTATGCAGCTATAATGGGAATATCGCCGAATATATAGGTATAAGTACAAATATACTCGATAATGAATTGATGTCCCTTCTTCTTATAATATGTAATGGGACGTCGTAATGGTGGGCCAAGAGAATGAAGAAAACGGGAAATGGCCTAGAGAATGGGCCAAACGAGATGATTCCAAGAGCGCCAGATATGAGTATGCGTGCCTCTGTACAGTCTCCAATAGCTCCCGAGTTCTTGATAGTGGGATTTAGCCTCTCCTCCTATAGGAACGAATGGTTCGTATGGTTGGAAGAATGTGATGGGGCAAGATAACAAGACAGCGATTTGCAACATATAAATGGCATATAAAGAAGGCTAGTATCACTGGTTGACACATTGTATGCGCGTCACATTGATGATTTAGATTGATTGACATATTCCATAACGGCGTATTACATCGACTTTGCAAACGTTTCAAACTTTGGCGAGTTAGTTGGCCTGAAGGAGGCCATTGTTTACGTGATTACGTGTATTTAATGTGTATTCCGACGCATACTGGGCGATACACGTCCTTACGAGACAAGATTGGCTGGTTGCCTCTCATTCACACTTCCACCACATCCCATCATCACATATAGGCTAACAGAGACAACAAGAAGCAGCCATGGTCTTGGCTGACTTGGGTAACTATTCATCATTGTCCATCTATCTGTTGTTATATCTTTCTTTACACCATACACATACACTAACTGCTTGGATCCACTCTCCAGGTCGTAAAATCAACAATGCCCTAAGGAATCTGACTGCCGAAACTGTCATTGACGAAAAAGTCCTCGATGCCCTTCTCAAAGACATATGTGCCGCCCTCCTAGAAGCAGACGTCAATGTCCGTCTAGTCCAAAATCTACGCAAAAACATTAAAAACATTGTCAACCTCGACGAACTCGCTGCTGGCGTAAACAAACGCAAACTCATACAAAAGGCCGTATTCGACGAACTATGCAGACTCGTCGATCCACAGGTCGATCCATACAAACCCAAAAAGGGAAAACCAAACACAATCATGTTTGTTGGTCTACAGGGCGCTGGAAAGACCACTACTTGTACCAAACTCGCCGCATACTATCAACGTAAAGGTTGGAGGGTGTGTCTTGTATGTACAGATACATTTCGAGCTGGTGCCTTTGACCAGCTGAAACAAAACGCTACAAAGGCCAAAATACCATATTATGGATCATACACGGAAGTAGACCCTGTAGTCCTCGCTGCTGAAGGTGTAGACAAATTCAAAAAGGAAGGGTTTGAAATCATCATTGTCGATACCTCTGGTCGTCATAAACAGGAAACCGAGCTGTTCGAAGAAATGAGACAAATATCTGCTGCCGTACATCCTGATAATACTATATTTGTAATGGACGGAACTATTGGGCAGGCTGCTGATGCTCAGGCTCGTGCTTTTAGGGAGACGGTCGATATTGGTAGTATCATAGTCACAAAGATGGATGGACATGCTAAAGGTGGTGGTGCCATATCTGCTGTCGCTGCTACCAATAGTCCTGTAATCTTTATTGGTACCGGTGAACATTTATACGACTTGGAAGAGTTCAAGCCAAGGCCATTTGTATCCAAGATGTTGGGTAAGCGTGGTGGTGGTTGGAATTGAATGGGCATTCAATGGGATATTTTCTTCTCGATCGCCTTTGTTGATACCCACCACTCCATTGCTACTTGATAGCGACTTCGATCCATCGCTAATTTTTGCTCCATCTCACAGGAATGGGTGACATTGGAGGCTTGTTGGAAACAGTCCAAGACCTCAAACTCGACCAAAACAAAAACCTTTTCAAAAACATTGAAAAGGGCGTCTTCACCCTTCGTGACATGTACGAACAATTCCAAACCATATCTTCCATGGGCCCCTTATCCAAAGTAATGGGAATGATGCCCGGTATACCGCCAGAAATGGCAAAAATGTCAGACAAGGAAGGAACCGCAAAGCTGAAACACTTCATGTGCATGATGGATTCCATGACTGACGAAGAACTGGATTCAGACGCGAAATGCTTCCGTGAATCACCATCCCGTATTTATAGAGTATGTAAAGGATCTGGAACACGTATACACGAGATGGAAGAAATGTTGGCACAGTTTAAAAACTTTGCTGAAATGGTTAAAGGTATGGGAGGTTCGAAAGGATTCTTGAAGGGTATGGATCCGGCCAAGAATCATGGCAAGATGAACCCTCAAGCGATGGCCAAGATGGTATGTTTCTTGGTTTAGTTTTTGCATCTTTTTACAATTCTGAAACTCTTATAAAATATAACAGGGTCAACAGATGCAGAAAATGATTCCTGCGGGAATGTTGCAGCAGATGGGTGGTATGTCTGGAATTCAAAAGATGATGAGTGATATGGTATGTGGCGTTGGACTTCTAGTTATTACTCTCCCTCCTTGCTCCAATTGTGTTTTGTTGACGTGGTGGCGTTTCTTCTATTAGGCAGGAGCAGGTGGTGGCCCTGGAGGATTACAATCAATGATGCAACAAATGGGAATGGGTGGTGGTATGCCTCAGTTGCCTGGATCTGGTAGTGGTACCGGCCGTGGCCGTGGTAAAAGGTGATCCATGGAAAGATAGAAGGATGCGTAGAGACTTTATACCTGCCTCTCTCGACTTTATATCATTACTCTACTATCATTGCTTGACAACATCACACACTATTTTACACCGCTGTTCTTACATACACCTTGCATAAACGTAAAATCAATCGCCTTTTCGTAATCTTATAAAGACAAAGCATATCAACTCGCAGCGGATCCTCTTCGTTTCATGAGGTCTATTTTTTGGGAGTAGTTTTTGCATCCTTTTACAGTTTTTGAAACTCTATATAAAGCACAACATTGGATTCCATATTTTCCCTACTCTTCATCATCATCACCATCCTTCTTTCCCTTTCGACTCTTCTTAGGCGCTTTCGCTCCTTTGGACCTAGAAGCTAAGAGCTGTGCAGTGTGTTTCTTCAAAGTCTCACGATCAGGCACTTCGGCGAAATCGTCATCGTTTTCATCTTCATCTAATTTGTAAGTGGAATTCATTCGGTGTGTGAGTGATCATTCGGTGTGTGAGTGACTGGATGAAGTGATAATGATGCACATTCATCGGGTAAAATCAAGGGTGTATTTTTGCATTCGCTTTTCCACATACCTTCAGCAGACTCTGGCTCGAATTCAAGAGGACGTAATTTGACTCGAGTGTTGTATGGTGGGAGGCCGGATTGTCCTACTTGAAGGATACCGACTGGTTCGCCGGCGACTTGTGATGCGACGGTTGCAGGCTATCAATTGTCAATGATTTTAGCATATATGGATCTTTTTTTTTGGGCAAAAAAAAGCATCAATCGTTTTAGGGTACTCACGTCAGGAATATCACGTTGTTGCAGACTAGAAATCAAGGTCTCCAATTTAGCCACACAGACTTCGAGAACGGATGCGACTGTGTCGTCTGATACGGCTGGCATTGGTGTCTTTTCAGCCTAGAGAGAAAGAAGGCCCAGCTGAGACATTCGCATAACATGTTGTTCAAACCGCGGACACTAAATCACATACCATTTGAATGCCTTCCAGCTTATCACAAAGATGCTGAGTCCCCGACCTCGCATCATTCAACAACCGACTCAGCCGCTCATACCTGCCCCTCGTCTCGCCACATTTAACCTCAGCAACACTCAAATGCCCTTCGAAATCAGCAACGACAGCAGCACTCTGTGCAGTGCGTGACTCGCCCGAGTATTTCAATTCACCCAATTCCTTAATCGCTTCTTTGTGTTCCTGTTTCAATGAATCGACACGGGATTCCGCTTTACGTTGTAGTGAAATCAGGTGTGATTTGGTTTCTTGTTGGGCTTGGAACCGGGCCGAGACTTCTGAAATGTCGGATGCGCCGGTTGCTTCTTGGATTACGCGGAGCGTGTGTTCGAATTCGAGGGCGGCTTGCTCAAGGGTGTCGTCTCGGGTTGGTTTGGATTCGGAGGAGGGGAGGGCGGATTCGGCTGTTGGATCTTCCATTTGCATTGACTGTTGTTGGTTGCAGATGTGGGGGAAGAGTGAGTACATATGATGTTTGAGAAGCACAATCAAAAGAAACCCGTTGCGGAGCTCTTCACGCTTACAGTAATATTCAGCTTGTCAGCCAACTCCATTTGATGCTTGACCATCTCCTTTCGGAACGTCAAATCCTTTTCACGCTGCTTGCGCTCTTCGTTGATTTGAGCTTCGAATCGTGCCAATTCAGCCTAATACAAGCAAAACGTCATGTCAGAATAGCAAAAAAGCGGATATGACACTCATTCATGTTGCGCATCCTACGACAACAGTACCTTTGCAACTTCCTTGGCATGATTAGCATCACGACTCATAGCTTCCAAATCAGAAGCATCATGTCTCTTTGCTCTCAAAGTTCGTTCAAAACCTTCAATTTGTTTGTCAAAAGTAAGTCTCTCGTCTTGCAATTTTCGGGTGATTTGTTCATAGGTCTTGCGGATTGATTGAGCTTCATTGTATTTGATTGTGGCCTTGTCCAGTCTGTTTTCGAGTGTTCGGATTTCCTATAAGATAGGAAAAAGGAGGGGATTAGTAAGATGAGATGTCTCATGATGAGTACCGACTACTTTCAGGTTTTTTTTGTTGGTCAGTGCATACCTTTGCAGCTGGAGAATCCTGAACATTAGATTTAACCATTTCAGCTTCACGACGGAATAAGTCCAATTGATCTCCCATTTCACGTAATCTCTCTTCCTTGTTTCGTGCTTCGGCTTGCATATCATCGTATTTCTTTTGCACTTCGCAAATCTTGTGCTCGAATTTCTCCAGTGCGTCTGTTGATACGCGTGATGATGCAGAGTCTAATTCATGCTATTTAAATAAGTTAAGTACGAGATTAATACATCGTCACCTGTATAGAGGCACCACCACTGCGTTTTCTTTTGGCATCGTACCTTTTTGATTTTGGCAATCTGATCAGCCAAATCCTTGTTTTGGGTACGTAGTTTGCCTATTTCGTCCTTGTTTTGTCTGATGGCCCATTGACTTGTTTCGTAGTATGCTTTTCGATCGCCCTCTAGTTGAAGCAAAAATGTCCGTGTAAAATGTCAATTCTTGTCATCAATACTATTGAATGCTGTGCAATGGTGCAGACTGTATCGTCCTATTTTCATACCTAACAATTCAAATCTGAGCTTCAAGTCCTGGAGCTCTTCATCCAGACCAGCTTTGGCTTCAAGACGCATCGTGTGTCGAGTGTGTGTTGGATTTGTCGAAAAGTTGACGTTGGTAGTGATATACGATCTCTATGGGTTAATTCTATCCTGATCTAATTAATGCAGAATAGATCTCTCCTCGACTAGCGTCTAAAAGACTTGTTTGTTGAAAAGACGCGACTTGGGGTAAAAGCTCAAGAAACGTCGGAAACTTTTTCTTGCATGGAGTTTGAACCAGAAAGTTGCACTGGATCGTAAGATCAATTAGCTAATGACAAGATCTCTAATCTGAAAGATGCTTTCAAATGTCAAGACAGAAAAGACTTTGACAAGTTATGTAGAGGATGCAAGTTGCGTCAATTTTCACGCAGTCAAATGAAAAAACTGCAAGAATTTAGAACATAACAAGGAAGGTAATGCCAATAAAGAAAAAATTAAAACTCTGTAGTTTTGTGACGTTTCACCGTTTTACTTGGAGCGAATATGGACGATCATGGTGTTTTTGCAGTGCACAGAACGAAACGTGACGTATATTCCAAGTTCGTCAACATCAATCCGAGCCGACACACCGCGAAGAAGAAAAATCAGCTGAATGAGCAGATTTTGATTTATTTGGGGTCCTTAACAACTGAGGACTTTGTAACAATATTGCAAGATCATTTACAGACAATAGAGACGGATCTATGCAGTACTAAGCAGAATGGCAACAGACAGCAGTTTATCTATGTCATCATATAAGCCTTGGTAAGGGGCATATTGACGTCAGCTTTACTCAAAAGACCACGAGTCAATGACCCCAAGTTTCCAGCTTCCCCTTCCTCCCATCAAGTATAGGGATCAACCAAGCAAGATCATATTTCGTGGTTGACGTGACATCCTCTTGCTTTTTATCGTAGATGACCTTGGCCAAGAACCTTCTGAGACTTTCAGCAACCAAGGCATTCAATATGACATACATACTCGTGGGTGGACGTTGTTGCTTTGGGAGTTCCTGTACAAGTACATAATGTTTCGATTTGACGTGTTTGGCAGCCTAACATTTCAATTTCTACATCCGAGTTGTCTTCATCTTGGTCTATCATAGCGTCAGAGCTTGATATTGGGACATTGATGCTATGTCACCAACAGAGTGGTGAAGGCCTTAGCAGGGATGTTTTCTTGCTTATTTAATAAAGTATTTTCGACGGTAATATGAGTCATTTCTTCACTATTCCTAGTACTAATTGCAATGGAGTTGAATGTGTACCTTTTAAGTATTGAAGCTTAACAGAGAGGAGAGCGTCAGAGAGAGACAGTGACAACTGAACTCAAATGTGAGCCCAGCGAGTGGTCCATTATATTGTCTTCAACGTTCCTCCCTGTCTCGCTCGTTAGACCTGGCTAATAGTTGTATAAACTGAGTTTAAAATGTGAGGGTTTAATGCGACGCAGAATATCGACCTACACGAAATAGTGCCGCGTCGTTCACACCATTACATGATTACATGCCACAAATTCGCTGTTTCTGCTTGTGCTTTGGTGTGCGGTTAAGCTCTACATCTCGTGTTAAAAATCTTGCAACTAATGACACATCCAGTTCACAGACAGACCATATAGACTAGCCACATAGAATTCTTTCCAATAGCATTTACATGTGTATACTATCATTATGTCAGGTATAAATAGCCCAGCAAAGAAAAGAGGAAGTCCTCGCTCACCCTCGGCAACTCCATCCGTGAATCCAGGATACGTGATGGTCATCAAAGTCGGCACGTCATCTATTGTCGATGAAGTATCGCATCTGCCATTGCTCTCCAACCTGTCGCTACTGGTCGAAACTGTCGTCAAACTACGAAGTAAAGGCCATCAAGTTGTGATTGTCACTAGTGGTGCAATTGGAATGGGCTTGAAGCGATTGGGTCTAGCAAGGAGACCAAAGCATCTATCCCAGAAACAGGTATGTCTTCTACTTGTCGGAGCTCTGATGGTGCAAGTCTAGTCAACCGCCGAGCTTTTTGTACAAGTCTGCGACTGACTTTTTTGCTTGCGCTTTAGGCTGTAGCAGCTGTAGGTCAAGGACGGCTAATGGCGCTCTATGATGACTTGTTCAGACAGTTTGATCAACCTATAGCTCAAGTTTTGTTAACTCGAGATAACTTGGCAGAGGTATGCAAGCGCTTGACAGTTTAGAGCTGTGTCGTTCCAAACTGACTTTGCTCGCACTTTTAGCGACCTCAATATTTAAATGCATGCAATACGTTTCGAGAACTCCTTGATTTGGGAGTTGTGCCCATCGTGAATGAAAATGACACTGTGTCTCCACACGAAATTCGTTTTGGAGATAACGATACCTTGTCTGCTGTCACCGCAGGAATGGTTAATGCTAATTTCCTCTTCTTGCTGACGGATGTGGACTGTCTGTATACTGATAATCCTCGGACAAATCCAGATGCTGTCCCTGTACGAATAGTAGATGATGTGTCAAAGCTTAGAGAGACGGGTGAGTTATCCTTGCTGAAGATCAAACCCTTTTTTGCTCACGTCATATTCATCACAAACAGTGACGGTGACAAGTCCAGGATCATCATTGGGAACAGGTGGAATGATTACCAAACTAATAGCAGCTGATTTAGCAACTGCAGCTGGTGTACGAATGATTATTACTACAGGAGCAGCACCACAACGGATAGTGACCATCTTAGACGAAGTAACTGCCCATCGCGAAAACTCTAAAACACCATTTCAACCAACACTCGGTACACACTTTCTCGCCAAACCAAACCCCATGGTTGATCGTAAATGGTGGATATTACATGGTCTCGCCACATACGGAACCATATATTTAGATGCAGGTGCCGTTAGAGCTATAACCCGTGGCAAAGGATCACTCTTTGCTGCTGGAATAGTAAAAGTAGAAGGAACCTTTGTCGCTCAGCAATCAGTACGGATCGCCACAGTGGTGAAATCACATACTAACGTACCAGCAACCTCTATAATACATCCACACCAAAATATGACATTTGGTATGCCATCTTCTCCACTAGTCCAAGCCCATGACCCATTAACAACAGATGGTGAAGAAGGCATCATTGTTGAAATCGGTAAAGGAATTGTAAATTACACGTCATCGGAAATTCAACGTATCAAGGGGTGCCGGTCAAGTGATATCGAAGACCTGTTAGGATATGTTGATTCGGATTCGGTAGTGCATAGAGATAATCTCGTGATAACGTACTCGAGTCTGGATCATACCGAGATTATAGTCTTGCCAGCATCGAAGCGGCTCAACGCAAAAAGGTATGATCTCATGAGGGCAATGCACTTGTCACCAAGTGTAGAAAGTTTGAGTGAGAGTCGGGATACCTCTAATGAGGGTTACTCGGCTGAGTCCGAAATCACTGTAAATGTACCTACTCTTCAATAATAATATTGCATTTTTGGGATCGGGTGATTGCGCTTTGCTCGGCATATCTTTGTTCGTGGAGGAGTTTTGATGTTATCTGACGCGATTTATTGCAACCACGTTGCTTACTGTCGGTCTTGATCACTCCTTGGCATCGATCGAAAACGGACTGCTGCTGAGCGCATTTGTTGCGCCTCCATTTTTCCAAATCGCGTTTTTAGACTACAGGCCGTGGGAGAAGAGTCCAGGATTGAAGAATACTTTTCTGTAACGACTCCATCTTTGACATAATGCTAGCTGGCATCCCAACTCCAGAACCAGAAGAGGAACAAAACTCCGTAAATTTAGCAAGTAGCAAACCATTACCGGCCGTACCACTACTCGAAGATAAAGAGCACGTCGAAGCCAACTCGCTAACAGCTGAGCTACCGCTCTTCCTATCTCCGGTCCCAATCTTGGCTCTCAAGAACGAACCAACATCATCATTTATAAACGCCTTCAAAATATTCGAATCGCACCTCAAAGACACAATGAGAACATGTAAATCCACCGACTTTGGCCCACACGGAATCAACGAAGCCGGCTTCAAACTAGCTGTAATAGGAGCACTACTCAGAATGGACGATACGCTGAAAATCGAATCTGAGAGTGATGTTTATGTGCCTCATCCACGATATACCCGCAGCTCGCATAGATATATGGATTTAAAAGTCACGGCTGGCACCGAGGAATGGATTATCGAGCTTAAATACCTGTCTGCTTACCACTTGGATGATGTCGATGCTGCACTGCTGAGAGCTAAAAACCCGGATAATCGATACGAGGAAGGGAATCCACGCTATAAGCCTTTTAGATTCCGTGAGCTGTTGACGAAACTGGCTGGAAAGGTTGAGGGTATGAGTGTGGGCACGTTCGAGGGGGTATCACGGAAACTGTTTGGTGTTCGGGAGACGGTTGGTGAGGTCAAGAGGAAGGGTCAAGAGCAACTGCGGGAGTATCTCATTGGGAGTGGTGCTGCGAGCGGTGGGATTCTTATAGTAGGTGTTGGGTCTAGGGTTGATGTACAGGCCTTTGAGATTAATCGGGCATCAAACACGTTGAAGACTCTGGATGTAAAGTAGCAATCGTGTAGTAGTAAAGTTGTAGTAGTCTTGTATCTCAAACCATATAAAAATACCCTCAAAGTTACCAAAACCATCCGTAACTATAAACATGCCTATTTATTACACTAGAGTCGAGACTTAGTCGCTACATAGACTCTTGCGATATAATCTGTTGAGCAGTAATACACATCTCTGTTCTTCCCAGGACATGGAAACATAGCGTTCGGATTTCGACCTACGGATACTCTGCCTTTAACCCTTCCAGTCTCCAAGTCCAACACTACCACCTGATCATCGCCCACCAGGTTAGCCTTATCAGTAAAATACCCCATTATCATGGCAGCTATAGTCGAAAACTGTATCCTAGCATCGTCCATAACAATTTCCTTCGTATCTGGAAACATGAGTGACTGCCACATGTTCCGTACCGACGTGTTAGTCCATAAGTGCCTCATTTTACCCTCTGGTAGTATTTTGTAAGCGCTCACACCGGCATTTGGTGTATCAAACGCAACGACGATTCCATTCGTCGGGTCATAGTTTGGTGGCGAGACGATGAATCCACCTGCTTTGTTGTGCGTTACGGCGTTTATGATGTTTACAGTCAGGACCGAGTCCGGAGAGCCAGGATTCGTATCCGTCATTCTGATGAGACGTAGTGGACCTTTAATGCGTTGGACTCTAGTTCGTGATGTTCGAGGATGTATAGATCCAGCAGGTTCAGCATCAGTTATTTCATGTACTCCATTCGGGTCTCCGTTATCTGCAAATATTATTTCGACGGCGTTTGGGTGTTGAGGGGATGGTGATGGTCCTAGACATACTTCCCATCCACATCCTTGCATCGGATCCAAGCGTTTACGGTATGGTGGTGGAGTGAATGTGGTGTCTCTATACAGTCTCGGCGATGCATTCGAATTATAGATGTATCTAAATACAGTCGTCATGCCTACTATGTATATGTGTTCATGGACTCCGTTTGATGTCATGACTCGGTCGCTTGCTATTCGTCCCATGGACGGTTCAGGCATTGCCAGAGTTTGGATAATGTTAAGATCGGGATCTACAATGGATAGTGACGAGTTCTCTTTGCTGAGTATTGTTGATTTTCCATCTGCGGTTATGGGATCTACTCTTAGTTCCTTTGTTATGAAGCAGCCGTCACTAGCGATTAGTCCACCATTGTAAGGCCTAACCCGCAAAAGCCTTAGTGAAATGCTCTCGGCTCAGAAGTGTTTTTGTACCTTGAAGCAGGAAGCACCAACGACTTCTTAATAGCCAGAGTCTGCCAATCCAAACGATGGATTCTATTTCCATGTATAGCATAAATATCACCATTTTCGTGCACGAAAATAGCTCCACACCATATATGGCCACCGTCGCTAAGTCTTGGAGAGCTGTTTATCGTGGAAAGCGTAATGGGGTCGATTTGTTCGACGACTCCGTAGACTTCTGAGGCTGAAGTTCCAGGATTTGGGATGTGAAATAGATATAAATGAGCTCCCCTCCAGACATACATGACATTCCATCGTCCTGTGATTCTTTGCGTCGATAAAAGTATTTCGTTTGGTTTGATGTCCAGTCCAGGCACTCCAATAGGAACCTACCAAGATATCCATGTTAGATATGTTCAGAAACGGGTATCGAACCCCGCAACTGGTCGAGATAACATGTAAACGTGAGTGCCGGCTCATTGTTCTACCTTTTGTCGTCTGTAGCCACCAGTTTCCGTTGGATAAATTGAGTCCTGATAATATCCTATACATGAAAATCAGATACGGTCCACAATTAGCAATTAGGAAGGACTCACACCTTTCAAAGTACCAGGCAGTCGGTCGAGTTTTTGAGCGTGAACCATGCTTCAAGCTCTCAACTAGATGTATCCAACGAATAGTTTCCAAAGTCGAGAAAACAGGGAACGATGTATCCTGGCCGTATAACCGTAGCTTGCTCTAGAAGCTTGTTTTGCGTTTTGGTGAGTCTAGAACCCTGAAAATGCAACGCATTGACTGAATAAAACAGATGCACTCAATACTATGTGATTGTTAATATCGTCACTATATACACGAAGAACTGTAAATACGCGACACAGTTGGTTGACTCATTTACGAGCTGGACAAAACGACGGGCAATTAGGGAATGCTACGTTCGCCTGCTCTGAGCAAGCTCGACGTGATATAACGCGTGAATTCTACTGTTTGAGCCATGAAGCTGATGAAGCGTATATGGTCCCTACGATGGTCTCCTCAAACCACGGTTTGCGATTTCTAATGGAATCAGCCTCTTGGTTCACCCACAGCAAAAAAGCAAAAGACAAGGAACTTTTTGCCACGACTGACACAACTGCTGTGCAAAAAAGGAGGAGATCTAGTAAAGGAATCTTGAATGTACAAACAGTGTGGTCATTGGAACACTACTTGGTCTGAATCGTATATTATCATCTTGAGTCGTGAGAGTGGGGGTTACAATTAAAACAACCTCTCTTACAAGACGGGGCCTTCCTTGGAGACCAATTACAGCAAGTGTCCTGTGTTCCTGAATCAGGCTACTGAATAATCACTAACCTACTCCACCATCATTCAATTCCAGGTGTGGCTCAAGTGATTGCGGTCATTTGAAGCGTTATATCAAAAAATGAGAGTTGGTTTTCTAATAGCTCTGTACTTATCAAGTGCCCTAGCTGCTTTGCCTACTATCTCAAACCTGACATGCTCCAATGATGACGATTGCTCACTTCTCAACCAGCAGCTACCAGGTTGGGCCTATAGTAAATCTGCAGGGTATTTATGTGTACTGCAGCCAGCAACCTCTGTATCGAAATGCACATACAAAGTCGCTGCTGGTGAACTGTGCAGTGCTGCAACCGATTGTGCTGTCGCAGAGTACATATCTAGGGCTCAACGAAGTGGTAGTACCTTTACCGTCCCACCGGTTATCTCCTCAAACATATCTGGGTACCTCTCTACCCTCTGCGCGCCCCAGTATTGTAGCATACAGTCAACATGTGACTCGTCTAGTGATCCGCTCTTTCCTACCTCAAGTAGTGGGAGTATTGAGTACCCTGCCCCCTTCACATGTTGTGGAGGTGCTCCAGATACTTGGCCATGTGCCAAAATGGGCCAGTTCCTAGACTCGTGTGCTTCCGATGAAGTGTGTACAGCTGCTAATGGAGCCTCAACCTGTGTATCTATAAATGCCAAAAGTCAGCAGTGGATTGGGATAGTCTTGACATTGATGGGTGCTGCTACCCTAAACGTGGGACTGAATCTACAGAAACTGGCATTGCGTAAACGTAATGAAAAGATACAGGAAAAGAAGGCTGAAGCTCGTAGTCGATTCCGTACTTTGGCACGTGGCACTTTTAGATTTACATGGTCAAAGGCATCCATGGGTCGAGCACGAACAAAATCGGGATCTAGCTCGAGATTTAATCCTAATGGAACACCAGATACATATCCATTGACTCCTACTATAGAGCGACCTGCATTGCCACCATCATCATTACTACAGGATTCCAACATGAATACAATAATAGATGACAACACACAAACCGATGGACCAGACTCTGATATCAACTCCAGTGCTGGTACATTGGTGCAAGCTACCATAGTAGATGACTTTGACAAGTCGATTGAGCCTCCACAGCCATATAATGAAAACGATAATATCCCATTAGCTATCCCTGTATCAGCTCAACCGTCAACGTCAAATGGTGCATCAGTTGTTGGAACAGAAATGACTAGCAATAATTATCCACCTGGTGAATCTGCACAACCAAATGCACAATTACAGGCTGATGATGTAAATCTGCAAACGAAGTTGAATTTCGGTAATCTCTTCCAAAATCCTACTTGGATTCTGGGACTGGCTGTCTTTATTGGCGGCAATATCATCAATTTTGGTAAGAATTAATTCTGCAATGTTAAGTTGTCAAATGGGCCTAAAAAATCGAACAATCGTACCTCATTGAGTTACCACCCTAAACAATCCGTAATGAAATCTAACCTTGTACACAATTTATCTAGTTGCATTACAATTCGCTCCACAGTCTCTGGTGGCTCCATTAGGCTCCATCTCATTGGTTGTTAACGTCATTGTTGCACCATGGATTAACAAGGAACGCTGGGGTTGGAAAGATATTGTTGGTGTTATCATGATTGTTGGAGGTTCCAGTATGGTAGTTGCTTTCTCAGGCGTGGCCTCAAAGGGTGAGTCAGGTTTGAAGAATTTAGCAATAAAACAAGCTGTACCACTGACAGGTCGAAAATTTGGACAAAATCCTCACTCATTATCCTTATAGATTACAAGCTTTGTGTACTGTTGGTTCTGTTCTCAGCCACAAACACTATTGTCTTCTTGACCGTGACTGGAGGATTGATTCTTACTCTCTACTTCATGATTTGCATCGTGGAGAAGAATGTTGATTTTGGTGTACCTGGTACGTATCCAATGAGTCTACCATTCTATATACAGGGTTTATTGCTCAACACATCTCTCACACTTAATCAATAGGAGCCACTGCTCGAGCCTTGACAAAGGAAGGACATTCTTCATATGCAGTCTTAATGGATCGAGTGGCTGCTTCCCGAGTCAGCACTAGTGGCACAACAACATCAGCAGCCACATTTGATTCACGTCATAATCTGCTGCGAAATCCAGCACAACGAGCACTTGGGCTCTTCAATCATCGATCTCACCTCCCTTCATCCTTTTTATCACATCCTGCTGAATCTGCAACAACAACAGTAACACCAGCAGCAGCTGCTGCTACCTCTCAAAGACCATCTGATACCCCTGCTGGAGTAGCCGACCCTATAACAGCTAGCAAAGCAGCCGCCTCATATTCACCTTTTGCCTCAACATTCTCTGAATCAACAACATCCGTTGAACCTACAACGGCTCCCAGTAGTCCAACTGCGTCGACATATCACTTGTCGGAGTGGGTCAAGCATCCGAATGATCCACGAACGTGGCCTAGACCGTATCGGAACCTTCATACGTGGTGGCATAGTATAGATATACTGCCTAGATTTAGTAAGAAAATACCATTGTCGAGTCCGTGGGTGGTTCTCGCGTTACCCTTCACATATGCCTCTCTCGGAGTGAGTTTTATCGGATATATGCTCGACCACGTTTTGTCGACAGAAAGTGTCGTCGTTTGATCGTCTTTGTTGCGAAACCGACTTATAATTTTTCATGTCATAGGGTCTGATGGGAACCATAACGGTCTTGTTTGCCAAATCGACAAGTTATCTATTGTCGATTAGTTTTACTGGCAACAATCAATTCAATAACTTTTTTGCATTCTTGATTACTGGGATTACCGTCGTCACTGCTATCGGTCAGGTTAGTCATCTACAGTATTGTTGTAAAATCCAGCGTAATTTTCTTCCCTGTTTTTACTTGGGCCAGCGACTTACGAATTCGTCTTTATATCGTCTTTATAGGTGTATTGGATAAACATGGGCCTTCAGCGCTACGACGCGCTCCTCCAAATCCCAGTATATTTCGTCGTATGGACACTCTTCGATGTCGTTGGAGGTGGTATCTACTTTGATGAATTCAACGGCTTCACTGCACTCCAGTATACACTCTTCATCCTCGGAGTAGCAGTTATATTCTCTGGAGTTATAGTACTAGCTGATCGACTGAAGCGTATTGAAGTCGATGATCAGATGATTTCAAATGCGAATTTGAATGCCCAGATTGCTACCATCACGGAGCAGCAGCAGGCATTACAGGGTGAGGTTACTGGTGCTAGTAGTAGTAGTGGGAGTGGGGCTAGTAGCAGTGTATAAGTAAGGAGTTTTCTTTGAGATATTTGTAGATGGTGGGTAGACAAGGAATAGCTCTGAGCATAACGATTCTGGACACTCATATTCGATAACAGCAAGCATATTGATTGTTGAAGCAATTAATACACAACATCACTTCTGAACTTGTGCAGCCTTTTTGGCGTAGGAATTCTGTGTTGTTATAAAAGTACATGTTTTTACTCATTTGCTATGATACTTTCAGACTGTTTACCCTTACCATCTACTACCTCATCCTTCTCTCGGTGTCCTTCTTCTCCTTAGATTTCAATCCAGCCTCCTTCTTCTTCTCCGCTCTAACCACTTTAGCATCCGCCTTCTTCTTCATCTTTGCACTCCTCTTTGCAGCCCTCTTCTCACCCACCGCCCATGTCTTCTTCTTCTCAACAGGTGCAGTCGTCGCAACCGTCTTTATCTGCGTTGGAAGATACTTTATGTCTGAGGCATCCACAGCTTGCTTGAGCCATAGAGCAGATGGGAGTGCGACGGTGGATTTTATCAGGGTGTAGAGCGTATCAAAATTTGGTGTGTTTGTCTGGATTATAAAATGAGGTGTGAGATGCGGAAAACAAGCGATTAGGGAGCATTGGATTACCTTGACGGCAAGACACCCAACACGTTTCACACCCAAAGCTCTCGCAAGTCTATCTTCAGCCCCTGCATTCAGTCCACATAACGTTATCGCGTCGTCACCGTCACCATCAGGTGAAGCAAGACACACCAGTGTCGGGATATGTGTATACAAGTGTGGAGGATCTAGATCACTACGGCATACAAATACCATTCGTAATCGTTGCTTTGGTGCTGTATCTGGCATGCCTGTGTCGGCTGTTGTTGACTTGGTTATCCCTGACTGTAATGATCTCGGAATCATGCCCTCCAAAACACGAGATACGTCATTTATGCCAATTACGAGATCTTTGAGTGTGTCTAGGTCGGATGAATGTGGGAGGGATGATACGGCTGTTTTGGCTGCGACGACGCTTGAGGAGGTGTGCTTTTGTTTCTTTGATGTTGTTGGTTGGGTGGTATCGACAGCAGCAGCTGTAGTAGCATCCATTTCTGTATCCATATTGCTTGGAGCTGGTGCGTTTACTATTGCATCAGCGGCAGCGCTTGTAGAGTCCCTGTCAATCTTTTGTCGTTTAGCTTTGTATAGCTCGCCCAAATCACGTCGAGATTCGCGGTAGACTCTTTTGCGAGTGGCTGACATATGAGATTTGGCGAGGCCTATTGGTTGTAGTAACCTATTTGACATGCATTAGTAAAAGCTCTCTTTTCTTGTTACTTCGATCAAATGTCGAGCATTACGATATCAAGGCATCCATAATCACATCATAGTCCTTTGCTGCAATAGCAGGCCTAATATAAATGGTGGCATTTAGATTCAGATGTACACACAAATAGCAAATGCACTGGACTTGCCATTGGAAGACAAAAGGCGAATCAACTACGTGTTTGAATACCGGTCGCCGAGCTGGTACACGTAGAGATTCAGTCGGTGCATCATTGCTAGCGCTTCCAGACTTCTGCTGGCCTCCTTGTGCCTTCTTTCCCTTTTTATTTGGCGTATTCATCGTGAACAAGTTTCATGATTTTCAAAAGTAGTTGGTCGCAAGAATAGACTTCTAACCAGGGAGTGGGACTGGTGCTATTAAATAAGTAGAGATACCTTCAACGTTTTCTTGTGCTAGAATCGCGTGGATCACGTCAGACGGTCGACGAGGTTATTTTGATTTTGACAATTGCGGCAGAGTGAGTGTAGCGAGTTTTGAGAAGACCGAGAACTTGGAGGTAAATGATAAGAATCGATGTATATCATATAGTCCAACTCTTTAAGTTGTTAACATTAGCTTCTTTCATTGCCAATCAGATCAAACACCCTGCCGGATTTCTTGCAAAAGAAACCGCAAATCTCATCTTCTTCACAAAAAAGCTATATCGCCCACAGCCAAAAATCCACGTCGATTTTAGCAAGCCATGCCGGCTCCGGCTACCGGTGGCAATCGTCAACAAATGGCTCCCACAATCCCAAAACCTGTGACATTAATTGACCACTTCAACCATGCCCCACAGCAACGAGTCATTGATCGAAGAGGACAGGGAAGCTATGGAAATTACGATATAATGATCATTCCTAAAATGGTTCGTGATCCTATACCGCTGCCCGTCGACAAACTGTTGAAATTGCCGACTATTGAAGATGGTGTTAAGGTGGTTAAAATGTGGCAAGAGGGAGCTGCTATTGCTGCTAGAGATGCTGCTATTAAGGCTAGGAAGGCGGAGATGGTGAGGGTTTCATGTTTATGTGTGGAAGATCAAAACGGCCTCCTTAACAAGTACTAAATGTTGTAGGAGAGGCCATCAAGCAACGATGAAGGAGCCGACGATGGCCGAATGGTGGTCTTTACAGAAGAAGGAATAGATTTCTTTAGCACGCTGCCATACGTACCTCCACCACCACCGCCAACTTCAGTTAGACTCGTAGAACCATGGGCACGTCCCGTCTACTTCCCATCTCGTCACAAGACTCTCCCCGTCGAATTCCCACGCAACGAACGAGCAGGAGTGTGGCGGGCCGCTATAAAATTCAACAAGCCCGAAGTCGTTGAAGCTGCAGACCGCAACGTACGCAACATGATTGAAAACGATGCAACGTTAAGCTCGCGCTGGGTTTTGAGATATAAAGTTCCCACTGAAGATTTGAGACGCAGGAGACAAGTTAGGAAACGTGAGATGGAGGAACGGGCGAAACGAGATTTAGATGAGAGGAATAAATTAGGTTCACGAGATGATTTGCGGGAGGCTGCTATGGCTGCTATTAACAAGGCGCTGCCTGCACTGCCGCCGAGTGCTGATATACCGAATGTTGCTGAACCTACGAATGTGGATCGGGAGAGAAGGTCTTCTCACTCGTCATTTATGGATAAACGACCGCTGTTCCCTGCGTTGAAGGGCTCAAGAATGTCTATGGTATCTAGTGATAGCCTGAACGATAATAAGACGCTCAAAACAGTCAAGAGTGTCTCGTTTGCAGAGGATGTTAAAGTTGTGCGAACTGAGGTCGAGTTTTCAAGGGACGAAGAAGATGACGAGGGCGAAGATGATGAAGACGAGCCCGAAGAAGACGACGACGATACCGACGAAGTCGCAGAAATTTACGATGATGTCATAGTCAAGGACGATGTCAAGGACACGCCCACACCCTTATTCATGAAATCCGTTACTTCTCCCACCGATGCCAAACCTTCTGCTGTTAAATCACCAGTTACAGGCAAGCCTATAGCAGCTGAAATACTGAAAATATCACCGAAATCACCAGTGGATACCGAAGATGACGAAGAGTACTTTGAGAGGAGGAGACGAGCCCGAGCTGCCAGAGAACAGCAAGAGAGAGAAGAGGAAGAAAAAGAAAGGCAGCAGAAAGAAGAAGAACTGCAGAAGCAGCAACAGCAAAAGCCTCCAGAACCTCAACCACAGTCTCGTTTAATGTCACGTTTAACAGCTACATTGACAAACAAGGACGATGAGGAACAAGACGATGATGATACTGTAGTCCTAGTGAAATCCAAGCCAAAACCAGAACCGTCTCCGCCTGTGACAGAGAGTAAACCAGCATCATCTCCAGCTCCTGCTACTCCTGGTGCGAAATTCGTCTTTCCGAAACACGATGAGGACAAGCCAGCTTTCGAGAGTAAAACAAAACCAGCCAACTCACCTGAATCCGTCAAGCCAAAGGTGGAGCCTCAACGGATTGTATTGGAAGACAAGTCGTTCAAGCGAGACGAACCAACACCACCTCCAAAGGACGAAGGATCAAGTACCAAGCGGATCTTGTTTCCCAAGGTTGAAGAAGATCATAAACCTAAGTGGGCATCAAATTCATCAGACAGGACATCAGTTACATCAGTACGATCGATGGTTGAACACTCTGATGAAACAATTAGTCTTCCTGAACGACCAAGTATTGTATCTGAAGCAACCCAAAAACCAGATTTATCATACAAGCCGAAACCAAGTAGTGGAGGAGCATTGGATTATGAGAGTCTCATTAGACTGCGAGAAGAGAAACTACGAGCTCGTGGAGTCGTTCCATCTATATCAGACCTGGATCCTTCAGAAGTCGAAAATCCAACACAGAGATCAGCACCTAGTCCATCTCGTAGAGATGCTGATCCACCACGACGAGATTCCTCGAGAGATGACTCTGGAAGCAAGTTATTACAGCGTGTGCCAACTGGTAAAGGGAAGGGTAATTTGGACTATGAGTCGCTGATACGGTTACGAGAAGACAAGCTAAAAGCTAAAGGAATCGCTCCTTCGATGAATGATCTGGAGCCTGATGAGGTTGATACGTCCGTTGTTAAGCCTGTTGAGACGTCGAAAGCTACAGTGCTTTCTAAACAAGTTACGGCATCACCAACTCCAGCTTCGTCGACCAGTAGTGGCAACACAGAGCCAAAGAGATTTGTATTTCCGAAACATGATGAAGAGGACAAGAAATGGACCAAATCTAGTAGGAGTGCTGATATTGAATCTCCATCGTCAATCAAAAGTGGTCGAGATAGTGTTGCTGCAGTGGTTGATTCTGCAGCAGTCAAACCGTCGACACCACAAGTTGAGAGCAGCAAGGTGGTAGAGAATCCTGTAGAAAGGCCGTCTGTAACAGTCGAAACACCAAAACCATCACAATCTCTCACTGTATCATCCACTGCACCAGCATCTGCTACACCACCTGCATCAGCAGCCACAACAGATGATGAATCATCGGATGGTAAGTCGAAAAAGTCACATATATGGGACAAGATGACTAGAAAAAACAAGGATGAGAAGCCAGCTGATATGAAACTTGATGCCAAGAATGCAGCTAAAGACGATTCGAAATCTAATGCTTCAGATGACGAGAGCTCGAGCATTAAACCCAAGACAAAATTATGGGATCGTATGAAGGGAGGTAAAAAGGACTCTCCGACATCACCAATAGAAGAGACACCACCATCACCAGTTACCAAACAACAACAAGCACCACCAATTCCATCATCTGCAACAAAACCAGAACCTCAACGCGCAAAAACAATAGAAGCACCATCCGTTGCCAGTATCACCAAGCAAGCCATTCCACGTAACTATAGTACAGAATCCATCTCTCAACCACCACCACGAGTCGTCACCATTCCAAACATTGACCTACTAGATCCGGATCTAGAAGACTATGATCCATACACGAATGCAAGCACACCAGCATCCACAAACCCGAAATTCGCACAACTGAATCAATGGAAACGGGGAATGGCATTGCAAGTAGCTCAAGATGCATCCTTCTCTGTAGCCAAGAAATCGAATTTCAAGCATTCGACTGTGGAAGATATGACACAGTTTGCTAATCGTCGGGAATCTACTGCTACGATTATCATAGAATCGTCGTCGTCGAGAACTGGTCGTAAAATGGGGGCTCCTGTCGTAGAGACGATACGAGAGCCATCTCCACCGCCAGTTTCAAGATTCTTGAATGCATTTGATGTGCAAAAATTGCAACAGGAATCAGCTCCACCACCGCCGGTTGTAGCTGCTGTGGTTACTCCTGCGATAGAGACATCAACAACGAAACCAGCTGCTGTTCCTGCTTCACCAGCTATAAATACCTCGCAAAGTCTGTCGGGTAACACAACGCTATCCGCCAGTAATAGTACTCTCCCATCTGTTATGTCAGTCACAAATGTATCCTCAATCGCGGACGATGACAAGAAGAAGAAGGGATCAGCGTTTGGTGGCATGTTTAAAAAGAGTACAAAGACTAGTACTGCTGCTGCTTCTGTAGCTGAGGTAGCTGAGGAGAATACTAATGAGGGCGGTGATCCTTCGACTGATACGGTATAAACAAGCTTCGATACTTATTTTTTTTGCTGCGCAAGACCTCGCTCAACCGTTTGGTTTCCACCAAATCTAGTTCAAAGCTGAAGTTTCTCTTAAGGGCATCAAATGTGACATAAGGGTGGAAGACTTCCAATTGTTTTGTGATGAGTCTGGCAAAAAAGGTAACAATAGTCAAAAATACGGACTCGATAGACGTACAAATGTTGAGTCGACAATCTGTATTGTAGGCAAGCCACTCAAGCACTTCTTTCCTATTGAACTCCGGAATGTCATTGCCGCAGTCTGTAAGAACGATGAAGTGGTTGTTCACGCTTGCACGAGACGGAAGGGCGGTCGTGCTGGTAGCAAGCTGAAAAAGATGAGCTTCCAATTCCAAGGATCGTTAAAAGCCAAGATATGGTCTGAGGATTTGATGAACCTTGTTTATGGAGGTAAGATGCGTTTGAATTTACGTCGAAAACAGCATCACCTTTGACACACCATACTTAGATCACTATGACCAAGTCACCAAAACGATTGTAGTGGTGCTAACAGACAAATTCGATAAAGACGATGCACCCAAGATGATTACCAAGTATATGCGTCCTGTGTGGGAGGTTGTTGATAAGCCCATTGAAGTCAAAGGTGACTTTTTAATGCATTACAGCCCTTTTTTGGTTAAAGCTCACTGATATATATCTCCTTTCCTCTGTAGCCGTCCAATTCAACGAATTTAGCGTCGCAAATGTACTGGGCACATTAGATTGGACCAAAGTCAGCAATGTGGTGTGTCTGAATACTGATTTTGCACCACGGTTGGCTCAAGTGCTTGTCAGGAATCAATGGTCCACTGGCCCAGGTATACATCTAGACGACTGGGATGCTTTATTGTGCTGAACTGGAACTAACACGAAACAATGGCGAATTAGTCAACCTACCATGTGAACCCGATCCAGTGGATGCTTCACTATCCATTCTTAAATGTGAGTTACGTCTCTCTGTCGATACCACAAATCTGCCAGGACTAATTTGTGGTTTTTGTTGCAGCAATGATTGGGTCGTCAAAGAAGGGTGTTATACACGTTACATCGCTGCACCCTAAACGAGACGAGAACAAATTGGGTGCGATGTTCAAGAGTGCCTTCAAGAAATAGACATTGTGTACACAGTTTTATTATCCAATAGTAGATGTGAATCAAAAATCAACTAGATTGTATGCGATCACTATCTGGAGGATTTTGCGACTGTGTATTGACGCATTTTGGCGCGTCCATAGTGGTTTTCAAGTACTTGGAATATGTTTGATTTGTTCCTACTTAGCTTCATAATCTGGTTCATCCAATACATTGAAGAAAGGATTGAGGTGTTGCAACCAGGGCAAACGGAAGTGACCAAGTAGTGTTTTAGAGTAGAGTACTCATACATGTAGCATCAGACGTAGTTTCTCGTCGCTTAGACCTGCAAATTCATAAAGGTCATACGAGGTTAGTCTAAATCGACTTGAAGACGAGGATGATAATAAGGTGTGTTTCATGGAATCGAGATGTAGTTATCTTCATGTATGATCTTCTAATTCACTGTTGTGCTCTAGTGTCATCGTGTTTTAGGAGCTCTTGGATCGTCGACATTGACAACATTCCCTTTCGACATTATTTGACGTCTTGAAAAAAGGAGAGCGGGTACAGCTCTCCTTGAGGATGACAATCCTGGCTAGTGGGAGGGATTTGTTAGAGAAGGAAGTGTTGAGGATGCTAGACGAAACAATGTGATACAGTTGCGACTGCTCGTCGTAATAACGACCCCATCTCGAAATGCAGAGTAGAGGAAGCAGCTGTTTAATTGTTTGTAATGGCAGAATTGGAGAAGAAGAAGTAAGTGGAGTAAGAAGAGAATGGCAGTGTAGGCAATATCGAAGTGTGTGAAGGAGGGAAAATGGACAAAACTTACACAAATTGGTGTTTGACATGAGGAGAAAAGCAGTGGCAGTGATACGAAGTGTTAAGGAATATCAAGTAGATGATATGTACAAAATTGCAAAATATTCTAAGTAACTTGACAACTCAAACTTAAAGTTGATTTACGAAGATGATATTGATTCTATTCTACTCAAAACAAAGTAGAATATGCAAAAACAATTTCTCTACCACTTTCCACCTTTGCCTTTGAATTCGTGGTCGTCTTCATAAACTTTGAGTTCTTTCTCGAAGTGGAGTTTGTCGAAGTCAAAGTGGTGAGGTTCTTTGTATTCGAGTTTGCTTTCGCATTCGCACTCGACTGGGACTATTTAGGGAGATTTGTGTGAGGTTTTGGTGCGGTCGTTGAAAATCACCGCAAAATGTCAAGACAGTATTTTGACACAACGTACTTGTAATGTAGATGACCTTGTAGTGGGCAGGACAAGTGATATGTTTGGCGTAGACACCGTCGTGACCCAATCCATGGCCAGCTAGTTTCAGAATCGAAAGATTTTAGTAAGTTGTCGTCGAGGGTGTTACAACGTTGACGATTAAGGTTGCTCAAAGGATTTTTGTCTTGCCCGAGTAGAAATCTTCTCCCTTAAAGCCTTTGCCGTAGTAGTCTCTTTCGTAGCCATCCTTGCCATAGTAGTCTCTTTCGTAGCCATTCTTGCCATAGTAGTCTCGTTCATACTCATCTTTTTCGAGGAATTCATAGCCGTCCTTTTCATAGAATTCTCGTCCATAGCCGTCAAAGTCACCATAGATGACATCGTCACCATAGTACTTCTTGCCACCATAGCCATCTCGGCCATAGAAGACATCCTTGCCACCGTAGAGTTCTCTTTCATAGCCATCCTTGCCACCATAGTAGCCCTTGTGGTCGTCGTCGTAGACTTCGACGATTTCCTTCTTCACTTCAACGACGTCGTTCTTGTATCCATCCTTGAATCCTTTTTCATATGCTGGAGCAGCAAGGACTGAGGTAGCAGCGAGGAGAGCGATGACAATCTATGATTTTAACCAGTGCAATTGTTTGTGTATGAGTATTTGATGTCATCAAATAAAGGGTTCGTGTGAATGTGTTCCAAGAAACGCAAACACAGTTGAAAAGGAATACAGGAACCGCAACTATCCCACAGAATTCATACGTTGGATAGCATTGTGATTTTGGAAGTGAGAATGGTTGACTGTTTGATTGACGTGTGAGGACAGGATGGGAAACAACAAGCCAAAAATGTCTTGTTTTAAGAGGTTCCCAATCTTTCAAATTTGAAGTCGGGAGTGTCATTTTGAAGCCGGCAGTGGCAATTTGAAGTCAGCTTCTCTGTCAAGATAAGGGTGACAGTAGTGAAAGCATAGAGCTGAATAGAGTAATGTTCGTTACTGAAAGCGGGGAGAAAATTTGACACACTCATTCCTCATCACTGGAGATCTAACTGCCACTTTTGCAGATTCATCGACCTTACAGAAAGTCAAAACAGTCAAGTTGACATGAGGTTTGATGGAGGTTTGATAGCTGACTTCAAGTTTGACTGCCGACTTCAAACATGACACCAACAGAACCTCATAAGTAAAGGATCTTCCCCACTTTGCCTTCCAAGATCTCAACTCTTAATCTTTACAATTATCAGAGCATACAATCCCAAAGAAGAAACCATGTTGTCTAAGGTATTTTAAGTTGCTTGTTATCAGTACCGATGGTTGCTTTTCCAACACCCAATTTTGGGTCTCAGTACACTATCAGAATCAATGAGTACACTATCAGAATCAATGCCCACATCTCACCATTTTGTTCTTCAGATCTTTGTCACGTTGTTAGCAGCGTCATCTGCAATCGTCTCTGTTGCTGCTGACGCCAAATACTATGGCGATGACGGCTACTACAGGGACGGCTACTACAAGGACGACGGCTACTACAAGGACGACTACTACAGTTCACCAAAAGTCGTCGAAAAGGAGGTCATCATTGAGAAATTCTTGCCTCACGAACGTGTTGAACACTATGGCCCATACGTTGACGTCTTGGAAAAGGAAGAATTCTTCAAGAGCATGAAGTACCCAGAAGTCATCTACCCCAAGGTTTCTCAAAGAGAAGAATGTAGGTTTGACTTTTGAACTCGAGATTCAAACGTCAGATATTTGACTCTTAACCTCTTTTTATTTAGTGTCAGAAGGACATCTTGATGTTCACTACCTCGAAAAGTACCCTCCAAAACCACAAGGAGCTATCATCTTCCCTTCTGAATTTGCTAAATACGAAACTCACGCTGAAGGCCCACATGGTAAGTTTTGGGTGTTGCAGTGAAATTTAAGGATACCTATGATTGCACATATCAAGGAATTGACATGTTCTTTGATTCAATAGTTCCCCACTTTAAGCCACGAAAGATCTACGCGGACGTCTTTGAAAAGCAATTCGGTAAAGTGATACAGTTATATGCAGGTTTTCGATTTGCATGTCAACTGTGGATTGACTCTTGATTCTGCAATCTCACACCATCATTCAACCACGCTTCAACTCTAGTATGCCCCAAGTTCGAAAAGGTCGTCTACGTCACTATTCCTGGCAAGTGTACTTGTGAACCAATCAACGTACACCCAAAGATCATCAAGGCTCCTCACTTTGATGGCAAGCACATTGGTGGTCACGATGATTACTTCGGTCACGACGATGAAGTCACCATCAAAGAATTCAAGGAAGTCAAAATCATCAAGGAAGATGACCACAAGAAATGGTGGTAGGTCATTGCTTGTCCTGGCCCTCATCTGACTGCTTATCTGACTGCTTCTCCTCTACCCACACAGATTTGTGAATCACCACTTCAAATCTATAGTAATATAGATTGCATTGTGTTGCAAATATAAGAAATGTCTCAGAACCAACAGTCCGTGTTCATACACTGCCTCTTAGTGAATAGCAGATCATGTTGAAAAAGCAGTAGAAACTGGCATTGGCAATAGGAATATAAGAACAAGTGTTAACGGGAGTCATATAGATCTTGCCTGACTGATCGAAACTGGTTCAAGCCAGCATCCAACTCTCTTCTATAGTAGGTTGGATGTTGGTCAATATAACTTGGTGCTGTATACAGTATTATATATTATATTACAACGGACAAGATCGTTACAAAAAATCCATCCACCCTTTCACAATTCACCAAGTCAATCTCGCAACATGATCCTTCTTCCGTCCAGACTGTTTGATAAAGCCAAGCAACTTCAATTCATCAACAGCCCTCACAAACCGCGCATGTACCTCTAATTGACCTGGTGATCCATCTTCAGTACCACCAACCACCTTCAGCCATACACCATCACGTTCCAAGATGGTTCGAAAGGCGACATACCAATCGTACAGATTGATGAATTTACCACATTCTAGGTAGAGTCGGTATGCTATCTGAGTGTCTTCTAGTGATGGATGAGGATCACGTGGATCAAGATCCTGACAGCATTCACAGTCGAGGTAACGTTTGGATATTGTTAGAGCTGATTGTACTGATGTTCGTGTTTGTGGTGAGAAGGCCTATCCAGAGGGTAAAACATATGAATTTGGGGGTATGAATAAGCAGATCAGCAACTTACACGTTCTAATACTTTCGAGTTGCTACTATACATGATCTCATACAGAGGTATTGACGTATACGTCCTTAAAGCCTCCCTAAAGTAGATATATTGAGCAAAATACAGCAATAGAAACCAAAGCAACAGCATTCACGAAATGACGGCCAGAGCCCGGAACTCACTTGAAGAAATTCCTGAAAAATTTGGACAAATCAAACAGATACCCTTCCCAAGTATCTTCATCCACCTTCTCAATCAAGTCATAATCAATTGGCTTGAGTTGGGTAGATACTTTGGTTTTACGAGTTGACAGAGATGCTGTCATAATCTTCTTGATGTCATTTTGAGACACATAGGCAGTATTACCAACCACCACTTGTGATGCTCTACCTGCATGTGTTGTATAGACAGATCGACTTGCAGTCGCAGGACGAGAGGTGCTGCCTCTGCCTTGTTCTGAATCACTGTATTGCTCTAAATCCTTCAAAAATGTTTCTAGTGTGGCCTTCTCAAATGGAGTTGATTGCGCTGACTCTACTGTCAGATCCAGAGCGTCGATGCACAATTTCAATAATGTTTTAGCATCTGAAAATGTCAAAGTACTATAAAAAGATGGTGTTATAGATTGCCGACTGAAGAAAACCGAGTATAGTGAAGGCACACACCGAATAGCCTCGACCATAGCCTTAACGTGATCTGCATCTGGCAGATTCGATTTGAGACCCATGTTATATCGTCTGCGTTTGGAATACTTGACTAATGCTGACTTGAGAACTGATTGCATACTGGATATACATTCTAGAGCAGCCAAATATCGTGCATGATACGACTGAAACTCGTTCAGTAATGCAGCGACCTCAGCCTGTAAAGCCACATTGTCGCGTAATAGGGCTTCTGCTTTTTCAACGTCCTTCTCAATCATTGCCTGATGATGCCTAAACAGTACTTGAGAACGTCAGAATTCTGAAAAAAAAGGTAGAAAGTGAATAATAACCTCTGAAAGGACTTCAAGGAGCGAATACGATCATAATGAACATCCTGTAACGAGTCCAAAACATCTTGATAACCTTCAACATCAACAGTCAGATCCGTAAGGAGACTCAGAGGTTCACCGAAATAGTGTCTCATATGAGAATACTGCAAAGGGTGAAAGGATCTCAATGCCCGTTTACGTCGCTTGCTATCATTACAATTTGTTTACCTGAATACCGCGCACAAACTCTCCAACACATAAATCATAATGATCAAACTTGGCCAGCAAGTAATCATATACTTGAGCACCCAGCTTCAGACCGGATGCACTCTTCATGAAAATCTTGACAAGATAAAAATGGATCAGCTACCACACTGAGAAGGTATGAGCGAGAACAGACTTAAATATGATACCTCTTCAACAATTCCATCAAGACAATTCTCCGATAACTGCAACTTGAATGTTTCTGTTGATAACAGACTTATAGCAGATTTCGGCAACAGTTGATGTAAAGCGTCCACAGAAGTAGCAACACCAATCAAAAGCACAAAGGGCAAGCGATCTATGTATTCTCTAGACGAAATGAGGAGTCAGGCAGGGTCTTTTCTTGCACTGTGATCGATTCTAAACTCGTTGGACAACATATACCTGCAGATAAATATCAAATCAGCCAAGATCTGGGGATCAAAACATTCCATATCCGGCATCAAAACAACGAGACTTCCAGGTAAAGCATCAGGCTGTTTATCCTTCATGTGCTCATACCATCCGGTCAATCGGCGCATATCATCAGCACAAAGTGCACGTTTATGTACACTGGTATTGATTTCAATCATGTCCTAAATGAAAAGAACTGTCAAAGGTATCCTCTAAGGCAACGTTCACCTCTCTTTCTGCGCATCAGCACGTCAACAACCCATGCACTTACGTTGTCCTCATCATTAGCATCGCCCATCTCTTCATCACCATCATCAAAATCACCCACAAGTTTCTGTATCAGGCTCCTGAGCGTTCCTTTTAATGAAGAACAGTTTCTGGACCACATGATTGCGACTCGTTCTTTAGCTTCTTGTAACTGAGTCGCTAGACTACCAATTAAGGTTTCTTGATCGGGTATGTTGATTCCTGAAAAGATGAGGCCTGTAGGTATATCCATTGTTTGTGTTTTGAATGATCTATAGTAGGAGGCGAGAGCCAAAAAACAGAAAGGTGAGAACGCTCCGCATCACTTGTTACAGTCGTGACTTTGCGAACTTGCAATGGCCGAGGTTCTTGTCCAACTGAAGGATGAGCATGTGCCACGAAATCAAGAATCTTTGCCAGAGACTGTTGATTCATTGTCAAAATGACTTCCTGCAAAGTATATGTTGTAAGCGTCAGAGCCTTGACAATCGACCAGAACTAAGACAAATGCTACACCCATTCGACAAAATTCCAAATAATTGAATATACCTGTATCTTTTCATTGACATTCTTCCACCGTGCATGATATTGAGCATGTCGATAATTCACATTTTCTTCGATTTCGCCGGGAAGCGCATACATTCCATCCATTTCCAGTCCAATGGCAACATCGTCTGGCGTGAGATAACATATAAAATTAATGTATGGGTGGGCTGGAGGGATGACTTTACAACAAGTACCATTTTCATCGAGCTCGATTTCATTAGCTCCTTCCTTTGGCAAAACGAGCTTACTCCCCTATAGGAGCAATAATGAGCATGGTACAAATAGTAGACCTTTAATGAAGTCTCATACTTGCCACAGTTAGCGAATCCAGTAAACTCATCCTGATCGTGATCTGTTATTTTGACTGCGCAGAGAGCAACAAACGAATGTTTTGTGCTTTCACATCTGCCAAGTAGATTAACGTAATTTAAAGCGTTACTTTCATGGAAATATGCTAATTCTTGATAAAAATCTAAAAATATTTACAAAAAGATTTGTATATGTACATTACATATCAATTTCAATCTCCAATTGTTGAGATTCATCGTCAACCTCCATTTGAAATCCAACATCACCTTCTTCTTCACTTATAGCTTGACTAGCCTGTGCTGCAGATGACGCATCATGTTCACCATCGTCGTCAGGCTTACCCCCATCACGTTCACCATCAGAATCATCCAACCAATGTCGTTCTGGTTTGAGTAGCTTTCTAGTAGTCTTTGGCTGTTCATCATCACTACTGCTGCTACTACTCCTATCACCACCATTCTCATCATCAGACTCATCAACAACTCCGTTCCTCTTTATGGTCTTTTTCTTTGTAGTGTTACTAGTGGCCTTCGTCTTATTCATCGTCTTTCCTTTACCCTTCTTACTAGCACTACTACTACCCTTTTTCTTGCCAGATTTGGGAGTAGGCTTTTTTGTCGTTTGTGTTGTTGTAGGAGTGGCATCTTCATCGTCTTCACCATTGTTATTCTGACTACCACCACCAGGATTACTATTATGATCATCACTACCAAGACTAGTCTTGGCTCGTGCTTGTATAGCGGCTTTACGTTCTGCCAACTTAGCTGCACGTTCTGCCAGTCCTTTTTCTTCAGCTATTCGTTGCTGTTCAGATTCTACTGTCCTTTGGTTCAAGATCTTGGCTCGTAAGGCTGCTTCTCGAGCAAAGAATGCTTCATCATCTTCATCGTCAGAATCAATGATAAACTAATGTACATGAGTTGGTATCAAAAAAAAACGATCAGTATACAGTCGGAAACGCAGGAAGTCTTGCTGCAAACACGTCATACCATGGCGGACAATTCACGTCTTTGCTCTTCATCATCGTTCTTGCGAGGATGAGTCTTCCTTCTCTTATGAGGTCTCTTACTCTTCTTATCCTTTTTACGTTTCTTGCGTCCCTCAGCGTCAGCGCCTTGAGCCTCACTGCTACTACTGCCCCCATTTGAGGATGACGATGACGAACCACCAGATGAGCGTGCTGTAGCTTGGGGACGAGATCGAGATTTACGTTCTGTCTTCTTATGGATGAGTTTGGCCAAATCCTTCTTGCCATCTGGCATATTCGTATCTTCTTCCATAAACTCTTCTAGCAATGCCTTGTTGAAATTGAAGTTGGATGTTGATAGCTTCTTTGGTATAATCCATAAAATGAAGTCATCAACTATTTGTGAGAAAAAAGGAATGTTATTCGTTATTAAAGAACAGCCTTCATTGGGAGCTTCCAAGCAATCACCTTCAAGTCTCTCCAGTCCCAGTAAATTGAGTAACATACGGACTAGATTATTCTTACTCAATAAGTGATTGAAATCATCACTTTGGCCATCGAGACCTTTCAACTCTAATTTACGAGATTTCAGAACTGGTGCCATTTTAGCCCAAAAAAAACCCGGGCATGTAAGAGCTACTGACCAAAGTCACGCAACACAGCTGCTTCTTCACCACGCAATTTGGCAGCTGCAGCATCAAACTCGTCGTCTTTGCGATTCGTACAGGCAGAGGCATATACCTAGTGACAATTGGTGTCAGTACAGTACTTTACAAGTGGGTTTCTGGTTGAGTTGGCAACCTCAAGATAATACCCTACCTGAACAATCCATTCCAAGAACTCCTTGTGTCCAGCATCAGCAACTGCAAGAACTGCAACTTTGAGCTTTTGATCGAATGGCACACTGAAAGTATTAGAATCGAAGCAATGTTAATCAAAACACCACAAATGCAGCATGCCATCGTAACAAAGTTTTCTCGCCTTTGTTTAATTTCCACTTCATCATCAGACCTAAAAGAAGCACAGGAAGAGAGTCATCAAGACGAGCCAAAAAATCAGCACTAGCTTTCAAGTATACCCAAACTTATATGGTCCCTCATAGGTCTAACGGCATCAGTTTTGTAAGTTATCGTGTCGAAGAATGTCTTCTCTCGTTCTCCCCCAAAACACAAACCTTCTTAGTGACAGTATACGATGGTCCAACGCCAGTGAGAAACCGAGAAGAATCACCACCACGTTTAGGATAAAACATCTAAGGAAAAGAGAGTAATGGTTAGAGGTCATCCCACCAGTTGTTTGACGTCAATTTTTTTTTAGCTGGGCAAAATTCAGACACACATACATGAATGAACAAGATTGGATTCTCTTGCAACCTCTTGATCAGTTTGCCGCTAACATACTTGGCAAATGTATGAACCTCCTTGAACCCTTTAGTTATTCTTATACGACCACGGTCATTCAAGATGCGATGAAATAGTTCAATCACGGATAGCTAATACGACAAGAGAATGAGCTTGGGTACTCGTAAGATGACAAATGACGGCAGTATGCATTTTTTGACCCACCCTGTAAAAGTATGCCTCCATTTTACATTTGACAAAGATACGATGAAACATGGTAGCAATGAATAACAAGAATCGGTCATCACATGTCTGGTAATGGGAGAGCAGAGCACAATAATTCAATACGACGTTGTCAGAGGTAAAGTCCTAGATTCATAAATGCCAAACAAATTCGTATATAAGACGAGAAGAATATGTTTGATGGAAACCGATACAGCACCTCACGAGCACCTTCTTCACGCAAACATACCCTTTCAATATCCAGAAACTTCATCTCTCGTTCAGCAAACCTCGCCTTCCTGATCTCAGCATCATCTTCCTCATAGTTCATGTTTTCAGGATCGGCTGGAAAATTTCAGAAGTGCTGTCAGGTGCAAACATTGGTGCGATTTGCTCCTTTTTGCGATGTTCATTACCTTTCCGTTTTCCACCACCATGGGTCTTTTTCTTCATGACCAGAAAGTCCTTGTTTTTTGAATAGTTTTCCATCATCGTGAGGAAGACATGCACTGATTCAATGAGTGTTTCCAGATAACTACATGTGATAGATATGTCAAAATGTATCAGTAAACAAAAAAGAAAATTGACCATACCTTTGACTCTGAACTCTGGTAACTTTGCACAGGGCTGCGAGAGCCTGTACATGCATTCCTTCATAAAACAAAACATCTTGTGTATGGACTGAAGCTTCTCGATAAACCTCGTTTGGTGAGACTGCCATAGCATCTAATACAACGAGCTAACAAAAGTACGTAGTGGGTCGTTAACAGGTTGTAAACATCGCAGAAAGGTGTGCATAAGAAATATGCTAGATACACAAGATTCTTACCATTTGTTTTAAGCAATCTAGAGCACTTTGCAGTCCTGTATAATTCTGAGGGACAAAGAAAATTTTACGTGTGACGATTTGTGAGGAACAAACGTTCCAAGATCGGCACTGGGACATACCTTTTCGTCCAAGTACATGTGCATCCTCTTGCAAACATATTGCATCCCCTTGTCATCGACAAGACCAGCGACGCAATCGAAATCGTACTTGTTTCCCTTTTTCTAAGAAACCGCATATTTTTAAAATAATGTCCATTCTTCACTTAGAATCTTCAGTTTTCACTGAACATTACTAGATGCCAAATGAGAACAGGCTTAATACCATACCTCTCGATACAGTATGATATACTTGAGATAGAAAGTAACCAATCTCAAAAATCGAGTGTGATCTTCTTCTCTGACTTTGCTAGCCTCTCGGTCAAAATCCTTCTTGACACTCATCATCAAAGCTAGAAAAATGTGAGAACATAAGGTTGCATCAGAAATAATCCTGAAAATTCTTTCGTGATTCACAAAATACCGTTGAAAGCCTGATCAAGAAATAGTTCAGCAGAGTCAGCGAGTGCATCACGAGCTCTCTGGTTGAGAACACGGATTTTTGCATCATAGTCTTTCTAAGGCCGGGAACGGAGATGTTTTAATATGATCAGGGCAATTCGTCAATCCCGCATATTGCCTTTTTGCTCTTCTGACCTCAATCGTTGGCTTTTTCCCTGTAGGGCCTTTCTGTGCTGCTTTCCCAAGGTTGAGTGCCTTGTCAACGTCCTTGAGACCGACTGTAGTGGAATGTACGTTATGTGTACGACCGTTCTGATAGAGACACGATACGTAATGAGTAAAAACATACGGAGTTACTTTGCACGACTCAACTCACTCCAAGTTGCAAGGACAAGGTTCCTCCAAAGCGCGAATGTCTTGACGATATACCAGCGACACGTCTCTTTCGTTCATCATCCTCTTTCAAAGAGTCTTCCAATATAGTATTAACCTATAAAGTTTATGGGAAAGATATTTTTAGGAGGAAAAAATACGGAGCTTGAATGTATTCGTACAATCTTTTCCTTCCGAGTCACCAGCTCTTCAGGATCACGATCTCTGAATAGAAAGTAGACGATTTCCATAATCAACATATTCCATTGAGCGAATTGAGGATCTCCCATGCTGGCAGCAAAAGTGATAATGAATTCTAGGATGGATTCATCCTTCATTTGCAAGACGAGTTGTTCCTAAGAGCGAAACAACCTAACGTTGAGGTTCTCATATGCAAAGCTTTGGATGGCGAAAAGGATGGAAGATGATATTTATACCTGTAAATGTGCCTTCATGTAGGCTTCTGTTGATGAGAACACTGAAACTCGATCATCCTTGATACTAAGAACGTTTCGAATGACATTCAATAGCAATCGTAATTTGGGAATATTCTTCTCGTGCTTGCTCCTATAGATATGAAACATGATAAATATTTGAAACACATCAATGAATGATTTACTCCCAGACATCGGGTTTTTGCCTACCAGTCCTCTGTACCAAGGATAACCAGGAGTTCGTTCCTGAATGTTCGCAAGACACCATCACCAAGGAATGCGATCTTGTATTCTCGTAGCACTGCCTTCTGTGATGCAATATTTTTGGTCTTTGGATTGATCTCCCAGGTCATCGGAGCAAACAAGTCCACTAACAAAGTGACAGTGTTGTCAGTCAAGTATCGAGTTTTTCAGAGAGTGAGCAAGAGGTGCCACAGCTATGACCACTTTCATGGCATAATCCCAGGCTTTTACACAAATCACCACCATGCGGAGTACTCCGATAACTTACAGATAGCACGACGAAGCTTTTCATCAGTTTCATCGGACATGAACATTGGAAGCAAGTCCTTTTGTAGTATTTGCCATCGTCCAAGCTGGATTGAAATGTACATTTCCTTTCCCATGACATCGTGTTTCAAGAATCGTCTGATATCTCTAAGACAATCTAATCATTTAGCGGTTTATATAGTTAGTAAGGAATAAGTGTGGGTTGCCACGAAAGCACAGGTTTATGTCCAAGATCAACCAACAAGACACTAGACAATAACGTACCTATGGCCTCAGCACCGGGCATGTATTTCCTGACGAATACCTGGTTTCCATCGTGAGTGTCGATGGGGACTTCTTCATAACCACCGAGGGCTGCGCATATATTCAACAAGTGATTTAATTCCTTTTTGCGCTGTTGTTGTAGAAACTCCAACTCCTCAGGAGATAGTTCTTCCTCGTCTTCATCTTGATCTCGTAGTTGCGCTTGTTCCCGATTATACTGATCGAGCTCGTTCTCTGGCTCCATCCTGCTGTATTGTCAATTTTTGAACTATTGCAAAGGTAGTGTTTGGATTTGGCTACAACACAGGGGAGAGCGCAATTACGTGTTTCTTCCTTACAGCTACCAAGTACTGATAATAGTCTAATATTTGAAGGCCAAACGGCGCGTAAGTTTGGCTTATAGGTGTTCGAAACGGACAATTTCCATCGCAACCTTCAGAAGACTCAATAACGTTAGAATAACGACGAACCAAGGAAAGGTTACAGTGAAAAATCGCAAATTGACTATAATGATCAAGTAAGCCCCTCCTTTGAGCTTCATCGTATATGTTTGTATTCGACTAACCACGCTCATCAAACATCGACTGAATTTCCTAGTAGGCGCTAAGTCGTAGACTATGAGGACCTCAAATCAAACTTTACAGAAATCATCAAGGCAGTCCTAGCTGCTGTCTTCCTCCTCGTCGCAAAAATTGTCTGTGATATTGCCCCCCATCAACACATTCAAAAGTGAGAATCTACACTAGAAAGCCAGCAAATGTAGGAGGCGCTCATTTGGTCTCGTTGGCTGCGGACAACTTGCTTGTATCGTCTTCAAAGACCTTCAAGGAACTTGTTATCGAATTCACTGATATGGCAAAGGCCCCTGGTGCTGGTGATTCTGCGCTATGCGTCCTGGCTTACGCGTATGGTCACCGCTACTCTCTTCAAGATCGCATTGGAGATGTTTGTAGCTGGTATCGTCGTGTCTACTTGCTGGCCTACTGGCAGCGATGAACGGCTCGTACTCAATGAGCTCTCATGAGCACAAGCCATGGGTACCTCTTACACATCCTGCTCATATAAAGTGGTCACTGTTGGTGTTAAAAAATCGTGACATGTAAAGAAGACAAACGTTTCAACTCCATGTATAAAATTCGTATTGGAAGAAGATGAAAGGATATCATTCATTTATCTTATATATCAAATGTTCCTGAATTGTTGCTGTAAAACCTAAAAGATGTGGTAAGCTGTGGTTGCATAAAAAAGAAGTGGAAAGGCATATTCTGTTGTACCTCACTCACAATAGGCTCAATTGTGAGTGACGTACCCCATCATAGAGAAAGAAGACAAACCTAGAAACCTTCGATACGCCAGAACTACTAGAAGAACCAGCCTTGTCGAGAATCTCATCTTCACCTTCAGACAAGTCATTGCTGACTTCACTCCAACCGTGCACAGCGATGTAACTGATGATCAACTACTATGCATCGCCACCCACAATGGGTCTCGCAGTACAGTTGGTTGTATATCATCATAGAATCGAAACAAGATATAAAAATGCACGTCCGAGGATTGCACAGACTTTTGTTTTGTAATAAAAATGAATTTCGTAAAGAAATGCATTCATACGCATCAGGTCATCGTCAGCTTCGTCGTGACACGTGCTGTTCAAGCTTTCAAGCTCTTCTTCCAGACGTGTTTCTTCGATGAAAGCGAGTTTGCAATATTTCGGATCGTCATAAATCACATGAGTACAGCTCGAACTGGTATGAGAATGGTTGGGTCAGAATCCAACACTTTTGCAAAACTTGGGCACACTTGAAAGACATCAGAAACCCAAAGATTGCATCAGAGGGTCTGACGAAGCCTGTCATCATCAGAATGCTGTGCATCATGTGAGTGTATGGCAGTCGCTTCTTTCTTTATACGTCGAATGTCGTCTTTTTAGCCGAGAATCCATATTCGCAAAATCAATGAACATTGAACAACACAATTTCTCAATGCCAAAGCAGATGCTTTGGGCGCATTCTGTTGGGTGCTCTCTTCGCCCTCGCTACTGTATTGATCGCATCCATCATTCGAGCCATCCACGCAGCAAACACAGTCCCCATCAAGACTATGATAATCAGTTTCCACGGTACAACACTAGGAGGAAGGAACGATGTATGCCACTTCATTTCGGTAGATAAAGCCAGGACTGACCCTGGAATATTCACTTTCCGTCGATTGGGCTTGGAAGTCTTTCTAGACATGCTGCAAATCCGTGAAGACCGATGGAGTGTGTTTCACTACCCAGGTCGATACAGGTTTACCGGCTTTGTCTTTCAAGATCAACGTATTGCTGACGTATTTGCACACGAAAATGTGGACATGCATGTTTACGTGAGCCGACACCCAAGGGCACAAGCCAACCAGCGTGAATGACTCTCTTATAGTCGCTTGGTACCATTAAAGTCAGATATCATATAGAGAAGAGATTTAAAGAATGGATCTTAGATATTGTAATTTGCCTACACTTGTATAATTCATATTCACAAAGCAATATTAGATTCATCTACAGCGACATAATCAATTGCTATAGCCATATGTCTTGCATCGGAAAGTGTTGTCTGGCGATAGTGAATCGGCGAAACACACACACGCCGAGGTGAAAACAAGTTGGGGAAGAATTGAGTCGTGTTGCGGCACACACTTTAACTCAATAACTTCTTATCACCAACTGAGGAAAACCAGACACTTTTATTGCTCTAGGACATCAAAGGAACCCAAGCATCAACATGGAAGACAGTACTATGTGAGTGAATTTTAATTGATCTTCGTTCTTGTTATTAGTTGTCATCTCGTTTAATCCTCATACTGATCTGTCTACCAACCCAATTTACGATGCTAAACTAGAAGCTCAGAGAATACTTACTGCTGATCATCAATGTGATATTGATTTGCCAAATGCGTCAAACAGGTCGCTCTGGCCCGATATCATCAAGACATTCACTGTCAACATTTGGCTATCAAACAAGGACATGCCTAGCTGGAAGTATCACAAAGTACATAACATGATCGTCCCTGCTTTGATGACATTCAGAACCTTGACTGCTGATGTTGTGCCAACCAGTAGAATCCTATACATTGATGTTCTGAAAGTGGGACGTTGCCCTCTGGACGCTTGTATTGGAGACGTAAGTAGTGAAGAAATGGTCAACTTCATCGTCTACTGGGGCACTCGTCATGATCGCAACGGGGAACTTATTGATTAGCTTGATCTGATGATATCAATATGGTATCCCAGGTCAGAATCGTATAGAGGGAAAGTAATTGAATGGCTGTACAAAGTTTGTAAATTGCTTTAATATAGAGAAATCATCCCACTTTGCCTCGTGATCATGCCATCTTGCCACATCACCATACTAAACCAAATAAGCCGGAATAGGCAATAGGCGAATTGTTCAACGGAAGCTCCTTTCAAATGTTCCGCAATATTAGCCAGATGACACGTAAAACAGCCGAAACTCATACCTGTAAGTTGGGGAACTTCGCTGGCAGCTCGCTGGCACTTGTCAGGCTGGTGCTTTTTTTAAAGTCAAGAATTCCAAACGTTTCACGTTCACTCGATCAAACAGTACAAGAATGAGCTCCTCTGCCAACTGGAACTTTAACTGTGCCCTGATAACTGGAGGTGCTGGCGGAATAGGCTTATATCTCGCAAAGTTCCTTCTTCAACAAGGAAAGGTATGGTACATCCGAGAGGTTGGAACGTCGTATTTTGAGGTTAAGATCCCAACTTCCGTCTATTAGAAAGTCGTTGTCGCTGGCCGAACTGAAAGCAAATTGCAACAATGTGTTTCAGAAAACCCTAGACTGTCTGGGTATTTGGTTGTCGATGTTGGCAAAGTCGAGACGCTACCAGCATTTGTACAATCTGCCATATCCAAATTCCCTGAAATCGACTGTGTGATCTCAAAGTAAGGATGGAAATGCCAAAAAAGCGTTGCACATCGCCAATGCGTGGCAAGTCATCACTCACACTCCTTTTCCACGTTCTAGTGCTGGGATTCAAAAGATCATTAGTGTGCTAAGGGACTCACCCGCTGATGTACTCGCTGCTGGTGATGCAGAGATTGATACCAATGTCAAAGGTAGATGGGACATCCTCGCGCCTTTTTTTGCTAAAGCTTTCAACTTTGTTCACGCAATATCTACGTGTTGGTTTTCTTTGTATCCACTGAAATTTGGAGACTTTTGGTGCTAAAACTGTCAATTTTGCATAGGGACCATCCACTTGTTGACTCTCTTCTTGCCACACTTGCTGACCAAGGAGAATTCTGCCATCTTTACCGTGTCGAGCGGCCTCGCTTGGGTTCCTGTGGCATTCGTTCCTGTTTATTGTGGTACGTGGTTGACAAATGCTTGAAGCTTTGAGTGTTAGACGTGTAACTTCGTCAAATAGCTACAAAGGCATTCATTCACTCGTGGACTCAAAGTATGCGAGTCCAACTCAAAAACAAGATTCGAGTGATTGAAATTGCACCACCGCTGGTATGTAATACGGGTTTGCGTGTATGAAGTAACCCACTTTGGAATAACGTGACCATACTGGGTATTATAGGTTGAAACTGACTTACATCGAGATCATCCCGATCAATTACAAGACAATTACAAGAAGTCCACGAATGTAAAGTCATGATTGAGACGGACTGTTTTTTTTTTTCAAGTCAAGCTCTGTCCTCACACAGCGTCCTGTTTTACAGCCACATGCTCAGTCTGCTGAGGAATTCATTGAAGAATTCGCTAGAGACATGAATAAGGGACTCGATATCTGTGCACCTGGGATGGCACGGTAAGGCCAAGTTACACCTTTTCTCATCAATTCAATGCTAATTACCAAACCAACAACTTTTAGGTCTCTTGCTGATCGAGAAAAGGCCACGTTTCAACAAGATTTTGAATGGATGAATTCAAGAGCTCCTTGACTGCAAAAAATATAATGTATTGCCTCACTTCCCAACTTACAAAGAAAGAGCAATAGCAAATTAACGAACTACCAAGATTCGCATTTTATTGATGATGAGTTGATTGTACGGCGGTCGATGGAGTGCTACCTAACACAGACATTGGTCGAGCACCTGCTAGGGGCTCATCGACAGCAAAGGCTGGTTGTTGTGGCTGATTCTTAGTAGATCCACGGAGGAACTTGCCATTTGTGCTTCTGTGGCGACAGAATGAAACCAAGTGGAAGAGTGCGTCCAGCATCTATACGAAGAAGATCGTGGACGTATGTAAGAAACCGTAGCTTCGATACAACATAGGCTTTCGTTTGCTCACCCATAGACCAGCCGCAATCCAGCAACAAATTGCTCCAAACACTGCAATGCCTTTACTTTTGCCATTATTGGAAAGTATAAATTCACCTTCCTGATTGGCAAAGTTCGAGAGACCTGCCGTCCAGTCGATAGCAGCCGAGACAAGTATCACTATAGTTTTGGCAATCGATATGATCAAAAACGACCCATTCATCATGCAGCATTGATCAACAGAAAGAAAGAAGCCCTGTTCATGTTGACTTGCGATTTTGGAAGGCTTGTGACTTACAAGTGATTAACACAGCTAAGATAGCGTACATCATGACAAATGGATTAGCATGCTCACGGCCGCGTCCGAAACTGACTTGAGTTATAACAGAGCCTAGTACAGCACCAGCCAAACATATTGCAGCGGATATGAGCACAAAGTAGCATGGGCCATTAGACTGTATATCGGTTCGATTCCACCACAAGACACACTGGGAAACACCATTAGCACCGACGTAAAGTTGTCCCAAAGCAATAAACAGGATCAGGAATCCGAATATCTACAAATGGGATATGTTGGTCAATAGTCCGCAAAGTTTGATTTTGATCAATTCAAACGGGTGAAGATGGAACTGTGTGTCTTCAAACGACAATATATTATGCAACTGAACAATCGAAACCTCATCTAGAAGCTCTCTGCTCCCCATGGTACGTTCACGAGCATCGTTTTAAGCTCGCCCAAACCATGCTGCAGTACTAAACCCAACCAATAGCAAACCATCCAGTAGACTTACGACTTCCAAGAGATGTAGGAAATGCAAGAATATCTGTTTTAGAGATATTTCCATCTTGGCTTCCGTGCTTTGTTAACGAGTTTTGAGAAATTGTCGCAATCCGACCAAAACTCTATGTGAAGAAATCGTTGGTTGTAAGGTAAACGTTGCAACGTGTCTTTAGGCAGATTCTTCGTGATTTTACGGTATTCATAACGTTATTACTGCTTTAACAAACACGTCGAACTTTCCATGCACAGTGATGATCGGTTTCATTCAATCCTCGAAGACTACGGTTCCCAATCAGTTTCTCCCAGGATGAACCCTCTCAAACCGCTTGTATTTGATATTCGATTCATCAAAAGCTTGCTCGGCAAGTCGCATCCAATGGTTCCGACATTATTGTTGATCGCGATGAGGATGGAACTTACTATACCTCTATATAGTGATGAGTCTGATGGACGAAACGGAGAAGTTTCAACTCTTTATACCGTGAACATCCCTCTGACGCCAACTCTGAAGCTGATAATTCGCACGACATCTCGTCGAACCATGGCTGAAGTGCTGCACATCTGCCAAACCAACAAAGTACTGCTTCTACTGCTGGTGACGAAGGAGACGCTGTCAGCAGCAAATATCGCAAACCGCTAATAGTTGGACTAGTTCCTTTGAAATTACGACCTACGAGACCTGTCGCTACGATTGATACTCGACTACGAGGTGACTTTACCCAAACGAACTCGGATCCATCATTTTGTCGTACGCAATCAAATTGCCATCGCTGTAATGGGTTTTCATCCATCATTCAAAGCTTTGATGCCAAGTCTAAAGACATACAATGTAAAATACTAATGTGCACCAACGTCATAACATCATGTCGGGTGCTTTACCGATTCGTAATCTCAACGGTTCAATACTGCCTTCTGTGTCATCGTGTACTTGTTACGTATATCGTGGTATCGAAGGTGCGGGTGCTATTTCAATCGAAGAAGCTGAAACAGCATGGTATTGTAGCGAACCTACATATCAAACGTCTTGTAATGTGGAAGTTACTGGTGGTAATGAAAGTACTGAAGATGGCTTCGGCGCAGAATTTGACAAGATGTCATCACAAAGCAAGCGTGTGCTATAATCATGTCAAGATGAAACGGTGCTATTCTAGTATTTCTCCAGTATGGAATAGTTTGAATGAGACTCTAAAGAGTTTAGTGGGCGTTGTTGTTGAAAGAAAGAGGCAAGTACATAAACCGGAACGTGATTTGGATTGTTTGTTGCCCCTAATTGGGAGGTACAGTGGAGAGGATGGTTATCTTGGATCACATACTGGAAAGTCTTTGACCAAGTCTGAAGCCACGCCAGTATGTCTCTGCTTGCAGTTTTTCTGTATATTTCTCAAAATACATACATTCCGATGTACGAGAGGTCAAGTGTTCTCACAATTCAAGACCAAATTCGACGTGGAAGCCAAATCTAACGCAACAACATGCACTATTCTGATGGAATTACCACAAATCTGCACGATTCTATTAGTTGGTTAAGTTGGGGGCGACGGTACAACGTTCCATTTCCTTGTTATGGCCGGACCAAATCCATCGTAGTTTATCCAGTAGCTTTGTGGTGTTTCGGACATGATAGTGCCAGTCTCGCCAGAATGTACAGCTGAACCGATAGCCTTCACACGACTACCCACTGTAAGGGGCTTTACGGGGTCCGAAGCAGCTTGCTTACCAAAGAGACTGGTCGAAGTGCTTTGTGATATCAAAGCAGGCTTTGGAGAGGGCGTCTGTTGTTGATCCTGTTGCTGTTTACCAAAGAGATTGGTCGTACTACTGGTCTCGAATGCTGGTTTTGCAGGGGGTATCTGATCTTGCATGCTTTGATGCCCAGCGAGATTGGAGATACTGCTCTGTGGCTCTGGAGTAGGAGTTGGTGAAGGAATCTGCTGTTGATTCGGTTCCTGTCATTTATGAAGGCGCAGTTAAAAATTCGAGAACAAAACAGCCACGACTTGCGTTTCACTCTTCCTCACGCTCACCAAAGGCACGACGTTCCATTGCATTGTTTTTGCTCTCCCAAAATTTTCATAATCTATCCAGTAACTTTGGGGCGTGACAGATACAATAGTCCCAAGCTTTCCTGAGTGCGCAGCACGTCCGATAGCTTTGACACGGGTGCCCACTGGGAGAGACTGGCCTGACGAGGTGGGGACGTACAAAGCAGGGCTTAGAACCGGAGAATACATCTGTTGCCGCTGCTGTCTTTGAGATCCCAAAGGAGCCTCGACTTCAGGAATCACATCCGGCTGGTTCTTTTGCTCTTGCTTTCCACTCTCAACAGGTTGCTGCTGGTTATCTGGTTGCTGTTGTGTTTCCACAGTTGGCTGTTGAATATCAACCGCACTGACTTCACTCGATTTGGGAATCTCAGTGTCCTGTTGTAGCTGGAGATATCAGAACTGGCATCGTCGACGAAAATAAGAATAGGGTCTTTATCGCACACTCACCACAGGCACCACATACCATTGCCTTGATAAGGCAAGCCCAAATCCATCGTAGTTTATCCAGTAGCTTTGGGGCGTAATGGAGACAATGGTACCAACTTTGCCTGAGTGTATACCTGCTTCAGCTTTAGCTCTAACACGGGTGTGGACATCCAATGGGGCTGGTTGCACATCATAGCTAGGAGGCTGATCGACATCAGATTCCTGGTGAATGGATGAACAGGAATTAGAAACATTCACTCTTTCTAAAGAAGAGATCTGCTTGTGAGTCTCACTAGTTTAAGGTCTTCTGGCTTTGTTATTACGGCTGGATCAGACTTATTATATTCCACTGAATATGATTCGAGATTGATTCCCGAAAGGTTGACTTTCAAGATACGCCCGACTTTGTCTTTGTGGTCTCCTTGAATAGCTTTGACACGGTCGAATACCGCATAAATCACCTAACCATTGAAATGAATGAATGTCAGGATCGAAACGCATCGATGCCACCACCAACTCACTGTAGCATTGCCTTCAGTCGTTTTCGAATCGGATTGTATCTCATCCGTCCACTCTGTATACTCTTCTCTTAAATCTTCAACCGCAAGTGCTCCAGTTGGGCTCAAAGAAGCAAGCCTATCGTAAACTGCCAACAGAATCTTTGCATGAGCCCGACGCTCGCGAAGCTCCAATTGAAAGGCTCTAATTCAACACCATGTCAGGCACTTGCTCATCATAATCCAGCCATATATCCCACCCCAACACGCTTACTCCTGTATGGCCTTGACCTGCATTTGGTTTGCTTGATTCTGTTTTGCAGCTGCATCCTCACTAGCTTGTCTCTGTCGTTCAACTGCGACCTCACTATCTCTCTTTGCAGACATCTGCTGATAAGTGGCCAAAACCAAGGTAATAGAGACGGTGGCAATAACCGAAGCCAGTCCGTCCACTGACATGTTGCCCTCGAAAATAGAGGATGGCGATACGATACCAAGTACAAGTAAGCGAGCAAGAACGTACACAACAAGTGTGATGACTGGTAAAGCAATAACTAGCCCAGCCTGAACTCGAATGATTTAGCCCAGTACAGTGTCATTCGTGATGGAGCAAGCGTTTTCATCCCATACCACAATCTTGACAACCTTGCTGGTATTTTCCGAATTCTAGAATCCAAAAGCGATTTACAACTTGCGCGTGAATGTAAGCGACTATGTTTTCTTTTACCTTGGCATCCAAAGCTGAGAAAACAACTGCTGCGTCATGTGTTTTAGTAGAGGCATTGCATTAGGAATTGGCTCATCGTTATCGAAAATCTTTGATTTCAGGCCACCAGTAACAGGCCCCCTCTCCAAGTCTTTCTTGGAATCCATGGTGTTCAAGTTTGCGTAGTAGTGCAATCAAGCGTCGGAGTTGAAATGCTTTGAAGCGTCGTGATACGGACGGTCCTTCAATTGTGGAGCTCCTGATGGTATGACATGATGCATTCAAACGAATTCAAGCCTTTTCCCTATAGCCAGGCAAGCATTTCCCTCTTCTTTGCTGTAAAACCAACAACCGTCAATACAGTCTTGAGAAACGCAATCCGACCATACAGCCTCCTGAAGTGATTACAGCTTGTAGGCAATGCTTGCTGATATTTTCACAGTACATTTCTGCAATATTTCTTGTTTGAAGCCAGTGATTGGTACTTAAAACACGTTCCTTTCGCTCATTGATCGTTTGTGTACAAACCAACCAAATCTGTGGAGAAGAAAGCCTAATCTGCAGCATCGAAGCATTTGATTTATACAAGTGATATTGTTTATTTCTAAATAGTAGTTTGGTGCTAACAAAAACGACAATTTTTTACAGTGTTTTATATGCATTTGTGTTGGTGCTATGTTTTGTCAGACCTTCCAAAACGAGCGAAAGAGTAATTGATTGTCCATTGTTTGCCCTATCTATATATTCCTATGATTCAAGCTACTCTCGAGATAGCAGCTGCTCCAAATGCGGCAGCAATACCTCTAGGCCTGCCAACAGTCGGAGCGACAACACCGACATCCTTCAAATTCCCACCCTCAACATTATTCATCACAGTCGTAGCTGCTCCTGTTTCGACACCCTTGCTACCCCCAGTACTCAATTTCGTAAACCTTCCAAACACCCCCACAAAACTTTTCTTCTCTATTTGGTATGCTGCTTCTCGTGTCTTGTATTCGTCAGGGTATATGTTTCGTAGCATGGTATTCAGAGCATCTCGTGCTCTTCTCGTGTTTTGGTCGGGTACGGGCACAGCATGGACTCCTGATGTGGTTTGCACATATGCATGTTGGGTAAAGGAGTTTGCCAAATCATCACCATCGTAATCTTCATCCTCTACTCCATTTGCGGTTGTCTTCATGCCTGTTTCATCTCCTACTTGTACGGCTGCATCAAGACTCGTGTATAGTTTCCACAGCATATCATAGAATTGTGTTGGGGTGCTTCCAGTATTTCGCAGCTCTTGAGTTACTGGGTTGACTCCATCAGCTGCACTACACATCCATAGGGAGTGTAGGCATTCGATAGCTTTTTCTTGAGCTGGCATATCGGCTTCCATGTCTTTTAGAAACGATAGCAAAGGGACTACGATGCGGTTGTGGAGTAGTGCTCGTAGTTGATTGGGATCTTGGCTGGCGGCCATGTTATTTACAATCAGACAGGCCTCTTTTCGTTGCTTCACGCTGGCATCACCCTTTGTGTCACCTAATATCCTAATTATGAGGGATTGGAACCCACCAGAGACGAGTACATCTCCTCGTACGCTGGCAATGTTGTTGAGTATGCACAAGGCTTCTTCTCGTAGATATGAGGCAACGTTGGTAGTCAACAAATTTTCGAGATATGGCAGAACTCCACATTCCAAGACCAACTATGTGTGAAGATTTGTGTGAGCTTACAACATCCTCCAGCATGTTTCAAATTTTTCTTGTACGTCAAATTCTTGCCTGTGTCTGAGAATCTGCACCGGCTGAAAGATTGGTCAAAGTCTGCAATACTGGCATTACAATTCGAGATCGAGGCAGGCTATGTACGTATTGTGGCATGAAATGTTTGAGTGTTAGCGACTATCATATCATTCCTAGTTTGTCGTTTGTTGTGCCTCGGCGCGGCTACGGTGAAAATCCAAAAGATGTATACTAACCTGAGACGACTGATAAGTTGTCGAACAAGGACCTCTGGGAATCCACCAGTTGGTTTCTGAAATGCAATTCGAGCAAACGCCCAGCATACTTCTGCGATAACAACGTCTTCTACATCCATAGTCAATATCCGTTGTAGTACTGGCCATGCTGGTGATATCTATATTATACGAAAGGTCTGTGATTAGACAATGCCAGCGAGAAAAATATTTGGAGACTGATCTTTTACCTTGTCCCATTGGCCTTTCGTCATATCCCACCGACAAATGTTCCCAATTGTCCACATAGCAACATGTAAAGCTGATCTTTCTTCGTTATCATCATCAACGGTTCCTTCCCATATATGAAGTAGTGGCTCTACAGCGTTGCATTCCAATACAGCATCTCGAAACCTTTCACAGTCGCCAGCTGAGAGATATTTGGAATATATCAGCTGAAACCTCAAATCCACTCACCAAAAAAACAACGAAACTTCAAGGAAAACTATAAATTGGAGTGCTTACCAATGTTTCCCAAAGTCCATGCAGCTTGTAACCTAACCTTCCCAGATGGTGATGACAAGAGCTGAACCAACGATGAAATCAATCCACCTTCTACTACAGATGCTGTTTGTGCGGGGTTGCCTGCTGCGACGTTGGTCAATACCCAGCATGCCTCATACTATCAAGAGGGAAGGTTAAAACACGCCGAATGGACTGCAAAAGTACGAGACATACATGAATCTTGTCTGTCAACTCTCCCATATTGGAGCTCAACAAGTGCTTGAGTCGTTCAAGGATTCGCATATAAAGCACCTTTTCGGTATGGTTGGATACATTGTCTACAAAGATAAAATAAAGGTCACTGGATACTCTTTGCCGAGGGTTTGTTTTTGCTACGACAACAAGCAAGAGTGCAACCTACCTCCACAAAGGTATCTTCTCAATCTCTGTACAGCGTTCAATACATATTCAGGGTAATCATTGTTCAATGCTGTCCGTATAGACGCCTAAATGAGAACGGAACAAAAACACGTTAGGTATTGATTGCAATGATTCGGCCCAATAAAGACTAGTAGTTCTTCATAGTTCCGGTACTCGACACACTCCGAAACAGCCAATTCCATGCACTCACAAGTTCAACACCCTCTCCATCATGTCCATTCAAATCCCAAAATGATCCTAAAATGCCATTCTTTGTGCTGTCGACCATCAAATGAGAGAGTTTTCTGGAGATACAGTCGAATTCTGCGCCATCGACCTTGTTGCTCTGACTTCTATGTTTGCTAGTTCGAGGCGCGGTCACGACTTGATCGACAAATGTGGTGGTGATTGTTGGTAAACGTTGATCGAGGTTTCCAAACATGGCGAGGGGCAGTTTGTAGCAGAGGCTAAGAGGAGTGTACACTATGTATACAAGGAGATCTCGCTTCCTTCTTCTTCTCGCTTTCTTCGTCTTTGTTCTGAGGTGGAAAATCTAAAATATTTGACGGAGTTGAAATCAAGAGTTGGAGCGTGGCACCTGCAACAAGAACAATTTTCAACATTGGAATACACTCAATATGTAGTTCTCATAAACGTATTCGCATTTATTCGCATAGTTCCCACACGTTCCGCACGACTGTACAAGCAAAGAAAAATCCTTGCTGGACAACGCATAGAATCCGACATCGTTTCTTCCTGAGAAATAATCTAACTATATCATGCGATTTTACATTGCTCATCAGCTCCTTCAAACCCCCATTTCTTCCCAAAAACGCCACTCTCCCTTATCGACCAGCGGGTTTCTTTTGATTACGTTGCTTGACATCATCATCCTTGACAGCATACAGCAAGATGCGATGCCTCTGGCCTTGTCTCGAGTGTTCATAACCACGAGACCAGTCATATGATGCAGCGTAAGCAAAGATACGTCCATCACGATTGAATGAGGTTGCTGGGATGGGACAGAGGACATTGGGTTGAGCTGGGTCATTTATTGCTGTTGATGTTTTCAACCTTTGTTTGGAGTCCTTGTCCCAAAAGTTGAATCTAGTCAAGCAGGAGGGAGAGTTAGGCGAGCGGAGAGACTGATGTTGCGGCAGAGAGTGATGTTGTCACTGTTCGGAGTGTCATAGTGGTCTTTTTGCACGAAATCGCCAACTAGGAGATGTTTTGAACCAGCCACTTACGTTCCATCTGAGCCTGCTGTACTGAATGTACCATGAACAGGATGGAAGGAGATCTCGTTGACGGCATATACATCATTGTTGTTGCCACGATGACATTTGAATGAAAAGTTCAAACTAAAAAAGTGATGGACAACTTCAGTTGAGCAAAAAAACTACCCTCACCGAGCACAAACGACTGAATCTACCTCGAGTCCTTGTCTTCAACGTATTGAATACCAACTCGACCTTCGATGCTTCCGATTGCAAATCCTTTTCCATCAGGAAATGCGGCAAGGCATCGTGTTTGCCATTTCAGTGGTGAAATCATACTCTGAGAAAGTAGAGGCCAATGTGTAAGTGCTTGCAGCAAATTTGAAATAGTTCAACAAGCTCCTGTACCTTGAATGGTTGCTGTGGATTTTGAAGATTGTAGATGACGATACCGCGCTAAGAGAGGTATAACATGTCAGCACTCGCACGGTTTTCTACATCATTGACGATGCAACTCACTTCTGCTGTGCCAACAACTAATAAATTCGACACGACATCCATAGCATATATACGTTCTGGTACATTCATGACCATCGCAGGTGTTTGTTGTCTCAAGTCCCAGACCTAGAGCATGGTTGTTAGTAGATCTCACACACGTATTTTTTTTCGCTCACAAACAACCATACTCGTAAAGTCTTGTCCCAACTTCCAGTGATTATACATTGATTATCCAAAGCCTTGACACATTTGATGGGCTGGATGTGGAGAATTGTTGATGTCACGATGTTCTCGCAAGCACAAAACGAACACTGAGTCAACTCACCGCATCATGTTGAGCGAATTGAACAGCCTGCAATGTATTCATATCCAGGACCTTTCCCATCTTATCTGCACCAGCTGAGAAGAGCTTTGTACCGTCCTAGTTCATGAAAGGAAGTGGTTCAGTCACATATCATATAACACTGTTCAACCAAAGTACCTTTGCCCAAGAGATATCGAGTACAGGTTGATCATGACCATAAGCATGTCTAGCCATACTTTGGCCCGAGTTTGTATCCACTTGCCATAATCGAATCATATTGTCCCATGATGAAGCAGCGATAATGTCTTGGGTTGGACTAAATGTTGATGAATGTGTGAGTGTTTGAGCATCAAAGATACCACGGAGTTAACAATTTGAACATAATTCATACTTGAATTCCAGAGCACTGATAGAATCAGTCGGTGGCTGAGTAATCTATTGTCGTCAGATGTGTCAGTTTGCAAGCTTTAAACAATTAAGAAAGAAATATACAACGAGAGAAACCAACAGAAGCTTACATCGATCGACTGCTTGTGATCATATAACTGGGCTTGACTACTCGCTGCCATCTTGAATTACCACAAGTAAGTCTCGCTTCGTTCGAATTCTATTTTTTGGAGAATTGGAAGTTTGGTTTGTCTAATTGAAGCAACCACTACGACGTGTCAACAACAAAAAACCGAAGATATTAGTCATTCATACAATGCTCTAAGCAATTATCAACCCTTTCCACTTAGAAAATACCCACAAAAGGAATGGCATCAACAACCCCTCTCGCATCGCAACCACGTCTCTTCCCCGAGGCCGTCAAGCACAATGCCCGTGTTATAAGTGTCGCCCGTGCTTCATTAGCTGCTATAACAGGTTGTGCTGCTGGTATACTAGGTCTGACTGACCTCTACGGTTTTGCATTCTATGGTCTCGCTTCCATCTTCATGTCCCTCATCATGTATGTCGTATTGGCCAAAGGAAACCCATTAAAGTATTGGCCAACTTCCTATGGCTTGTGGACGGATGAAGTTGGTGCTAATATGGTCTCTTATGTGCTCTTTTGGACCATGGCGTATGTGGTGTTGGAATTCTTCTAAACCGAATCCTCAAAGTTTATGTCTTCTCTTTTGCAAAACTAGATACGGGGTGGTACATGTATATGACTAATGCCAAAGAAAGTCTGCGTCACAACCAAGTGTATATAATAATCGCATCAATAGAGAACAGCCTTCAAAACGGAAGACAAATGAATGTGTTGGTCAAGGAGTGCCTTATGACTATCCTGCGATTCCTTTAACACACAACTTTACCAATAGTGCTGCTGAGATTGCTTCTGAATTTATGTGTCTTGCTTATGAGCAAAAGAAAAATACAAACGTCTTCTAACACTATTATACCTAAACTCCCACGACAAACCCCTCTCTTTCAAAACTTGTCGGTATCCACAGTCATCTTTGTAGAAACATCCGTGGCTTCAACCATCTTCATAAACTCTTCAAACGAGACTTTGCCATCACCGTCCAAATCAGCCTCCATAATAGTCTTGTCCACGATCTGTTGTAGTTGATTATCTCTCAGGTTGTTGCCCACCATCATCTTTAATACTATAAATAACTCTCCGTTTGAGATATAGCCGTCTCTGTCTATATCATATACTTTGAATGCAACTAGGGAGCAGGACGAAGAGCAGTGTTAGTGTCAGTCTGACAGTGTATGTGGTGCGTTTGAATCTGTGATCGTCATAAGTACATAGATGTCTCAATTCAAGCAGCCAAAACATGTGACATGCAGCGAGAATGCTCAAACAGCAACGACTTTGCAGCTTACATACATTTCAACTTTTCCTCTCGATTTCCTTTAGCAGAGAAGGCCGACAATCCCGAGATGAATTCCTTGAAATCAACACTTCCACTACCATCCCCATCAAATATTGCAATCATACGTTGTGCCAAGGGATTGCTAGCAATCTGCGGGATCTGCAGGAACTCTTCCTTGTCTATAGCACCACTACCATCCTTGTCCAGTTTGAGAAATCGCTTGTACAGCCTTTGAATCTGTGTTATACAGTGTGCTTTAATTCCAAATGTTCATGAATATAAGATTCGTGATGTCTGAAAACAAGTACCTCTTCGGCCGTAACTAGATTAGAGGAAAATAAGAATATCAGTATGAATTGTTTGGTCTATCAATGCCAAATTGTAACCTCACAGTTGGTTGTATTCACCATGTCCTCGAGTTGAGAACCGGCATTTCCCACTAATTCAAGGAAAGGCGAATGCAGTTAGTATTTCTTCAAAGGAGATGTGCTGTCAAATGCAAGCCGCGCTTACTGGCTGACTATCTCTGCTGTCTCGTCTGTTCAGTTAGTTGCGGTTTCGATCTTCAAATTATAGCCCAACTGAATGAGGCACGGTCAAGACAAGGAAGGGGAATTAACCAACGCGAGCAATATATAAGTAGCCCTGAATTTTCAGATTTCTAAATTGCTATTTTCTATTTTTACCATTACCCTTTGGTAAGATACCACAACTGACCAACACCACATACAAATGGACTACACCAAATAAATACACGATATTCCACTCTTCCCGCTATACATAGTTTACTGTGTAATATGATATGACAACACTGATCTTAGAGTGAATCCCCATACTTTTCAACATCCAACTCAGAGGTCAAGCCAATGTGATCTTTGATTCTGCAAGACGATCTCTTCACCACGAGCTGCTGTAGTTTTGCCACGCTATCACTTACAGCCCTTTCTCCACTTCGTTGTTGAGTCAATCGTACCCAATCCTTGCTGATATCACATGTAAGCCCTAATTTGATACACCGTAGGCCTGGAAACGTGGTGGCGACAATACCTCGATTATTGCAGATGGGTTAGTCGAGGCATCTGCCGACTGTAGTTCTAAATATCGCAACCTGGTGCCAAGTTTCACCCACGGCTGCAAGTTCCTGTTTACGTATCCCATAGCTAGATATCAACCTCTCCAAGTTGGGCAACAATAGTAGCAATACTTCCAGCTCTTTGCTACTTCCTCGAGGGTTCCATTCTAGATGATTTACGGGTGATTTTGGTAGTTTATCGGGTTGAGATATTTTAATGCCGAGTGAATTCCTGGAAGATTTGCTCCAATGTCTATATGAGTGAGACAAGAATTTGGAGTCAGCAAATATGCACCTAGTAATGACCCAAAGTCTCGATCGGTGGTCCAATTCGTAATGCTCAAAGACTGGACATCTCGACAAGTACTCAATAGGTCGATCATCATGGCATTTGACTGGGCGACAATTTCAATATGATTGAGGGTGCTCGGCCACTTCATGCCGTCAGGGGTTGATGTTCAAGGGTAATGCGACGAGAGTTCTCCAAAGTGTCGGGATGAAACCACAGCCCTGCACAGAACCGCAAGGGAGATCAGTGAGTACTTGACATACATTCGTTTCACTTTCCGATGACTCACTTTCCGATGACTGAAGATCAACTGGGGAACTCACCAGAGACAGTCAGACGTTCAAGCAAAGGCCTACATTGTTTGCTCTAGAAATAATTCGGCAGGTGCGCTACCATTTCGATTACGGTCTAGCTTCAGATCTCTCAGGTTATTTCAAACGACGCTAGATTCCAATTCCTTGAGGCTTGGATTTGAGACTGCCTAAATATTCAAGCACCTCAATCGATGTCCGAGGTATGGAGCGAGGTATTCAAAAATACGATTTGCATTCCCTTCGTAGAGTATAACTGCATCCAAATAAGCACAACTATATATGAATTGCAATATTCATGTTCTGATGACACTATTCGCAAAGTGACTCGAGTCCACGATTTTGATGGTTGTGACGAGGGTGCGGAGCCTGTTTGATAAAGTCTGGTCTGTGAGTTTTTGCAGAATAGATGATCCGGGCTTGATGGTGACTTTATCATATGCAGATGGACTCCACTTCCGTGATATTCCTGCTTACGAGTGACATTGATTTGAGAGTTTTGCGATCAACATCCTGGGCTATTTGGAGAATCAGTTCAATGGGCACAGTGTGTAGGTTGGAGACTGGGAGTTGATGGTCATTATCATTAACCGTCTGAAGGGAACACATTTTGGTCAAACGACCAAGAACCAAAGCTTTAATGTCTAGAGATCGTGAGAGAGAGAAGCTACAAGGAGAATAGTCAGCTCGAAATGAAAATAATTTCATGCAATTATACTACAGAACTTGGAAGCAACATACTTTGTAATAGTATAGAATTGCGGCAGCAAACATTCAGAATCAAGGTTACTACGATGAGTCCGACCTCTATCTGCTCTAACATGGTGAAATTCGATTATAAGACGTTTCTAAATATTACAATACGGTATGGCTTCCTTTCACCAATTTCTAAGTAACATAGATACAGCAGTGCTATGGAGCGCTTTGTGGCTGGTGTGCGAAGTCACGAAACACGAGCGAGGAGAACAAAGCTTGGTTGAAACTCTGATTTTACGTGATTTTCCGATTGTAATGCGTATTGAAATCGGACTTGATGCACTTCTAAATTCAACCAAAATCGGAAAATCGGATTGCATCTGCCGCATTTTGCAGTCTCAGCAGCCTACTATTGGACTAATGGAGTAGAAGAGTAGAAGCTTTCAGTTGAAAGGGAAGATTCTTGGATTCTATCCGTCCAGTAGTTCTGATACCGGTATGTCCTTAAATGACCATCCACTGTGGGGCAGGTTCTCAACGCTGGACATTAGACCTCAACTTAGACACGTCAAGATGTCGTGACGAGGCTGACGCAATGGCGTGGAAAGGGCAGACTTTTGCTTGTGATCCGTATTTGATTCTCCTCACCGGTTCACTTGCGAAGCTGATTTGGAATCCGCCCCTTATAAAAACAAACAACCTTCATCGCCGCAACTCTCATAAACATTAAAACTCGCGATCAAGGGCAAGACGTTAGGTTTTTGCTGCTAATCTATCTACTCTTACCAACTCCTTTCAAGTTTTCTTATACGCCAACTCCACCCGTAAAGGAAATGTCTGCTCAACCATTCCTAAATGCCATTGCTGTAAGTATCAAAACTATTTGCAACCTTTCTCAATCTCAGTACTGAAAGTCTTTTGGATCTAATTGGAGCTGTTTCATTTACACAATTGGAATTTCTTCCCACTATAACTTTCCTTTTCTAGGCTCGACGATCGCTATATGCAATAACCGACCAGTCCACCATCACAGATGCCCGTATCGTCGAAATCGTAAAGCACAGTGTAGCCCACGTGCCAACATCCTTCAACAACCAGACCAACAGGGCTGTAATCTTGTTTAAAAAAGACTCTGATCGTCTATGGGACATTGTACTAGCAACTCTCAAGCCTATCGTACCAGCCGATCAATTTCCTGCTACCGAAGGCAAGATTAAAATGTTTAAATCTGGTTATGGCACTGTGTTATTCTTTGAGGATACCGATGTCGTCAAGGACTATGAGACCAAGTTTGCCCTTTACAAGGAACGATTTGCTCCTTGGTAAGGATTTTGTAACTCTTAAATGCTTCATTACAGCCCTATCGTGATATGACGACAAGTTACTCACATCTTTTCGTCGTTAGGTCTCAACAATCAGCAGGAATGGCTCAATTCGCGACGTGGGTAGCTCTTGAAGCTGAAGGCCTTGGTGCTACTCTTCAAGTGAGTCTTGTATCTTCTGAGCTGTATTCAAGTTGTGTAGATGCTGACTTTTTAATCCTTCCTTCAGCATTACAACCCTCTTATTGATGAACAAGTCAGGAAGGAATGGAACTTGCCAACCAACTGGAGTCTGATATCTCAAATGCCATTCGGTACTCCATCAGCTCCTGCTGGAGAGAAGGCGTTCAAGCCCATTGACGAAGTGGTGAAAGCCTTTGGAAGTGCCTTATAGATGTGGGTTCGAAACAGGATTGTTCTTGTCTAGACCGTAGTCGTAGCATAACGGCTTTGTAATAAATTAACTGTCATTCGTCACTTTCATTCACTATGTTTTCGAAACGATCATCTTGAAAATTCGAATATATTTGAATTTAGCGATTTCTGTAGAAAGGTATTGACATTAGCAACTGATTCCTGCCACCGACAACGAAGTTCTTTACACTAAATAATTGATTCGTACAGCCTTCTATACTTGGCTCTCCAGCTGGCTAATATCATACATTGATAATTGAGGTAAATCTGACAACTGAGATGATAACTGAATTTTGACCAAACTCCCAGTCAACTTAGAGTCCTGTACACAATCTCGTTTTCGGTCTAATTTGTTGAAGACCTGCCAAGGAGCTCATTTGGTAATGTGGGTAAATTGGATGGTGTAGTCTGTAGGCATCCATCGGTGGATGCAATCGATGGTGACAATGGGGGAGGTAGACATTCTAAATACGAAGTTTGAGACCGTGGCGAAGTAAAAGTTGCACCAGCCGCGGCATGAGTAGATAGCTGGATGAATTTCTGTTCTGATACAATGAGCTTGAAGAGTCAGGTCTCTTATACAGTTTAATGGTGAGAATTGCGGTAGAAAACAAGCTGAGTGAGACCTACCAGATTTTGATGGTTGTGCTTTGGGATCGATGGATTAAGAAATTCTGCAATACAGAAGACGTTATATCCAGCTAGGTCTCGCTGCTTGAAGGCTTTTCGAGTTGCTGGTCATGGTAATGTCTGATTTTTTTTCCAACGAAGCGAAGCAAAGAGACAAACTGAACGAGCAAGACCGATGATTTGGGCGTTATTTTACATGAATTTCAAGTGAATTAAGTCACAAGCACCTCTCCAAATGGTTGCTATCTCTCCCAAAGATAGATTATGAGATATGAGCTATCGCGACATCCGGTTCGAGAATTAATAACGAGATGGCTACAGGCTTCGAGACGTCATGATAAGGTGCTTAGAATTGCGATTGCGATGAAATGTTTGCCGCGACCGTTTTGCTGGTACCGTCGTCTTAGATGAACCGTATTTCATTGCCGACCGGTTCGGTTCATGTTATTATGAAAGCCAGTTGATTGAAAATCATCCACTATAAAAACTGGCCCACCGACGCAACTCTCACAATCATTAAAACTCACAAGCAAGTGCTCTACTACTAATCGTCAAGCTATATAATCTCAACAACTACTACCAAATTTCCTCGCAACTTCACCTCCAAGAGAAATGTCTGCTCAACCATTCTTGAATGCCATTGCAGTAAGTGCAACAAAATATTTGCAACTTTTAGTTATTTTAATATCTTTTATGGATCTATTTGCACTGCTTCGTTTGCACAATTCCACTTTCTGTCTCTGTTACTAACTTTCCATGATTTCCATTTTTAGACTCGACGATCGCTGTATGCAATCACCGCCAAATCGACCATCACAGATGCCCGCATCGTCGAAATAGTAAAGCACAGTGTAGCCCACGTGCCAACATCCTTCAACAACCAGACCAACAGGGCTGTAGTCTTGTTCAAAAAGGATTCTGATCGTCTATGGGACATTGTACTAGCAACTCTCAAGCCCATCGTACCAGCTGATCAATTCCCTGCTACCGAAGGCAAGATCAAAATGTTTAAATCCGGTTATGGTACCGTTTTATTCTTTGTCGATACCGATGTGGTCACGGAGTACGAGACCAAGTTTGCTCTCTACAAGGAACGTTTTGCTCCATGGTAAGATCTTTTGTGATGCTAGAATGGTTGATCAAGATAGTATCGTGATTTGACAGCAAATTGCTCACATGTTTGTCCTGTCAGGTCTCAACAATCAGCTGGAATGGCTCAATTCTCAACATGGGTAGCTCTTGAAGCTGAAGGCCTTGGCGCTACTTTACAAGTAAGTTTGAACCTCGTCTGAGTTGTATTTACCTTGTCTAGAAGCTGACCTATCCTTCTGCTAGCATTACAACCCTCTCATTGATGAACAAGTCAGGAAGGAATGGAACTTGCCAGCCAACTGGAGTCTTGTATCTCAAATGCCATTCGGTACTCCATCCGCACCTGCCGGCGAGAAGGCATTCAAGCCCATTGACGAAGTTGTCAAAGTCTTTGGTGGTTCATTATAGATTTGATATTGAAAGAGAATTGTCTGTGCCTAGACTCTGTAACCGTAACATAGTGACTGTAGATTAAATTTATTGTCATCATAACTTGCATTTGCTAGGTTTTCAAATTTAAGCGATTTCTACATTTACAGCACATCCATATCTCCTACAATACATCATGCATGGCGTACATCCATGGCTTACATGATCAACACCACCTACTTCACATATGATTGCAATAAATAACAAGATCATAATTCTATGGAAAGATTTCAAAAGGTAGCCTTGCTCCATAACATACAAACCACGAAACTGCTACATGCCCATCACGTCCAAATCGTCGACAACGATTCAAAAATATGTCTTCTGATTTTTTATTTGCTTTTTAACACAGGTTACTAGTAAGTATATTTCAATGACATGCATCTACAGTGACCGTGTGATTGACTGCTCAGGCAAACGAGGAACGACCAATAATGGCAATAATCAATAATTGCTTACGTTGGGCACCCGCAATGGCTCAAGGACTACTTGATTTCATTCGTCTCTCCTCGCGTCCGCGTTCACCTTCTAACTACATTGCCAACACTTTTTGGACTAGCAGTTCTTTGAGGATCCCTGCTTGGAGAGCAGCAAAGAGCATCCATTAGCACGCCCCAAAGAAGGCTTATCTGACTACTTTGATGGACTACTTCTAACAAGAAATGGTTGTCAAAAATGGATGATGATTGCAACGCTGAGGAATTTTGAGGCCATACGATGATTTTGAGGCTAAAGCTGGTATAATTTGCTGTCTATCAAAGTAAGGAAATTCAATTGGATTGCCTTGGAAAGTGTTGGCAAAGTCTGGAGTGACGAAAACAAAAGGATTGATCTGCGATTTCAACGAAGAATGTGAGTTCGTCACGCAAGTGGCTTGAGCTCTGCTTCTTGGTTTTGATTATTGGCGGAAATGATTTTTTAATCTTGATCTTATCTGACTGGACTTTACCAACGCTATTGAGCTGCTTTGTTGCAAAATGGGGGATACTCTATCTGACTGATTGTTTGCAGAAGCTTCGAAGGTATCTTTTGTAAGTAGCTTTATTGTAGCTGCTCTAATAGATTACTGGTATTGGATTTACATTGATGCTCTATACATTATCAACAATTCTGCCAAAAATGTGCTACTTTGCTACAGCCCGTCTCGACTCGGCGTTCTCCTTCCAAACACTTCCATCTTCGTAGAATTCCTTCTTCCATATCGGTACGTTGGCCTTAAGATCATCTATAAGGAATTCACTGGCGTGAATGGCATCAGCACGATGTGGTGCCGAGACAGCAATTATGACCGATTCGAGTCCGATGGCAACAGGTCCAATTCGATGATGTATAGCACAAGACACGAGAGATGGCCACTGTTCTCGAGCCTTTGTGATGCACTTGTGTAATTCTTTGATGGCCATTGGAATGTAGGCTTCATACTCTAATGTTGTGACGTTTTTCGGTCTTCCTTCAACTAGAAGCATGAAAGATGAGTATATAGTGATGATTTGTCGTTCTGTGACCGTTTCCAAATTGTAATGTAACTTGCCTATGAAAAAGTTTCGTGTAGTTCCTGAAAAAGTAGCGATAGCTCCAGCACCGTCATCTCGTACGAACTGCAGTACTGCCGACAAATCTAGTGGCGACTCTGTTACAGTAACGCGATCTCGTCCTGTTGTGGATGTGCTCTCTGTCATTGCTCGTGTATCTGTCGCAACAAAATATTGGCTACAGAGGGCGACAACGAAACTCGACAGCCGGAACTGTTGAGGAGGCGACGCAGATACAGGCCTTATAGATCCAAACTGAGCTTACGGAGCCCGATCGTATCCATACGTACTACATTTTAGCCTAACGAGGTATGAAGGGCCCTGACTCACAACCACCATTTTTTGCAAAGTCGCTTGGCAACTGCATCACCGTACCACCACTAATTGTTGGTCTGCATGCCTATATATCTGTCATCCAATTCAATTTAGTCCTTCTCCTCTAACCGATTGGTTGACAAAACATGCTCTTTTTCTCACCGAATTAATATCATCAACCAGGAACACAGCCCAATAATGGCAAACCTCATATTTTGCAATGTCGACTTTGGGTCGGGCTTCATGTACTTTTACCATTTCATACAGATAGTAAGTATTGGATCCATTTCTACCCATTGGATCTCTCTTGTTCCTTTGAGTCGACTATCTTACCAAAACACATTATCTTTTAGCTCTTTGGTATTATGATCGCATCAATAGCGTCAAACCAAGGATACTACAACAACGGACAAATTAAATACTGCTTGATGTACTTTCAAGTTGGTCAGGTAAACATCTCTAGCAAACAAACCTTGCTCATCCTCCACGGCTAAAGCCGCAAACGCCAATATAGGGGCTTCCATCTGTGGTGCCTTGTGATTTCGTGTCTGGAGTGGGCGCCGTGGACGTTGTGTGCGCATTCATTTTCGCAATGTTGCACTGCCTTACAACAGGTAACTTGCTACACGATAGCCCTTTCCCGACAATGCTAACCGTATATCTGGCGCTAGGTCACGGGACACAGCGACATTGGTGCATCATTTTCACGTTTGCCTTCCTTTCTGGTAAGATCCAGGGCAGAGTCTTGTTCTCTTTTAGCCAAAACTATCAAGTGCTCAACTTGCCATCATTTTCTAGTCTTTTTGGCAATCTTCAACTGTGGAGCTGCAGGTACCATATTCGTCATGTCATTTCAATAGCTTCATTTTAACACATATCCCGATGGTTTCTTTTGTTATCAGCTGTAATCACCGGAGGATATAATGCGTTATGTGGGTCCACCACTGTTAGCTGTGCTGATGCTCTTGCTCAATTTGGGTATGTAAAATCACCGGACGAGTGATTTGAGGACATTCGCTCATGGATCCTGTTTCTGTCGTAGTAAATCGAGGAACTCCTGGTTGGCTGGAATGGCTGCTGCTGTAAGTCTCGTTGATGATGTGTTTAACTTGGAAGAATGTATTCTAACCTGTTGTTTTTTGTTGGCAGTGGGCTTCCGCTATTCTCTGGGTATGTTGAGACGAGCTGATCCATTGTGAAAACAAACAGCAAGACTTAAAAAACCTTCCAAACATTTCTAGCTCATATATTCCCTGGTTGAATTCTATAACTTCCGCAACCGTAGATTAGACTATGACGACTATGAAGAACATGGTCACAACCACGGTCACAATTTCGCACGAACAGAAGCTCTTGCCGAAGCAATGGCAGAAACACACATGGGCGAACTTCGGCGCACAAAGGGAACAGTACATCAGGAAGTTGATCACGCTGCTGGGGATCTCAGTCTGTCTAGAGGCCATACCGCTGCTCACCATTGAGCCAGAATCCTTCACTTTTTTACACATTTTTGCACGTTGTCAATAATACTTAAGCTTTATTTTTCATTCCTGTTCAAAATACATTCAATCTCATAATCCATATATTTGCATTACCAGAATTGTTTTCGAATTGTTCGTATCGTCTAGGGAATTTAAGGTGTTGATCTGTTAACGCGTTGTCTTTGTAGCCTGCCTTGTGTCGCGTAGTGAAAAAGGAGACAATATTACCATCGATCGCCCCACTTTGAGTAGCATATCTCACGTTGTATTACTTTGCTTGATCTGTTCCTCGCCTTAACAAGCCTTCCTCTTTCAGTCTGCACCCTACAATCCTTCCTCAGTGCCACCAACAAAAGTTCTCGTCAACCACTACCAGCAGGCTACGAAGCTAACGGAAGACCATCTGCTCCACGTTTTACCTTCATAGAAGCCTTCAGCCAGTAAGCCTCATGCTCGAAACTCGCTTTGATGCACTCTCCATACTCCAGAGCAATCTAACATTTTTTTGTGCTAATTCAGTGGGTGCCATGTGTAGTTGCGAGCTGGGATGCGGCACAGTCTTCTTTTATATGATCCACTCAATTCAATTGGTACTTGTTTTGTCCAATACCCTTCCTCGCTCGTTTGTTTTTGAAGCCGAAAACATTTATGATGTTGATAGATCTCAAAAGCAAACAATCAGCGAACTGACGTTCTATATTCCTACTAGATATTTGGAGTCCTGCTAGCTTCTATCGCTACTGGTCAATGCTGGTACAATAACTCGATCCACGTATCGCCAGCTCACACACCAGCTAATGCCAATGACGATACCTTAGGTACAATAACGGAACATACAAGTACTGCCTACTCTACTATCAAGCCTCGACGAAGGGGATACCAAGTGATATCCCATGTGACTTTGTTACAGGTTTGTAATTTTTTATACTTTATTGCTGGCTAAATGTGGAATTGTGTCGCTTTCGCAGTAAGGGTTTGAGCTGATGCAAATTATTGTGGATAGGTTGCGGTGCCGCAGCAGCTGTTGGTGCTCTAGTATTGGCTGTCTTCCACGGTGCCACAATCGGCCGGGGACATGATCGACACACTATGGTTATCTTCACATTTGGCTTGATAGGAAGTAAGTCGGTCGTCTCGATACGTTTTAAAAGAAAGTGGTAGACTAACACGTTTATATTATTCTAGTTCTGCTTGCTGGTATGTAGCTGGGCCTATCAGAGCAAAAGTCGACTATCCCTCCCTTGACAGTTTCGTATTTTTTGGTATTAGTGTTCCAAGCGGGTGCTGGTGTCGTTCTAGCACAAGGATACTCTACATTCTGTGGTGGTTTCAACGGAATCGCCACAATCCAAACTTGCGGTGATGGTTTGTCCAGTCTGGGCAAGAGTAACGGATTATGGCTCGCTGGATTAGCATCTGCATGGGGTGGTGCAATAATCTGGGTAAGCCAAATAAGAGTCGTGAAAGGTTTGAAAACATTATTAACTCGTTTTCGTTACAAGTTGATTTATGGCATTATGGAGTTTGTTGCATGGAGGGTTGGACGCTTGGCGGAGAGAGAAGGCGGCTACGAGGCTGAAGAGATGCATGGACACCATGAGATTGAGCATCACCACAAGTAGACTTTTTTAAGAGGATTTTCAGTCCTTTGTTTATGTTTTTTTGGGGGAGTTTCAGTCCTTATGTATCTCACTAATATTTTGTTGCTTCCCCTCCTATCGCCAATATAACATCGCACTCTATTGGTCGTGTTTGATTTGTGACACCTAGTTTTTCGTGAGGGACTCCTTCTCAACATCAACATACACACAAGTTTGTGAGACACCCAAAGATGATGAACAAGGCAAAGCAGTGGCTGGTAGGCCAGAGCGCCAGCAAATCATCAGAACGCAGTTATGGTGACGAATATGTCTACTATCCAAAGAACCCAAAACCAACACTATCACAACGCCGCAATATAAGCAGCGATCGCTCTACTCAACCAACATCTATTTCTACTGGAAGAAACTCTATGTCAACTGATCCGTCGACTATAAAGGAAAAACAAATGGAACGAGAAGTCATCACCTCATCATCATCGTCATCGCAACAACAACAGCAACCACAGCCACAAATGCATCAAATCGAAAAAAAGAAGGCCCGACGAATCGGACCACCACCAACAGTACCCTTATCATCTACAAAACCAGTCGTTGGAAGTATGTCAATCAGTGAAAGTATGAAGCAGCACAATACTGGAGCTCCTCTCACACCGCCATCATCCCCAACTAAAGAAATGGTGCATGAAGGTGATGAATCTGCTGCTACTCGTATCTCGGATGTACAGGCTCGTATCAAGGAACTTGGAGCTGCTTTCGATCGATTGCGATCAAATCATGAAGGCGCTGCAGCAGAGATTGGCAAGATTATGAAACAGATTGGAGATGAGACTGCTTCGAGTGCTTCTGCTGGTGGCATTGGATCTTCGGTAGACGGGTTTGCTGATCGTCAGGTAAAGAGGGCTTGGTTGTGTTTTGGGAGTGGAGTTTGTAATTTACATGACTCCATCATGAGGAAGAGTGAGACACTGATCAGCATGCACAATGACGATGAATGTGATCAGCTGTAAATCCCTATTTCTTTCTTGACATATAATTTTGTTTTGTTCATATAGAGAATGCTGCATGAGCGATTGGATAAATACAAGGACGTGTCTGAAAATCCAATGGGTCCACAAGGCCGTCTATGAATCCAAAGCTCTATTGTTATAAAAGTCTGATCTCTTTAGCAAAATGTATAAAACTCTCGCTAGATGTATAATCAATACAATAAGCTCACATCACTCGTATCTTGAAAGAAATTAACGGAACGATGATGATGATATGATTTACATTGAATGGCCACAGCTTCCGTTCGATCCTTTCTTGGCTCTTTTGGCAAGATCAAACCATTCCAGGTTGTCGCTGTCTCGCTAATTGTGCTGCTTCTGGTTGCATTCACGGTGCTGGCACCATCTGTAACGACTGTATCTGAAGTAAAACTATCGCCTCCTCCTTCCTTGGACTCTGGAACTGGTCGTCCAGCGCCATCACGAACATTAAAAGATCGGACTTGTCCAAGTGTAGCCACTGCCATATTTCCTTATAGTAGATCTGATTTCGACTCGATACAAACTGATTTGTATAATTGCACGGAAGTACCGTCTGCCGATGCTCAATTCGCTGTAATGAATTGTAAACACACGGTTGCTTGTGGTGTTGGGCACTTCTTGATTCAACGTACAGACAAGGGACGTTGTGCTAATGCAATGAAGATGAATGTGTCTACTTATGAGGAGCAGGATCGTTATTTTCATGATGTTGTTGGACCTGT